GTTATGCAGAACGTTAGCAGTTATTGGTTTTTTAGAAACCCTATATTTTCAGATTTTGAAGTGTAAATAATTCATTTCGTTAACGTTAAATTTCTTAAAATTATTACTTTTAAGCTAGTAATAGTAACAATTATAGCTCTCTTATTCTGATTCAGATAGATTTGAGCTCACAAAGTTTGTATTGACTTTTTCTAAGAAATTATCACGTACATTCAATATGGCTGAATAACACAATCGCTCAGAAAAAAAAAAAAGTGTACTGGAACACGACTCGGTTACCATGGTTTTTTCGAGTATTATTTACGCTGAACGTCGAATTGGGCTGGACAGCGGTCTGATGGATTGAATCGCTTCAGTTAAAATAAGAAATAGTTCTACAGCGAGATCGGATTATTCAGAGAACAATAAGGGCATTACCGAATGATCTCTCCTTGAAATACTATTGTTAATATAACTAAGCAATAGTATGAGTGGAATTTAACAAGATATTTATATGAATACGGCTATATGAACTAGCGCGGTTGGAAACTATATGTCATTACATAAGAATGAAAACTTTACTCTATGATTAGTAACGAATCTACGATTTTGAAAAAATGTGCTGAAATAAGCATATATTTAATAATAATATTGTCTTATACCCGATCACAACAACGAAAATATATAAACTTCATCGTCATTACTAAGAACAGATGTAATAGTATTAACAATATTTATTTTCATACAATTACAGAAGACTATAATAAAAATGAAATCACTTTATTGTTTACAGCACATTAACACTATATAATTAGATAGCATGACTATCAGAAAATTTGAAATACAGGCCTATTCTCGTTAGTATACTGGAAGGAAAATGAATGCCATCAACGAAATTCAATGGCATGTTTTGGGACCAACATGAGACGCACTTGACTATGTTGACAATCGGACAAGGACAACCAGTTTTTCCATGTGTCACTTTTTGGGTCATAAATTAAATCATCAGAACTTGTCAACCATCTACCAAGACAAATCATCATATTCCAGCATTTTGATTATACCCTCCAAATACATATTATCTGTCGTAAAGTAGTACTGCAATACCGGTAAATGAGCGGGCACAGATGCATCTGCAATGCGATGCCATCATCAGTGCTGATGTGAAAAATCTCCTGAGCAGATAGAAACAGAACCACTTGCATACTCACCAACAACCACATAATTCTTTCCACAACAGCACCACTGGCAAATGCACGTGAGGAATTCATGGGAAAGATTTTTGCCCATTCACCTAGGTATGGATCATATCGCTCAACACTTGCAAGGGCCATTCCATCTGGACCATATCCACCAATAGCATAAAGCTGCAGATGTGACACAACACATGCCCCACGTCTTGGCACTTTCAATTTCTTAACAGTGGTCCATCTGTCTGCAGCTGCATCATATTTGAATACTGAATCTGAACAAAGACCTTGACTTCCTGACCCCACAACATATATTTCGTTGTTCAAAACTCCAGCTCCATGTGCCATGGTTGGCTCAGGCAAATTAGCACTCCTAGTCCATTTATCCAGGGCAAAATTGTAAAATTCTACTGACTTCAATGTCTTTCCATTGACATCTCCACCTATGGCAAAAATGCTGTGGTCTACAACTGCTAAGCCAAAATTGCTTCTTTCTTCATGCAAAGGGGCAAGTGGGTACCAAAAATCAACATCTGGTACATAGCAAAGTGCCTCTTTGGAAGCAAGTTCATCTTGCACTCCTCCACAAGCAACAACTATCTTTGTTACATCAAGTGACTGTCTTGGTGACGCTTGGGGACTTACTACCAGTGATCTGCGATCCGTAAGGCATTGAAAGTTTATAGCTGTCAAGACAAGTTCTTGGCAATCTATGTTCTGCATTATTGTTGTGTTCGAGGCAATTTTGTCAAACAAATAGTACTTATCAATTAGCAAAAGCCTGACATTCTCCATGAGTCTCAGAAGATACTGAAACCTCTCTTCTTGATCATAATCAATCCAAGCAATAACAGCTTCATATACTTTCTCTTCCTTCTTCACATTCACTTTATTGTTGCTGATGATATGAATAACTTGATCTACATTGAGACTTTTGAACTCATCTGAGTGGCTGACGTCTGCAAAGTATTTATAAATAAAGGCATCTGCACTCTTTTTCAGTGTCTTGCAATTGAACTCATCAGCTAGTGAAGATATGGACAGGCAGTTAGATGCACAAAGCTTCTTTTCATAAAACCTACAAACCAGATCTTTCAAATTCGTCATTTGTAAAATATCTGATGCAGCAATCAGCAGTCTAACATTGTCTTTGTGTACACATATTTCTCCCAAATACATAAACTGAAGGATGTCTTCCATGATTGATGGGGATATATGCTCCTTCAACTGCATCTTAACCCCTAGAAATAAGCAGATTTTAATGTTACTATTGACACAACTTCAAGGTAAAGAAGTTATATGATGTAATGTCATAACATACATAACATAGCATAATAACATAGCATAATAACATAGCATAATAACACAGCATAATAACATATCATAATAACATAACATAACATAACATAACATAACATAACATAACATAACATAACATAACATAACATAACATAACATAACATAACATAACATAACATAACATAACATAACATAACAAATGCTGTAATGTAGCCTGTTACAGATCACTACAATTCTAAGTTTATTGCTTTTGAGTAGCAGGAGATGCTTCTAAAAAATATGCAAATTGAAAACATTTGAGGCCATGTGTGATAAGAGCGAAACCCAGCATGCCCTGTGGTTGAAACAAAAAATGCTTAGTAGAAATTTGTTGACAGGAAACATTGCATTGAAAAACAATTATGATTATGATATCATAATACATTTGCTCATTGCAAGTTATTCGCTAATCATACTTCTATATCTTATTGGATATAAATATTGGCTTAACTCAAAGATGAAGAATTGCAAGAAAGTTTTATAACAACCAAAAATAGCAACAGATTCATTTCATAGTACATAAATGACTCAATCTTGCTAGTTTTATTTGTGTTTGTCAAGCATGTATAATTTCAAAAATAATCCCAGATACAGACTTTTTATATGCATAAAGTTGCGAGTATCAAGGCTCCAAACTGCAAACATTTAAGAACAAATAAACATTATTAGCCAGGTGAAATCCAAAAATAATTAAGATTTTTTTGTGTACATCTGAGTTTCTATCTCTGGTTTTAAACATTATTCATTTTTTTACCAACTTATGCAAGCTCTAGGGGAAATTTCAAACATATGCAATGAAAATTGTTTGTTTCATTCAAAATAGAGCCAGTTAAGAATAATTTAAGAACATAATTTTCTCCAGAGGTGGAAAAAGTATCAGAACCTGGGAACGTAGTTCCCAGAAATTTTTCTGGATGGAAATATTAGCAGAAAGTTTCACAGAAAAGTTTTGAAGTGTTAAAGTAAATGTAAAAATCTGGTGACAAGAGTTAAGTCAAATCAGCATTTAATGTTATTTCAACTTGCCTGTAAGCATCTAAATATGAGCTGCCAATGGACTGTTGGGTATAGCCTCTTTCCATTGGAAAGAAATTCTTTGTGCACATTCACCATCTCACAAAAATCTCAACCACTCACCATCAAAATTTTTTTTGGCAGCTGAGCTTTTTAGACAAACCATTGTTTAGACTGAGATTAATATAGGGACTGGAATCTACTTTCACGGAAATTATTTCTTGTACTATGGTGTGAGCAGCATTGATCATAAGTTAATATGCTTGGTTAAAGTAATTTGGTGCATATTAGGACTCCATTTCAACCATATATTTCTTCACACTTGTCAAAGAATAGGCTGTGTTAAGCTTTCTCCGTAAAATGCACCATACAATTCAAATGATTTTGCCCCTGATTCTTCTGAAACTATGTTTAGAAATTATTGCCTTCTGATTTTGGTTTTTCCATCCCGATGATTGACTAAATGCATAAATTTCTGGCTAAAGTTGATTTCCATCTTATGTGCATTTATGCATCAAGTAAAGCCATATCTAATATGTTGAGTTAGGCCTACTCAGAGTCAGTTTCATATAAACGTCTTGAATTTCTACAGCTAAATACAGTATTGTAGGCACAAACAGAAAGTTTGTTTGTCTACCCCTTGAAATCTTGCAGAAAGTTTTTAGCCAGATACTTAGGTTCCCAGAAAGAAAAAAGTTTTTTCCACCTCTGATTTTCTCAACAGTGAACATCAAATTTTACAGACTCAGTTTGGAAGAATATAAAATTGAAGGGTTTTTCAGTTTTGAGGTTGGTATGCCTGCAACTTTTTGGCAGTTTATCAATGGAAATAGTGAATCTTGACTAGTAGCTTTAAACTTTCTACCTTTGAAGCAAACTTGCCAGGACATATTTTGATATATAAGTCAGCCTGAAGTATACTCTAGGTAGCATATAAAGAAAAAGAAGCCAATATAAAAATTAATGAATTGTGAGCATGTAAAGTGATGGGGATTGTGCATGCTTCTGCTATATGCAGATGTGTTTCTTGCAGCTCTTAGAAAACAGTAAAAGGGTTTTATTGGAGAGTCATTCTGACAGTAGCATTCTGACAGCCTGTTGCCAGGAAAATTACTTGTGATGTGAGTTGGAATTATCGGTACCAAAAAGGTTGTACCCAATACTAAATCCCTTGCATCCACATTTGATGAATTTCAAATTACCCTCTCAAAATACCTTTTCGATGTAGTCACCTTATCAGAGACCTGGCTAGCTAGAAACAAAGCTCTCAATAATTTTGTGCAAATTCCAGGGTATGAGCTTGTAACTGAAAATTGCAATAACATGAAGATGGGGAGTTGGGTTCTACATCAAAGATTCAAAATTAAGGCCTTATGGATTGGGCTACCTGGACAAATAGAAACAGTCAGCATTTGGCATGGGTCATCTATTGCTTCAAGAAGCTATTACCTTTAAATGACTGGTTTGAAAAATTTCAGGAAACAATTGCCTACATCAAGTCCATATGGGACAGGCCATTCTTAATAGCAGGGGACGTGAACATAAATTTGATGTCTCATGAGAACACAAAATGTCATAAATACCCTAGCATGATTGACCAGTTCGATTTCCTACAAATGGTTAAGGCTCCAACAAGGATCACCCAAAACACGTCCTCTTTAATCGACCACATACTAATAAGCCATCCAAGCTTGATAAAATTCACAGACGTTTTGCTTTGCCATGGTATCAGTGATCACTATGAACCATATGCCCGATAACTGTAAGAATTCTAAGATACGAGCCACACTACAAACTGATACGAGATGACAAAACATTTGACCATCAATCTTTTGTGTGTGATGTAAGTCAGCTTCCATTCGGTCTTGTCTATTTCATTGCAGATCTCTCCAAAAAGATAAGAGTCACCAGACCTCCTGAACCTTGGAAACATGATCCAGAGATAAGATATTTGCAAAAAAATGAGATGAATGTCGTGTAGCAGTCTGCCAGTGGCAAGCCTTGGGAGACATTTCGAGAAATTCACCCTTGTGGAACAAGTTTAGAGAAAGTAAATGTGCCGTAAAGAAAGCAGTGAGAAAAGCCCAAGCTACTTTCTATCGTAAGGCACTTTCAAAGCAAAACAAAAAAGAGGGTGTGGAAAGTCATTCATAGTGTCTTACAACCCCCAGCTAAGCGTTCAACAGTAAGTCCATTTGTTTTGAATAAATATTTTGCACCGTTTCCTGTTGTGGAAACAAAGCAGTTCATCGATGATCTCCCAAATAAAAGACAAAATATCTTTCTCCCTCTGCCAAACCACCTACAGTGAAGTATTAAAACAGTCGAAACTGATACGTAGTGATCTATCAACAGGCCCAGATGAAATTCCAATACATTACATAAAGCTAGGGTGATATCACATGCTCTCCACTCCCTCATATCATCAATACATTCAATTCATTAAAGATAACAGCTTCCCTCGCTGTGGAAGATGGCAAGAGTTGTGCCAATAAACAAAATGTTATCTCCCCGACTGAAAGCTCACACTATCGCCCCATTTCCATACTTCCCGCTCTTTCAAAGATCTTCGAAAGAATAGTTTGCAATCAAGTCATCAATTGCATAGAAAGACTCAAAATTTACAAAGATACCCTCACTGGTTTCTCAATGGTTCTGCATTACTTAAATTGAAGAGATGACATAAAGAGAGCCATGAACGCCGGCGTACTATTGATAATGGTATTAATCAACTTTTCAAAGGCTTTCGATACAATCTCATATGACATGCTGATTAGGTCTTTAAATAAAATTAGCAATTGCAAACAATATGTACAAATCGATGCTTAACAGTCAAAACCAATGACAACATATTTCAGAGTGCTGCAAAGATCAATACTTGGACCACTGTTCTTCAACCTTTATGTAAATGGCCTATAGGGCAATATTGATTCAAGATCAATCCAATACCAAGATGACATGACTATATACGAGTTAGTCAAACCCAATGATATACAAATGACCACTGATAAGTTAAACTCGTTGTTAGAGATATCGGAACATTGGTCAAATGAAAATCATCTGGCCATAAATGCAATGAAAACCAAATTTTTAATCAGCGGATCCAAAAGACAGTACGATCGTCACCAAATTGAGAAAAGACCATATCACTGTCATTGGGAGGAGAATGTATCAAACTGGACAAAAAACCACGTCTTCTAGGAGTCTATCTCGATAAGCACTTGGATTGGTCCAATCATTTGAAAGAACTCTCCTCTAGCTGTTACGGAAAATTAACAGTTTTAAAAAAGCTGAAGCACTTCACGACCTTAAAAGTCAGAAAACAATTTGCTGAAAGCTTAGTGTTGACAAAGGCTGATTTTAATGATCATGTTTACACACCACTGGCAATCACCCAAACAAATGAACTGCAATGATTGCAGAAATTTTCAGTGGGTTTTGAGCTTGGTCAGTATGCATTTCAGCTGATATCCTCAAACTTAATTGGATTCCAATAATGGAAAGAAGAGAGTTTAACTGCATGAAAATGACTTTCAAAGCCATTCACAACGAGAATTGGCCTTCCATTAACCGCATTGAAATAGAAAAGACCAGTGGTACTCTTCGTAATACTAAAGAACTGAAGCTGAGCGCATCAATGATCAGTGATACCTTTCAAGACACCTTGTATGTATACCTTGTATGTATGTATGTATGTATGTATGCATGTATGTAAGTGATGATTGGATTTATATTTCGATCATACTGTTCGGCTTGCCCTACCCTCCTTCTTTATATGGCCACTGATAATAAGTTCAGGAGTTCAGGCCAAGCAAAGATTAGCAAAAGTCTTGATTTGAAAGACACCATTTCTATCATTGGGAAGAATAAAGTTTTAAAATGCTTTAACTTGTTTAATCTTACCGTGACTTGTATGTGCCTCTTGATCCTGCGTGAAGCCATGTCTAAAGAAAGGACTTGCTGCACTAAGGACGATTCTGTGAGCAAGATATTCCCTGTCTCGACACACCAGCACAACATCACATAGATAATTTTTTTTTCTAAACGAGCTCAGCATATTTGCCAGGCTTGTTTCATAATTTTCAAGTTTGAACTTTTCTCCGGTGGGCATTCCCAGTGTGTCCGCCATTGCTGAACCGCAGATTGTGTGAAAGACCAGGGGACCAAGGAAGCCACAATAATTGCGTTCGGAAAGGCTGATCCCAACAAGAAATTTACGTCAGTCACATTTTGACGATTTGCTTTTTAAAAAATAACTACACAAATAAATTCATATCCTATGCCATGTGATATAGACAAAAATTAAGGATCAGCGTTTAAATTGAAAACCATCATAAAAGATAAATTGGCACCACAAAACTGTTGACATAAATTAACTTAAAATATTAATAAAATATTAAAACCAACACTTTCTTCAACTAAAAATTCGAATTCTTACAAAAATCCAATAACATGATGTTTGACTGATACAAATATAAACTATTTTCTACCTTTTTAAGGATAAATTTGGCATGTGCGAGGAATAAAAATATATTCTTGCTGTCAATAGTAAAGCAAAATACATACTTTAAAATAACTTGACTTCTTCCCCTTAATTATAGATTTGCAGGGGTACATATCTCATGATTAGGGACGCCGGAACGACCAAGGGGCAAGAGAACAGGCTTGAATAAAAGGGCATTTTAAAGATAACTCCCAGCTTCTACTAATTCCTTCTACTGACTGCCACTATATTATAACTTTCTGTAGTTATCTTGAAAATTGGCTAACTTTGGAATAAGGATTTATTTTACAGGTTTTGAGAAATGTCGTCATGAATTAAGTACAATAATCAGAATTTCACATGAATATCTCTGATTATTACAATTGGCCGGCTTCAAGGGCACATTAATAAAAGGTCACTATGGCCCTTTTTGCCCCTATTATCAAAGGGCAACAGGGGCGGTTGCCCCCCGCGCCCCCCTTTTCCAGCGTCCCTGTTCATGTATTGGCATGTTGAAGGGTTAAAGAGAACCCCAAGGCTTGACGTTTTCATTAAGTCAATTTGGAAACTGCTTACTTTCTGAGAGGCGAGGGTTGTCTTCACGAACAAAGCTGGCAGCATTAATTTTGAGCCTCAAGTCTTGATAGAGTTTACTTTGGTTTAAGGAAATTGAAATAATAGGACTTCTAATGGATAAAAATGTTACGCATGCTAAATGTCTCACTTGTTCTTTATTCTCTAAGTGATTACAACTATCAAGTAAAATCGCCAAATCTACTACTAAAAGCTTCGATTCCCGTAGTCTATATTCTATTTGCTTCGTAAGTGTTTGTATCGAAAATTCGGATGCCTTGGTCATAACTTCCAGATAAGGATTCAGGCAAGCTCTTCTAATCTGTCCAGCGGTCCACATACCAGGACAATATCGTGCAATTACTGCTGTTAGACTGCCTCGTATTTTTGCCTTTATTCCATTTATCCAAGCATGCACGTCCACTACACAACAACATTCTCTCTTTATGTCTTCCAGTGTTACCTCTACTGTTAAGCATCATCTGAAGTGGAATGATGTAGTCGAGGCGTTCAGCGTAGCACCGGATTGACTGCAACGGAGTAAGCGACATGCTTTCGCAGATGATAAGACAGCCGAAACTCGTACCAATGTAAACCTCGTTTTCAACAACAACAATAGTGTTGACTTGGGCATGCAGAGCTAGAAGTTATTATGAAAATAAGTTAATAAGGCAGGTGGATTTCTAGAGATAAAAGTTGAGTTCGATCTTTTTGCCCCCAGGCAAGTTACATTACACTATCTACAAATCATTTGAATTCGGGGTGAATTTCCTGGGTTGAGAAACCCTAAGCAGAGGAACAATTCAACTTTTGAAAAAAGCTCATAAAAACCCTAGCCAGAACCTTGACAATATTTTTGCAGATTTGCTTATTTGCAGGTCGTGACTACTGCGTTAAAAACAAACTTCACCACTAAAGACACAGAATTTGCGAAAAGAACCGAAATGAAAAAGACCGTAAGCAGACGGGTTGGCCTCATAAGCAGACGGGTTGGCCTCAGTAAATCAATGAAAAAGGTGTACCTTTCATTGCCTTTTGCCTTGAAGTTGCTTTGGTCGAATTCACTGGAATAAAACAATAACAACATCGATATGCGCGTTGAATCAATAAATGTCTGTTGAAATAATAAAGAACACAGCAAATGAAAACTGTGTGAAGTATTCTCTATCCAAATAAATCTAGGTGAGATAGATTTGGCTTTTGTGTGCTTATGATCTTTATGCACAAACAACACAAACTAGCAAAGGCTAACAATACTTGGAAAAATGTTTCTGCAAAACTACTTCGGATAACTGCGATCTCTGTATAACTTAACGGAAAAGTCTGTATAACTTATAAAGCAAACATATTGATATGAAACATTCTTGCTGCTTAATCTTGAGGTATGTGTTCTCTAAATTAATTTTGATACTGTTACACGGTGTAAATTGAGAACCTATGTTCTTTTTACTTAGCTACATTGGTTAACGAAACCTCAAAAGTAAGGACAGAATTTACTTTCTATCTGCATCTGACCTGCCATTATCAACGTTGTTGCTATTTTTCATAAGAAACACTAATAACATTAAAGAAGAAATCTTATTGAAATTTCAGAGAACGAAAACTCAATGGGAAAGACATTGCACCCTATTTTTACAAGTAACTCACGTGCTCGCTCAGTTACACATGTCAGCGTGTTTAATTCAGCTTCCAGTCTCCTGTTGTCAACATTCCACCTGTACACATGGGTGCCAGGGAATACTGTTACCCAAACCGAAGTCGATTCTGACTCATCAGCCTTTGGAGAGGGTGTATTTTGAGTTGAAGAATCATGGAACACTCTTCGTGTTTCGATGCATTTTACGCTGTGACCGTGAATCGTTGGGTTGTCAATGTCACAGCCCGTAGCGGCAAGGATGTGAACCTGAAGGACAAAGAAAATGAATGGAGCGCTGCAATTTTAAATTTAAGTACGAGAATTTCAAAAGCAATGACGAGAATGCAGCACAATAGTAAGAGGAGCCTAGAACGAGCGAGTGTTGACAGCTTTACCTTTTCCAGTTTGTTCAGATCGAATACATTGATGATCCCTTTGTCAACGCCGCACCACAGCTCATACGTGATTGTACTTTGTCTCTGGTTATTCTCCTGCATGTAATCATCCAGGCCGTATTTGTGGTCACGTGATGAAGATGCTAGCGGCTCGCCCCCATGCCCATAATAGGTCATCTGCTCTTCAATTGGGTAACTTCTTGCTCGACTGGGAACTGCTGCCAGGCAGTGAATGGGGTTATAAATAGACATCCCAGCATGCACTCGATTCGCAATTAGTTCTCGAATCGGCTCTAGGTACAGTATATTTCCAAAATGTTTTGATACTTCCTTTTGAGGTATTGTGTGCATATAAGAGCTAATGTTTTCATTGTAGCTCATGATTGAGTCATTCGTAAGGCCTACCAAAACACAATTGCAAGCTGGTGAATGCAACATGCTGATTACACTGCCACTTCCAGAAGGTCGTGCTAGCGCCAAGGGCTTGTATGTCATAGAGCAATAGACTTTTATCGCACCCGACTTCATCCCGACCCAAAGCGTACTTCCCACAGCACATGCAACCAAAACAATGTCATTAAACATCATCCGCTGTAAGGCAAAAACAAAAATCAGTGTGTTGTATGCATCAAAAACTAAGATTAGGGCGTACATTTTCATTAAAAAATATTTCTATCAAAGTGTCAAACTGATGACGTGTATTTGCTATATTTTTGGATTTTTGACACCCAACATGAAAGAACACCACAAAATACCTCAAAATGTGCAAAAACAGTAACATTTATTACATAGAGAAACGGTCCCATGAGTACGGGCTTATCCTCATTTAACGACTGTAATTTGGCCAAGGCTCAAAAACAACTGAACAAGCCAAAATAACAACAATCTGTTAACAACTTCAAACATTTTATTAATCATATCTCAGGAAATATCAAATATATTAAACTGATTTTGCACATTTAGAGGTATTTCCTTACGTTCTTTCGCTCGTGCGGCAAAAATTGGACAATTTTATGACGTCATCACTTTGATGTCTTATCCTAGAACAAGTACAGCTTCACGTGTCGGCCGGCACGACAAGAACTTATAAAGGTAGCTTAAGTCTCAAGCGCCTAAAGCAAGAAAAGGTCACAAGCTAGGAAATAATCAACGCTATTAATTTAAATTTTACATTCTTCAAGCATACATACACCCCATCGCTTGTTGGGCTGGAAAGTTACAGCAAGTGATGGATTTTTGTATGCAACAATGTTACTACAGGGCCCACGCCACAAGGGGGGCCGGGGTAGCCATGCCCTCCCCACTTTTTGCGAAGCAAATAGTTTTGAAGCTGCAAAAAGGGGAAAAAAGCCTTAGCCCCCTACTTTTGCTTTCCTTGCCCCCCTCCCCCCACTTTCAAATTCGTGGCGAGGGCCCTGCAATACCCTTACTTCTAATAATCTTTCCTATACATGCCTCTAAAATTGTAACTGAAACTTCAAAGTAAAATAAAATAAACTAGAACAGGGACAATCAATGGCGCCAATGACAACAATATCTAATTGCGTCATCTACGTAAACAGCAAAAACATCTAACCCTGATGATGTTGCATTTGCCATCGACGTAATTTAGGACCGTGAGGTTGCCAATGCGTCCTTCTTTTTCGTTTTGTTTGATATCGTTGCTCAGTAGACATAAGTCTGTTCCAACAACACTTTTGCCGTCGAGAGTGGCGACTATAGCGTTTGTGCTGGACTTGAATTTCGTTACAGCACACTGCAAGCGAAAACAGTCCTCGCATTCTGAAAAAAATATGGCGAACATGAAACAATCTTACAGCTAACAAATATGAAAATAATCTTGAAATTATATTGGCCTTATTTTGCACGACAATCGATTGCTTTTTGGCACAATTTTACTCAGCTATCCAAAAAGTGCACAATCTGTCACTTCAGTGACCTTGTTCATTCTACCGTTACACATGACAATAATGCAAAGTTCAATATTAGAGAAAGTATTCGAAATTAGGCCATGAAGAAGTATGCTGCCTGTTAGTTGATTAATCAGGCTTTTCTGTTTAACAGTGATGAAGTTCACAATAATATAAAATGAACGGTCAATACATTATTTTGAATGTATCATCATTTCGAAAATCAAAGAATGCAAGAGATGAGACGGGATGATCAGGTGTGAGGATCGCTCAGTGGTAAGAGTTTCGGGACTACAGATACAAGGGTCTGTGGTTCGAGTCACTAATATGACTAAACTTTTTCTTCTAGTAAGAGGCGTCGCTAGGTGACTGTAAATCATGGTGTAGGAATCAGCGGGTTTTGGTCACACCGAGTGGAAGGACCAGGTCACTGCTCAACAAACATAGCGCTTCAGTGTCCTAAAACCTTACTTTGGAAGCTAGATTGTTGCAAATATAATGAAAGAATATGGGAGTCTGATAAGCAATGCAGCAAACTGTATAAGAATGTATAAATAAATGTTGAGTTGTTATATCAAATGTTATGGTCGCAGGGTTGCTATATATTTCCATGCTCCATGCGTCATCGTCTTGTAACCTCCGTATGTCCTTGTAACTTTCTTTTGGATAAAAAAGCTATGCAGCAGACGGAACAACGAAACTACACGGGACTCAAATTTCCTGGCACGAATTCATTTAAATAAATAAATAAATCTCATTACCAAGTTCATCGAAGAGGCGGACAAATTCGGGCAGATTTGAGTAGTTGTGAATTTCTGAAGACGATGGCCGTGCTTGCGGATCTTGCTCCCAACATCTGTAGAGAAGAGACAGGACAGGAACCGGCACTCGTTTATCCTGTAGAAACCAAGGAAGGGCTTAACGGCATTCAAAATACAAATTGGGACTTCATTCATAATGAAATTTTACGTATTAAATTTTCCGAGCACGTGGTGAAATGAAGGTTTTAACGTTCAAAGGCTCTTGGCCAACCGGCACGCTTTGTGAGTATAAATCAAAGAAACGGCCTAATATCGTACTGCATGAAAATACGAAACACAGTCAATTCTCAACACAACTGCCGCTAAGCATGCCGGTTGCACAAAAACCCTTAAGAGAATAGCTTCTTAAAGAAAAAATTAACTTAGAAATGTATTTGCAATTTGCGGGATGAAATAACGAAGAACCAAAGAGAACCAAACTTTATCTTGATTTGGGAACAACCCGGTGAATTTGCAAATGAAATTTGAATTCATCAAGAATAATCACATAAATCTAAGGTTTTTTGGCTTTTGAACCAATTTAACTGAGGGCGTTCAGGATTTGAACATAATAATAACTTACAAAAGTAATGCTTGAAACATGATTATATTTTTAAAAAGTTTCTTTCATAATAGGAGACTACGCCGCAAATGCAACGTTTAGCATTTCAAACGATTTCTACATTTACGGCTTTCAGAAAATCAGAAGTTTTGCTGAAATGCAGGAAACAACTGGGAGAATGGGCAACAATAATTCGAAATCTTGAGCAAATTCTCAAAGGCACTGGCGAAATTCGGGCGCTATCTGAATATGAAATTTGATGCTTTGATATGGTACTGAATTAATACTTTTAAGCGAACTGCTTGGAAGACCAGTTGAAGTTGGTGTAGATTTCAATGGTATACGTCTAAACCAACATATTTTCAGCACCTCATAGCTCGCAGCCAAGCAACAATGATCGTCTCTTCAACATGGTCTGAGTCAGTCAAGAAAAGGACATCTACCAATTCTACTTTGATTATGGCTCTAACACTCATTTTGAAACAAATACTTAAATATCAAATTGCTGATGCACAAATACGAAGATAAACCTTTAGAATCCTTCAAAAATTAAAGAACTTTCAATCAAGTCATGGAGGATGATAAAGCATTGCTTTATTAGGTGTTGATTTGAAAAAGGTCCGCATGCGGGAGAGAGACTCATTGATGGGGACGTTTCTTATGGGGGGCAATGCTATGTTGAGCGTGGGCATTCGAAACTTACTGCAGTGGCAAGTCTGGGGCGCTTTCCCTCTGCTATCATCTGGTCTGCTTGCCCTCCACCAAGCTTTTGAAAGGGCAACTCTTGGGTTATCAATTCGTAGATGAAAGAGCCAAATGAAAACACATCAACCTAATAAAGGAATTAAATGCTGGTATCAGAGCACAGAGTAAAGTGTTGGCGTTGAATTAATGATGCCTTAGCTATATATTCTGGTGTAGCTCTTTACGAAAGCGTCAGTAAAGGAATGCATGCTACATAAAAGAATACAGTTTGCTGGGAAATATCTAAGCAGTTTGCTGGGAAATATTTAAGCAGTTTGCTGGGAAAGACTGTGTTGGATTATGAGGCAAAAAAGTGAGACCACACCAGGGGTTCTATCTAGGGAACAAAGAAAAATTCGATGTCATTTACTTAAGCAAGGGAATTCTTATAGGGAATAAAGACACGGGAGCAAGGAGCAATTTACAGCAGATTTAATAGGGAGCATCCAAAAGACGTTTCTAGGGCAGGGGAGATATCTGCTGATAGATAAAATATTCCTAATCTGGAACATGAAAATGCTACCTCGAAATTGAAACTAAAATTCAGCCTTACCTAGCATTTACGGCATAACAACACCATCAAACAAAGTTTAAAAAGCTACATATATCAGTTAGCACATGATCGTGAGTTGGATACTTCACTTGAGTCGCCATGACTTTATTATGACCTTATTGCATCTTTTAAAAACAGATTCTTTAGTAATTGAAAAGATTCATTAAGTGTTATTCATTGTTTTTCATGCTATGTTATATGTTGTTTTTATTTTGTAAATAGTTTGCTTTATTTAGCTATTTTAACTCACTTTTATAGGTTTTGCTGTAAAGAATATTCATAATTGTAATAGAAATATTAATACCAACGTACCTTCTTTGTATAGTTTTCTTTTCCCCGGAACTTGATTATTTCCGGAGCAATAAAACCAGAAGTACCAATCAATCCTTTCACGCCAGCAACAACAACAGCCCGGCTGATTCCATAATCAGCCAGCTTCAAATTGACATCTTGCACCGATACACTCCCTGGCTCAGGAAATGACCACACCAAAATATTCTCAGACTTAAGGTCTCTGTAGATTATGCTTTGCTCGTGGAGGTAGCTTAAGGCACTTGACACCTAACATTGAAAATGTGAAAAATTCGAAACCTCTTAAACACTGGAGCAATCTTTAATTGAAGCTTTAGGAACTCTAAAATTCCTATTGAGGTCTACTTGTAGGAACTTTACATTAATAACAAAATTCAATTCAATTTTCAATTCACTTAAATTTTCATTAACAGCATTCATTCAAATCATTTACATTCAAGCAATAACAGAAACAAGAGTTTTCTAAAATTACGAAGCAGGATTAAATAACATCAGCAATCTAATGAAACTCTGCTTACCTGAGCGATACATTTTTGCATTGTATAGGGATCCAGTTTCTTCCCTACTTTTTTATAATCGCTTAAAATTTTATCCAGGCTGCCATTGGTGGCGAATTCAACAATCAGGCGAAGTGGGGATAGGCCAACACCAATCAAATCCAGCACGTGTCTGTGGCTTACGGGAACCAGAATCGATAACTCTTGACGAATAGTTCTGTTAACAAAACAGGTTAAAGAAATTGAAAGAGCAATAAACATTCTCTGAAAAAAGAAGGATTTGTGACCCAAATTCCCAGGTTCCTTTTGCAGCTTACAATCAAGGTTGCAAATCTATTTGTACTTCAGGAGTTTATGAAAAGCCTTGTTACCGAAATTATTAAACATTCAGCAGAGGAAAAGCGCTTCGTTTCAAAGATACCTGGAGTGAAATACAAGGTTTAAATCTAATTTTTAGATAATTACAGCTGAAGTGATAAACAACGCAGTTTGCCAAATTGGGTCTAGCTGAAAAGAAAGACCATCGGGTACATATCGCAGATTACTGTCCAAATCCCACAACAAACATTGAAAATTGTGAAGAGTTTTGGCCTAAGAGCGAGACGGACAAAAATCGAAGAAGAGGAAGAAAAAGAAGCAGAAGAAGACGAAGAAGACTGGCAGAGGACTGGCTGTGAAAATGCAATCATTTACAAAATGTTTCCATGTCTGGTAGAAAACATAATAACAGGTCACGTTCTCCTCTCCTACAGGCGCCTTCTGTCCCATGCAATAGGTAAAGGCAATACAATCTCAATCAATAATTTTGCTTACGTGTATACTCCAGTGGTGAAAAACGTTGGCGCACCCTCCTTTAGCTTTCTGTTCTTCTCTGCATCTTGTTGTGCGTCTGCATTTCTCGTGTCCCCTGCATCGGTATTGTTGGGTACTTTTACCGCCACTTCTACGGTCTCTTCATTTCGTTGCAGAAAAGCTTTGAAGACCGCCCCGTACGAGCCAGCAGCGATAAACTTGTCGGTCCGGATAGCTTCTGGGTTGAAAACCATGCCAATTGGAAGATCGCAAAAAACCTATGTACATGAAAAATAAGTAAGCGAGAATTCCACCTAGAAAGTTCCACTAGGAAATATTAGGCGCTTGTTTACATCGACAAAAACAATCAGTAGCCCCTAGTAGGGGCTTTTTGCATCCAAACCGACATGAGGCTGTCAATGAAAGAACAGTAGATGACCACAGATGTTTCTCCTTTAGAGGAAAAATTTTGCGGAGTAGACTGTCTCTTGTGAAGAGCCAGGCAACTTCCTTAAAGTCTTTTAAGAAATAAACACAGAGTAGTTACCTTTACGTAAATTTTAATAGGTTATTCATCTTGATTTTATGATTAATGTATTTCTAAGTATCAAAGAGACATTTACTTATATTTTTAGGGGGAGGGAGCTGCTGAATTGAAAACCGAGCTTTTTGCATTACTTTGAAACCTTCACCGTTGCCACTAATACCCATATCATAACTTTCAGTATCCTCCTTGTAAAATTTCCATTATTATTAAAAACTATTGTTACCCCTTCACGAAGCTATCAATTTATACAGAACTCATCAAGTTTTAAATTGCTAATCTGAAACAATTATGTCATGAAACTGAAAAACTCCCTTAAAAATCATGCGAACTACTTCCTATTATATCTAGTTAAAACAGTATGCAATAAGCTTTAAGCTGCAACAATAGAATACTTAGGGATAAGAGATAACAGCAGAACTCACAAGATCAGGAAACACTCGTTCGTATTGCAATACTCCATGTATAGCGCATTGAATATCCTTGTGCGAGTCTGATTTTTTTAGCATCTCTTCAAATTCGAATCCATTTATACTTTTTTTTGCAAGTGCCTCGAGCTCTGAAGTGGGATCATTTTCAAACTCGTGTCTCTCCTCGCCATCCTCTGTTGTATTGTTCTCATTCCCAGGCCTCTCACCTGATTCTGTTGACGCACTTCTTCTACTCTCCCTAGTATCTGAATTCTGGCTACTTGACCCTGAAGCTGACTCACCCGACTGATTAAGGCCAGGACTGTCTCCTTTCTTTTCATTTTTATCAGACTCATTTATTGTCTCTGGGTGCCCTTTATCCACATAATCCCCTTCGGTACTCTCCTTTCTGGACGATTTCTTGCTTTCCTGCGTCCTTTTTGAGTTTTTACCCCCCTTGGAATCACGCATGCGCCCTTTTGACATTTTCTTTTTCTTTCCCTTAGCCTGATCCGGAGGTTGGCTAATGTCAGATTTCTTTTCTTCTTCGGCCTCTCTTTCGCTTCCTGCCGGGCTCGTTTCTTCGAAACTACCTGTTACTAATTTTTCGGCTATGCAATCTGGACAAAGTCCAATCCTTTGAATTGATTTCTCCCCGTGGATATTTTGCAAATCGAGATCTGGAAACCAGTCTGTCATTAGATTGTCGAAGTGCTCAGCTGTCAAAACCAGTAGTTCACACGCCGTCTGTGGAAAATTGTTCTTCACTGTGGCAACTCGGAACTGCGTTTTTTCTAAAATGAAAAAGGAACCACGGTGCGGGGATTTAATCTATAGTGTAAGTACTAAGTAATAAATACAGATTAGTAAAACAAGGGACGGCCAGACTTGTGGATAAACTGAGCAACAGGGTGGAGGAGGAGGAGCAAATGGAAACTGCGCAGGAGAAAAAGACCGATAAAACCAAATAGAAAGAAACAAAGTGGCAGCTCTTAGGCCGTATTGAGCTGTCAAGGATAGGAATGTTCCATTGAATGCCCCATTGAATGCCCGAGAGTGTATTTATCACTGCCTGTATAACTTTCAGGTATACATAGGCAGAGTCTTTAATGATTCAAAATATAGCATTGGATTATATTTGTCAAACTTTTAAAATTGGCAGACTAGTTTCTTTAGTTTATTAAAAAAGGTTCAGTGACAGAACCCTACACCTGCATTAAACGATATTGTGGCAAATATGTACAGGATAGAAGAAAAGAGACAAAAACACTTCTTCAGTATGCTGTCAAGCAAAGAAAACCCATTTCAATGTTCACTTGCTCTTCAATCGTTAACGAAATCCAGAAAGCCTTTGTGCTAAAACAGTTTCACAATAATTTTGGCAGCAAACAGATTTCGGAACTTTTATATTGCATACTCCGGCAGTTAACTTTTAGCCTTATCTTGAGTAGCTAAATCACAGTTAAATTCAGCTTTCATCACGTTTCTAATTTTTTACTTTCAGACATGCAAGCAGCAAAAAACAGCAAAAAGCAGAAAGTGAAATCTACAAACAAGTGAATTCTACCCAATTCAGGTGATCAAGGTAGTACAAATACAGAGAATTGAAGAAACTATATAGAGGTACTTTAAAAACATCAAATTGACGGATGCTAAATTGCTTACCATTTTTATCACCAGGGTTGACAACCTCGATAAACAATCGAGCGGCCGGAACAAGAATTTCAATAATAGGGGTCCTGCTGCACTTGTAAACTGAATTCGTCAAAAAAACCTGGTCTGATTCTCTTCCTGGAAAAGGAGGTGCATAGGTCAATGTTAATTCAAGTACCTCATATGATGAAGCAGAACCTTAAATCTCCGTTTTTCGGCCACAATGCCCCAGCGTTAGCCCGTTGGAGTTGTGCCCCTATACAGACTCTGCTTTATAAATTCATCATAACATATACACTGTCCTAATACGACTGTGGACCTGGTAACACGGACGTTTTCACCAACAGGCTCGGATGTCAGCTCACCTACCTGAGGTGAAAATCTCGTACTGCATGACAGCTTCAATTATATGGGGCTGAACAGGTTTATGTCAATTACGTCCATCTCAAAACAATAGAAATTCCAGCCCTACTGCGAGTTCCTACCGAGTAGCTGAATATTATTTGTGTAATCAGAAATAACATTCTATAAGCATGCGATGATGAAAGGATAGAGCTTCGCCTCGGGTAGGAGGGCTGAAATGCACTAAACTTAAACTCCCATGATTTAAGCCTTAACAAATAATAAAGTTCGTACTTGAATCGGATAGAAAAAGACTGAATGGATTTTTGAAATGACGATTAAGAAAAATATGACAATTTGTTTTGAAAAAAATTTCTCATTATCATATGTTCTACGAAAGGCTGCTTGTGTATTTTTCGAGAAACCAAAAATCTTTGCACACAGGCTAATATTTGTGAATTGTAAGGACACAAGAGCTAATATTTACTTAAATAATCGTTCCTGAGCTTGATAAGAAAATAAAACAATTGATAACATATATGTGACAAACTAGTCGCATTAATTTTTTTATTCTTTTGCTTCAAATCTTCTCTCTTTTGTTCAATTCCCACGTTCATTCCTTTTCGTTTTTAGATCTAAAATCATAGATCTAATATCACTTTCACTTTAAAAATTTCATCCCCCCGTATCATGTTGATTTATTTTCTCAATACCATCGTACAGCTTGCAGAGACACATTTTAATGTGCGGTAGGAGGAGGGTGAGGGGGTTTTTAAAAAGCTTTAGCCCCTGGGGGCTTATTTATTTTTTATATCAGATGGCAAAAATCATCAAATTGAGGGGTCCAATTTGAGAATTTACGGTAGCAGTGGGGGCTTATTCGAGGGGGGGCTTATTGACAATTTGTAGTTCTAGGGTGGGGGCTTATTCGGGGGGAGGGCTTTTTCGAGGGGGGGGTGCAATTCGAGGATTTACGATATCTTTATTCAAACGAACATAAAATGGTTACAAACCATCATGGCCAAAGAAAAGTTCATCTGGTTTAAGTTGGCAGACCCGTAGAAGCTTCACGCCAAAGCAGGACAGTTCAACTCCGGTTCTCCAACACGCCCATTCTGGAACTGCTGCTCCGGACAGACTCTCTTTGTAAATTTTCTTTTGATCTTCATTTACGTCGTCAGGGCTCACAAGTTCAGAACAAGATGTGACAGCTTTTCCAATTCGGTTGTCAGCAATTAGCCTTTAGTTGAAAATATAACTAATTCATTCTAACATATACGGTAATATAGGATAGGTGAAAATGACTTTGATACACAAAGGATGGTTTCACTATATGCAAAGGATGGGATCAAATTCGAAACGTCATTGAAGAAGCTTGCAGCGAAATGTCAAAAAATAAATATATACCTATATAGGTAGATGCTCAATAAAAAAACGACTTGGTTGACGTTTCGCTGTAAGCTTCTTCAGAATAAGGCAAAGGCTGACAAGAGGAAAATTCTTTCCACAAGGGTGCTACCCAATTGTATTGAACCACTCTTGATCGGAATATATATATATATATATATAAGGAAATATTCTGAAAATATTTTTAAGTAACATTTCATACGAAAGAGGTTTTCCCAAGCGAAAAATCACTGTCTGACCATTAGAGGGGGTAGTGGTCGCTGATTGGCCATTACAAGGAGTCAATTGCCCAATTCAACTTCATTGCCCAAGTCAATTTTGAACCGCAACCTGGATATAAATTTTAGTTGAAAAATTTACACCATGATCAAATTTTTAATATTCTGCAATTTTGAAATGTGACAAAAAGCTGACTTGGTGGGCAGGCATACCTTGTTACCAAGCGGGCCCAAAAGCCACTTGGGACATAGGACATGCGATATTGCCTCCTGAAAACGCTGCTATTCCGATAGGCCTCCATTTTCATGCTGACTCGGGTCTCTTCGCTTAATGTGCTTGACACTGCGGGGCTCGGACCCTGCTTTGTTGGTAGCAACGATGGCACAAGAAGATAATTATTGGATATCTGTAACGCAACTTCAAATTTGTTCATCAGTTCGATGTATTTCTTCACATGGTCGGATGAAAAGCGACGGCCTTTAAATATCAGACCTTTTAGGTCTTCGATCCTCAACACGCCTGCAAAAAATTTGGTACAGTATAAAAAGCAAAACAGACAGTCCCAAGACATTATATTACAGCAACAAAAGAGGGCGGCAAAAATATGCGATAACTAGAAATGATCAGGGCACATATGAATAAAATAAGTGATTTATATCTCTTAGAAAAACAACGCTTTTTGTGTATAGAACAGCTCGGTTGCTACTCCAAGTTTCACGTATAATGCGATCTTTAGGCAACTGCAATAGTCGTTAGAAAAACAAATCTGTTCAACCAAAGATCTTTGATTCAACATAAGTTTTTCCCGTAAATTTATTCTTAACTACCCTAAATCAGTGTTGACATTTTAATCTACGTTGGTATGGAGCGATAGTCAAAATGGTAAGCAAATTTTTCCTAAACTATAAGCAAAGTTTTGGAACTGACAACAAAAAAACATACCATTTCGAATAAGTGGATTCACATCACGGGTTGTGATGACGTTTGCAAGCATATCACACAGCCACTGCGGGTCTACAAAGTACAGGTTTTCAAGAGCAGGTCCGTCGAAGTGAAGCAGGATTCCTGTTGAAACGAATTACTTTGTGCTTTAAAAAGGATGTGAAAGTTGCCCTAAATATCAGTACAGATAACAAGGCTTCAAAACTTATGATAAAGCGGAGAAGTTCAATTGGTTGCATTACAATTTTTGATAAAACGAAAACTGCTACTGTTTTTAAATCCTGTAAATATCATTACAATAAAATGTTACTGTAAATCTTTTATCTAAAAAGACAACCCTTGCTTTCCAAAGGAGAATGCTTAAGAGAGGAACGCATTCAAAAAGTGGCATCAATGAATTATCAAGCCAACGAAGACGAAAAATCTTTTTGGAATAGGATTTTATTTATCTGTCGCTGTTTATCAGAAAGGTGATATCGAAAGCAACCTGTGTTTCATCGAACAGGTGAAAAGCCATCGCTAAGTAAGCCATCCAATATGTAGCAATAACCCCTTCCTTTAAACCTCTGCATTGACTACTAGCAGGACTTTAAAGAGCTTTGCTAAAGGAAGGGCGTTTATCAAGGGGGCATTAAAGATAGCAGGGAGGGGCCAATTGCCGCCCAAGCTCTGGCGGGAATAAAAACAAAAGAAAAGTTGATCAGCTTCTGTGGTACCTAGAATTGTTAAATGGGGGGAGGGCGTTCTTTAAGCACTGGAGTTTAATTGATTCCGGTGTATGGCCCCACGATACGAGAAAAACTCGTGCCTATTCTTTGTTTGCCTTTTAGTTGGACAGGACAGTCAGACTCAGTAATCCTTAAGGTCATGAGGTTACTTTTCAAATATTTAGCGAAGATTGCAGATAAGTATACAGGATCAATGTCATCTATCGACTTAAAAACCATCTTAGATATTTCTGCCTTTACTGTGTCATTAATAATTAGCCAGAGAAACAAAGCTGCAAGATTTGCAGTGTAGCATTACCGCAGCAAACATTAACAAGTGCTTTTGGCTTTTTGCCTTTTTCAATTAGTTTTGCTTCGCAGTGGGTTGCTTACCGTCATTTTGCGTTACTTCTGTCTATCGTAAATAAGTTCAAGGTGCCTTTGATTAATAAATGAAAGGGATTGATGATAAATGAAAGGAATTGACGATAAATGAAAGGGATTGACGATAAATGAAAGGGATTGACGATAAATGAAAGGGATTGACGATAAATGAAAGGGATTATCATCACCGGCATACCACAATCATGCAGAAACTTCACTGCATTATCGAGCTCATCATCCCCAAAGTTTTTTAGCTCGTTTACATCGATTTCTTCCTGCACACTTGCCCTGTAATTTGAAATATCAATAAAAATAAGCTGACATGTATTGCAGCCTTCGAAGGAGATTAGATCGCAATGCATCAGGTAATTCCACAAACTTAAATAATTTCAGAAATCAAAAGATCTTGCCTAATTCGACGCTTTTTGCACCTGCACAGTCGATCAAAGAAACAAAGTATACTTTCATAATTTCCCAAATAACAAGTTTCGACAAAGATGGGATTGTCATTATATTCGATAAAGGGTTTAAGAAAAGAAGACTTGATTTGGGAAACAAATAGCAACGGCTGATTCGTTTAATTCATTGAAACATGATTCAGCAAAAAAAAAAATAACACAAACTTGAATTTTTTCTTGTCCAACACGGGATACTTTTTCTGCTTGCGCAATCTAGTTGCTATCGCAAGTACGGCCCTTTCAAGCTCTAGGTAACTTGCCGGAACAGGGGCTTCCAAAAGATAACCATCATCTGAAAGACGAGGTTTAGCTTTAATAAACGAGAAAATATTGCATCAAAACATATATTTAAAATTTAAATTTAAACATAACCTCCACATACCCTATTACCCCTACATACAGGCATGCGATAATTTACAGTTTTTAGAAGGATCGAGATTGAAAAGAGTATAGTATAAAAAGATATGTATTGTATGCCCGTGAAAAGGATATCCTCAAAGGGGGTCAATTCCTGTAAATGGGAGCATTTGTGCCTCTGGTTTTAAATGTAAATGAGCTGCAAAAGAGGCTGAAAATGATGTGCCATAAGCTCACCAGTATCTCGCAGCGACAATGCTTTGTCGTAAATCAGATGACGCAACTCTCTGATGTTATGCTCGCTTCTTGGCTTTGAACTTACTTCAGTAACTTCAATCACTTTAGGAAGACCTTTTTCTGCCATACTGGGTACACCCCCGCCAAGTTTTTCGGAAACATAACGTGAGTATAAAATGCTTCTGTATTCATCTACAGTTTGCTTGCGATTCGCCGGGGGAATTTCATCGTAATGGGTTCCAACAATGATGACAGTAGAGTCATGAGCACGTGCCTGACATAAAATCATACAATTAGATGATAAATAAAAGTGGGTCAAGACAGGATCATTTAGAAATGATTCATGAAACCTAGTTTTAACAAGGAATCTGATTGCAAGATATCAGCGACAATAGATTACAAATGCCATCCATTTAGCCACATTGGTGATCCAGACGGAAGGTTCGTAGGACCAAAAAAGGCCACAAGCGCCAAAATGTTTCATCGATTCACCATGGTTTTATCAATCTAGTGAATTCAACATGTAGTATTCTTCTTCTGTAGTACTCGAGTAAAATTGAATTGAATTGCATTGAATAGATCATATAGCTACAGTCAAAAGCCAGTGACAATCAAGCCTTTTACTCACAGATTTGATCTTAAAAGCTTTTCAAAATATTTTTGCACAGAAGATGTTATTCAAATAAATATTAATTCGTCTGCACAATTTTGAAAACAGATTTGAAAATTGAGTTGCTCTGCTGAATTTCAAAAATAAGGAAGATTTCTACGTAAATGTTACCTGGATGTTAAGAAGCCAGCCTTGTAATTGGTCGATTCCGTTTATCCCATCGGTCAGCTTCCATATCAAAAGATAAATTGCTCTTCGCGAAATGAAACAGGTGTGGGTTGCGTAATATTCATCCTAAAATGCGAGAAAAAAACATAACACAGAGCATAAACTTTTGTCTCTTGTGATAGAGTACTAGTGTTTAGACAGCAAGAGTAAATGTTTTGAATAAATTGAGGGTGGGACTTGTCTCTACAGTCTTTATTTCTTCCCTTTGGTTGAATCCCTTTGGAGATTAGAGAACACTTATAAGTGTACGAAGATTCTGAAAAAGATTGCGGTAAATGAGAAATGAGAGGTTACTAACAACTTTGGCAGAAAAAAATGGCTTATATCGCACACATACTAAGAAGAAATGATATGAGCAGTGATTTATTTTTAGAAATGGTTTATGGGAAGAGAGCAAGAGGAAGACCATAAGTTAAGCATAGCGACAGCATCAAAGAAATAGTTGGTGGAAGAGATATGGTACAGATATACAGATTGGCACAGGATAGAAGAAAATTGAAAGCCACGGTTTATTCAGAACTTTCAGATGATGATGATGATGATGATGATGATGATGATGATGATGATGATGATGATGATGATGATGATGATGATGATGAGGCTCCCTATTTACGACTCAATCTTGACCCCAAATGAAGTTAGGTGGGTATCAGATGGGTATAAACCAACCACAATTTGGTAACCACCCGAGAGTTTCATACATATTTCAGCCCTGAACCAAAACAGTATCTGTAAACGTCAATCACATGTCCTTCCAAACTGAAATGCTACCAACCCATTAATACTTATCATGCAGATTAAACTTTTTCTTGGCTCGCATTTTCTGGTTTATCTCAGAATGTTGGCAACGGCCATATAGCAAAAAACTCTCATGGCCTAAATAAACCAATTGATTTCTGGTATAACGACAGCAAAAACTTTTTACACGATGTCAGTTTCACATCATCCTTTGCAGCCCCTGAAAAGTACAACCAAGCTTGAAATAGCGCTATGTCATACTCAAGGCATTACCTGCCCAGCGAAATCCCATGTAATGAATTTTATTTCCGGTCCAAGATTTCCTCCAATCAGCTGTCGTCTCTGGTATGTCCAATCACATACATCCACCCCGACGGTTGATTCGTTGTGGTTTGACCTTCCACTTGGGTTCACTTCAAGAGAACATTTCTTGCAAATTATCATTAACATATGTAGCAAATTGTGCCCAGATGCAAAGAAACAGTAGACTAGATTGCGACATTTAAAACACAGCCACAAAGTGCAGTATGCACCAAAAACCTTTCCTTCACACCAGTTGCGCAATACTTAACGCTGTTTTGGTTTGAAAAGAAAGTTTCTTTCACAAAAAACAATCAGTCAATTTGACTGCAAAACCTGTAAGAAGCTACAATCTATAACGACAACGTGTAACAAAACACTTACGCGGTTCATCCCTCATTCGTTCCGTAAATCTTTGTGGAAATTCCGGATCAAGAAAGGCACCGGTTCCTTCTCTTCGCAGTTTTTGCAGCAAGGTTGACTTGCCCTTCCGGCTTTGGCCCACAAGCATCAGTTTGATCGTTGGATACGGTCTCGATCTGCATAAATACATATAAATCCGAATAAAACCAGCTAAAGAGTAAGGGCATTGTAATTCCGTAAAAACTTGCATAAATCTCGGCAAAAGATTAGCACTTCAGTTTATCATCGACATCTTATTTTTGGTTATAAAGCAACTGAATTAAAAATAAACCTACTGCTTGCAGACTCCTTTTAGAAAATTACGAATATATGGAACATCCAGCTGCCCTTTGCCATTCTTCTTTTCAATTATCGCTCGAGGTGGGTCACGAATATATGCCGCATTGAACTTCAGATCGTAGAGTTGTGAGCATAGTCCAAGTTCAGGCGGAAGTGTGTCGATTTTTGGATTTCCACTAACATCAAGACAAAGCAGTTTTGGCAGTTTACCAATATGCTCGGGAACATTTTTCAAGACATTGTTAGCCAAGTTTAAAGTTTGAAGATCCGGAAAAACGCAGTCAAACGTTTCAACCTTCGTTTGTTCCTTTAGACAGGATAAAAATACTAAGCTTTCTAAATTATTCTGTGATAAGTTAAGATTCCTGAGGTTTGATAAAAATCTATGTGATCGGTGACTGCAGAACCTTTTCTGCTTGGCATTTCGGCTCTGAAGGACAGGGGCGGATATACTTTTCTTCATCGTCGCGTGAAATGTACTGTAGCAAACGCGATCTGTGTCAGCCTCGTCTCCACCTAAATCGACTTTGGTGATTTGGTTTCTGCTCAAATCAAGCATAGTTAAAGATGGTGGCAACTGAGATAAAACGATGGCTCCCTGAATAGAGCAGCCGGCTGCGGTTAGTTTAAAAAGGTTTGGTGCGAGACATGGCAAATTAACTGGCAGGGCAGCCACATCTGGATTGTCTGAGATGTCTATCTTGGTAATACCGCACTTTTCGCCAGTTTCTTCTTCTTCTTCCGACTCATCGCTGCTTTCGCCATCCCAGGAAGGCCGCTTGCTTTTTACTGATCCTAAGAATTCTTTATCAACAGACATCGATCGCCGGGCGTCCGCCTCATCTGTTGAAGCCTGTCTGTCTGACCTAGAAGCATATGAGTTAATTTTTGTTCAATTGAAACATCATATTAAAAAATCATCGTCATAGTGAAAGTTAAAACCCTAGATTCTACACAAAAATTTAATGACCATCGCCACGGGATTTTGACCATCATGCGCATATTTAAGACTCGGTAGCACTCCGCTTCCTGTTTTGCAACAACCTTAAAATGTCATCAGGTAGCCCTTCGGATTAGATCAATTTTTGCTGATCATGCACAGGCTATTGTCTGTGCAGCCGTGATTTGCCGAATTTCCTATGAATGTTTCCAATTCAAATTTCCGTTGTGGGAAGGTGTCCGCTGTGTTAAGGTTTGTCTACGACGCCTAGCAACTTGCCAAAATTAAGAATTTTCTGTTTTGTCATCGAAATATGAATTAATCGAAATGATTTCAAGAAAAAATTTTGCTTTACTCACTTTGAAAACCTTTGCCTGTACCGCGAACTTGGATGTGAGGGTAGAGCAGTCAGTTGATTCCCTTGTAAAAGAACATCTTTTAAACTGGGCGCAGACCATAAATCTAGTGGCAGTTCTTTGATATTATTTCTGCACAAATTCAAAACCTTCAAACTAGGCAAGCTAAACAAACATGTTGGCAAAGACGTCAATTCATTTTTATGGATTTCCAGTTCTTCCAGCAGCGGACAGTTCCATTTCCAGCTTGCATTGCTTGAACCTTCTGCGCAAACGACCTCCTCCTTTGCTATCCTTCCTTCCTCTTCAATATGACAGCCATCGATTCTTTCCGGGGCATATTCGGACACAGGCCGGCCTGACTGCGATGAGTTTCGCGCTTTAGCTGGAGCTGACCAACTTGTCGGTCTCGCACGCGTTCCAGAACTTGATTTACCTAAAGATCCATTCATTTCCTGACTTTTTGAACTCCCATTAGAGTTTTGATCTTTTCCACCTTCAGGCGGCTTAGGCATGTTGTCAGGACATGGCAGTCTTTCTATTTTATTATCAGACAACGTAAGTTTTGTAAGCTTTGGGAGCTGAAACACCACCACTGGGATGTTTCTGAGCTCGTTACCCGATAAATCGAGTTTTGTGACCAAAGTAAAAACAACATCGCCACTTATCTTCGTAAATTTTGCGGGCGAGAGTGGCTTTCCAGGAGACAAGTTCATGTTTTTCCGAACGACTGAATTAACAATCCATTTTTTTCTCAGTTCAGTTAGGTTACGCTTGTTCCAAATGATTCTAACGGATGTAAAATTAGCTTCTGCATCTTGCAGTTTAGCGTCAGTCTCCTCAAAAACACCTCTTTCTAAGAGCAATTCTACAATGTGATCACGGTTATGCTTCACGGCTTCAGTACATGCAATATTGGTAAGGTCTTTGGCGCCAAATTCTAACAGCAACCTCACAATCGAACTACTGTCTATGGAGCAAGAAATACACAGAGGACTCAAAGCTGGCTTTTCCGGATTGCAAAGATTGGGGTTTGCTCCGTGATCAAGCAAAAGCTTTACCATTTCCTTACTATTGGCCCAGCAAGCAGTCTGAATTGGAGTCATTACTTGAGAATCCGGATCAGTTCGATTTGGGTCAGCGCCGTTGAGGAGAAGCATACGCGCAATCTCCACATTTTTGTGATGAATTGCGTAAATCAGGGGGGTTTCCCCATTTGGTCCAGGAATGTCAATCTGCAGGCAAGACGGGTGGACATACGGGACGGATCTAGAACAAAATATGCAACAAATCAAGGAATAATGTTGAAGATGGAAAAATGAAATAGTGACTGTCTGCTGGTACGCAAAGGTTATTTGTCTTCATAACTAAGCCTTTGCTGCTCTCGCAAAGGAAACACCATTAAGGGTAAAAACGAGGCTCACCCTTTCAGGATAGGCTTGCAGCTCAACAGCTCTAGAACTGCTTCTTTGTTCTCGCGATCAACTGCAAGGTGCAAGGCAGATACATTTTCTGCGTTCCGATAATTGACATCCAAGATCGAAGTGTCATTCTTCATCTTCAATTGGTCTTGGATAAAATAAAAAGACAAACGTCAGAATCAAATGTTTTCACAGTCATATAATCAAGTTTCCATCAACTTGTCTAAGGCATATGGAAGGAGGGTATAACACCCTTTCTGTTAATGCTGGCAAGCAGGAAGGCGATGTCTGAAGCATGCGTACATGCTCGGTCAACAACGTATAAGCGGTGGATTCTACAAAACAAATAACTTAGCAGACTAATTTGGTTATTAAAAGAACATCCATCGAATTAGAGAGATCATCTATATGAGTTTGCTACCTTGGATGGCACTTTAAGAGTTAATACGTCATGCAATAATTTGAGGAAATATTTTAAAAAATGACAAAAAAATCTCCTTGCAAACTGTAAACTGCAAAAGTCATCATAAAACTGCATCACGGTAGAAACCTAACTAAATAGTACTTAAAAACAACCCTTGATAAATTGTACCGTCTTGTCCTTTGGCACTATTTTTCCTTGAACTTTCGATGCTTCTTCTCTTCGGAGGGTTGTTCAGGTCTTCATTATCAACTTTTTTACGCAAACTCAGCAAATATTTAAGGACTTGAATCTTGCCCCCAAAGATGCCAGCATGAAGTGGTACAGATCTGTCTGTTTCCGTCGGTTGCATCAGTAAATTTGGCAATCTTTCGACGAGAATTTTTACAACATCTAAATGACCTGCGTAGCATGCTCCATAAAGCGGTGTGTACCCAGCCCCACCATTGGGTCTCCCGTTTGCACCATTATCAAGAAGAAGTTCCACGACATCAGAATGTCCGCCATGACTCGCTCTTGTAGGAAAATGGAAGAAATTTCAATAGTATCATTGCATTTTACAGATAAGATCATCCTTCTACTGTCAAGAAAACAAAACTATCGAAAACAAGAATAGCTTGAAGGTGAGCAACCAATGGCATTTTTAAGCTTTTTGGCGAAAAATTCAGTTCAAAACTGAAAGAATTTTACTTCTGTATTCATAATTACCTTTAAAATAAGCTACTTTAAAACAAATCCTATATTATTTTTTCCAATCAAAATGCAGAAATTTGCATTGCTTCCTTTCAACTGATTTTGAAGGTCATTCCTATAGTCCAAGTTTTGAAGATCAAGTCCTGACTGAGAAATAAACTATTAACAATAATACAAGGGAAATGCATTCATAAAGGTTCATCTAGAAAGAGAAGAAAAAAGAATGTTATGATGTGGAAGAAAAAACCGAAATGCCATGGCTGCATGTAAGAATGATTTATTAATTAGAGTCAAGGGCAAGGTGTGCAAAGAAAAAAGCTTTCAAAATTGAATGATTTGCAATCACAAACCAGTGTAAGTAGTTGGTAAATTTTCATTATTACGGTAAATTTTTTGATGATACTAATGAAAATCTTACTTAAAGAGCAGCGTGTTTGGGCCTCTGTAATAGCGGTTGATTGCATCCGGTTTGTTTTCAAGAGATTCAAGAACAGCCTTTGCTTGCTCGTACGACCCTGCCTGAATAACATCATAGAGCTCTAGAAAAATAAAAAAGTCATCAATCCTAGTCTAGTAGCTACTTGTCAAAAATGCAAATACAACTACAGCTTACACTCAGTCAATGTTTGGACAAATATTAATTCAGAACAGAAACTAATGGTACCTTCCCGTTTATGCTCCTCGTGCTCAATTTTCCGCCTTTCTAGAAATGAAATCAAAAAAAGGTTTAGATAATGTCTTCTTCACTGCCATCAGGATATAAACAGTGCATAAACATTCATGCCTAGCAATGTTATAGGCGATTTCAGTTGTATCCATGTATTACAAAATGATGATTTACTGATGATATCGATTATAATGATAATAGTCATGATGAGAACAATGGGCATTTACACTATTTCATGATTAAATCTTCACTAAATTGACATAGATATTAAGTGCAAAAATTTCATCAAACAAGAGATAAGGAGAATAAAGGCTATGAATAAACAGGAAACTCAAGCATTAGGGTTGAAAATTAAAAATACCAATGACAGAATTGATGTATGCAATACACTCATGGGCATCTCCTTGTTGCTCAAGAATATCCATTGCAGTTTCCCCATTGATGTTTCTGACATCAAGACTTGCATCATAATCCAGCAAAAGCTGGATGCAGTGCAGGCTTTTTATTTTTGCAGCATGGTGAAGAGGTGTCTATTGAGATGAGAATTATTATTAAACATTGATATTGTCAACCCTTATCAACAGAGAATGCCATGCGACCGTCAGAAATGGATTCACTAGATTTTCAAGGCATCTAGCCTGGAAAATATATTTTATTACCCTGGATAACATGATCAGACTTTACCTGATAACCAGGCCATTATAGAAATATTCTGTAGCAAAATACTCAAGGTTCATCTGAGAAAATATAAAGCCAAAAGAACATAAAGGAATTTGTTATAAATCCATCCAGCATTCCGCCATCTTACGATGATTATGTGTTCATTTACATCATAGAACTAATCAATGTAAAGAGAAACACTATTCTCAAAGAATGAATTTTATATCACTTGTATACAAAATACTTGTTCTCAACAAACTTTGTTACTATGCAAGGAAAGGATTTGGTACAAAATTTTTTCAAGTTGCCAAGCTAACCCAACAGTACCTTTCTACTTAGGCATTTTACTAAATTCGGCAGTTTTAGGGGACAGGAAACATCTCTAAGTAAAGGAAATCAAGATGTTTTTAATTTGTTTAATGTTTATTTTGTTACATATATATATATGTATACTTTTTGGTACATATAAAAACAAAATGCCCACATGTTATCTGCAACAAAATACACCAAACTGACAAAAATCCTCTACACCCGCTTACGTTATCAGCACTGATTTGTAAGTGAATAGCCCCTTAATCATGTAGTAATGGTTTCCTAAGAAAGGAAATACCCTAAATGCATTGGGTTCTTGTTTTTCTTTTTTTCAGCTGGTGATGCTAGAGAAAGGCTTGGGAGTCTAAAGCAAAGCCCAAACAAGGTCACTTATGGTATGTTACATAGAAAAAAATATGAACAACAAAGTAGAAGCTACTTAAAATATTATCAAAAATTAGAAGAAATTGTCTTACACTACAGTTGTCTTCGATATGTGAGCAGACATCTGGGTCAGCTGTAGGAGGACAAGAATAACATTTGAAACAAAATCAGTATTCCATTTTGTATCTGACAAACAAAATGTTAGGCCATCAAATTACCAGTACACTTCATTTTTTAAAAATGCATTGATGACGACTTTCAACCAAAGGGAAAACAATTTTCTAAGATCTGTTTTTCTTTTTCAGCTTTGGCTTTAAAAATACCCAAGGGGGTACTCCTTATTGTTCTATATAGGGGGGTCCATGTCAATATTTGAGGTCTGAGATTTTAGAAAACAAGTATATTTGGGGCAGTGAATCACAGCTTAAGAACAATTTAATATTTGATGTCTTGCATGAAGCCCCTGGTATTATGGAGCCACCAAAAATTTTTGCAATGTTTTTTGTCAATTTATGCAAAAAAATTTCTCAGTTGAAGTTTGTTTTAAAAGGCAAATCTATTTCAAAAGTCAAACAGATATTTTACTCTTTTTTTTCCTGTTAATTTTCTTGACAGCAACATTATTGAGGTATAGATAGATGGGTATGAAAATACAGAGCCTACTGGAAAAATTTGTTTGAGATACTTCAAAGATGATATTAAACATTCCTTTGAAACAAATAATTTCATCAGAACTATGAGAGGCATTATTTCAATTTTATGGGTTTGCAGTCAAACCCCTACTGTATTTTTCCTTGTCCTAATCATAGGGCCCCAAACTTAAAGTTAGGGATTTTAAATCTTGAAAAATATATTTTGGTTATATATTGTTTAATTTAGGGTATTCAGAAAATTGAAATGGGATTGAAAATGTTGTGATATTCAAGAAAATTTTACAAAAGTGGTAGTCCAAAATATGTAACAATATCTAGGGTCTCAAAATTTTGAGACTCAATATTTGGGGTTCTTCAAAACTGTAACTCAATATTTGGGGTTAAACAAAAAATTGCTGACATGGACCCCCTGGGCCCCCTGGACTCCGCTGTATAGAAAAGTAGTGAGTACCCCTTGGGTTAAAATACCCCTAACATTAAGGCTTTTGGTCACAACTCTGACTGCATCCCCATTCAAAATCTTTGCTGTTAATGAAGAGAAATAGGTTTAAAGATATAATCAAAAGCTCTTTACTTTCTGAATGGAATCCTGAGCCTAATTATCATTTTTTCTGCAGGAGAAATCTGCCCAAAAGATTTCCATGAATGTAGGGCTTCTTCATAGGCCAGTAATTTGTCTCATTTTTGGAAGTCTTATTAGTATAGTTAGGAGATCTAAGTCATCAGCAATACAACAGCAGAAAACATTTTGATCCCATTTATGCAAAATGTTTTCTGCTTGACAGGTATTCTCAAGTAGCAAAGACATTCATTAATAATGTGACTTCATGGTAGGGAAAAGAAGGAGTTTTATGTGTTGTATATGGGGAAAAGCCTATAATTCAAAGAAATGAGGTACAATCATTTGCAGTACACTCCAGTTTAGTCATATAAAAAATTGCTTGAAAATTTGTGACATAGCAAAAAGACCTAAATTGCACGGTTTTTGCAAATTTTGGTCAACAATTTATGTGACCATAACTGGTAATGTGACATTAAGCGGAGTGACTATAAGCAGAGTCAACTGTAGTATTTCAAAGACTTTGCGACAGGCATTGTAGCCTTGGGTGAAACAAAACCTTTCCATTTTGTGGATATTTTTAATTTAAATGCTCAAAGAAAGAGTACATTACAGCAAAGTTAGCCTAACAAAAAGTTTGAGTATCTAAAAACACTGGTAAACACTCAGATTTTTGTAGATTGGGGGTCCAGCTTTCCATAAAATGACAGCTTTGATCCTGGAAGAATATTAAGAAAGGCACTGTGCCACTATTTTCTGATATGTGAGGGTAACATGTCCCCTGATGCCATTGAATCTATGCCCTGATATAACAACTTTGTCACCTACCCCTTGTTCTATACTGAGGAGAAAATATCATAGGCAAGCACTACACCTTTGGATTTAGCACAAACCTTCTCGCTGGAGCAGCAGCTCTACGCATTTGTGACTTCCATTGCGAGCAGCATGGTGGAGTGGAGTCAAGCCCCACTGATCTCTGCTATCAACAGAGCCATGCACTTCAGCATTTAGTAGGTCATTCAAAATGTCTATCTGGTCATAAATTGCAGCAATTGAGAGAAGTTCTGCTTCATCTTCTGCCATACCCAATTTACTTGCTGTCAGCATAGTCTGCATGAGGAGCACAGCTCAAGTATTACACACATTTTCATTATAGCAATTTTTAGAACTCAAGCTTAAGACATAAAGAGCAAGCTTAAGACTGCAGTTCTTGTTTGTATTTGTATTTGTTTCTACCTAGCATCTGAATTATTTAGGACAGCAAGTAGCTATGTTTATCAAGCAGTGTCCTGTATCTTCTTTCAATGAGACCAGTCCTTGCTATTCCTTAACCTGGAATTGCAGAGAGCTGATGACTCCCCTCTCTCTGAGTGAAGGTCTGGTCATGTCAGGGACTTGAATTCTAGACCCTTTTAGCATTCAACCCTAACAAATGAGCAATATTCAGACTCTACTGAACTAAGAAATGTGAGAACATAAGAACACTGCTATAATGCATATACCTTTATGCCAGGGCTTATCTTTAGCCAGGACATAAGTATATTTTTTAAAGAAATAATCCTGGTACTATATAATATGTGTAATTCTTACTACAATTCTGCAGTAAACATTGTCTTTCTGCAGTGAAATGTCTTTAACTGACACCCTTATTATTTTAGAATAATTTAAAAACAACCCAATTTGAAAGTTTTTGCAAAAATCAAGAACCTAAATTTCTTCACTCTAATATAAAAAAGAGTGACTTAGGTTTGATAATTCAATTATATTTTATAAAGGGTATCTATTGGCTTTTACAGAATCTAATTTTGACCTTTCTTTCTTGCAGCTTTTATTTTCTTAAGTCAAGGTTTGATTCAAAGCCTTGAATTTGACTGGGTGACCCAGACAAAACAGTACCTAGTAAAAGGTCCTATTGAAAAAAAGAAAGAAGAAATTTCAACAGCAATTTGAAAGATCAGCTGCCTCGACCGACCACGTCGACTTCTTAATGTATCCCCGCAATCAAGAAAGTTATACGCCAAAATTTGAACTAACCGTAGGTTGCTCCTTGCCAATTTGCAACATAACGAACCTTCCATTACTTATTCATTCCTTGATTAGTTTTCCTTAAGGCTGGTCTCGCTCAGTTTAAACTAGAACTATTTTCGTAGATGAAAAGTGGAACTATCCGTGCCAAATAGAATAATTTATCACTTTACCGGTTCCCTAAACAAAGCAAAAGAAACTAAAGGCCTGCATGACGTAAACATTACCTGGCATCATGCTTGCTTTCGGCATTGTTTTGACAGCCCAAAAAACACGATAATTGTCGAACGCCACCATTTTCTAATGAATAGGCGTAACTTTCGAAACAGGAATTCACAGGAAGTTGTTACAATCGGGGCACAAAGTTCAAGAAAAAATCTGGAAGACGGAAGTATGAAGCTCGTATTACTCACGTGGTATGTAGCGTGTATCTTTTTGTGTCATATTTTGACAATCAAAGCACGTTTTTGTGGTGGATCACGATCCTTTCTTTCTACCATTTTGTTTTTAATGTTATCAAAATGAAACCGACTATTAAACATATTTCTAGGCGACTCTCCTTCACAAAGGCAGCTAAAGAACTTATAAAACATTCATTGGCGAATTTTGATTTTAATTTTCTATGAAATAAACGAATAAATTCCGTAGACACGGGCGGATTTAAGCAACAATGATGGGGGGGGTGTTATACAGTAATTTTGGTGCCACACCCTTCAGCTTAGTGGTAAATGATGGAAACACCCATTTTTAAAATTTAGTTTTTAACTGTGGCGTAGCCAGGTTTGGAAGGTTGGTATGTCGCACCCCCTACAACCCCCTCCCCCCCCGCTAAATTCATCCCTGTCCGTAGAGGTACTCTTTTCAGAAAAACCGCAAACCGCGGTTTATGAACCATGATTTTTCACCATTGTTATCAAACCATCGGGCATGAAGGAAGTTGCTTCTGCCAATTCCTCGAAAACGGAGTTTTAGAAGGAAGAGGGTGTGGCTATTTGTATTTCCTTCTTCCTTCTAGATTCAGGTGGTGTTGATTTTTTACGTGAACTGAGATTAATAAAATATGAAAATGCCGTAATGGAACAAATACTTTATAAGCTGTTGTATAAGAATACCTCAAAATTGTTTATATTTTCATTGATATTATCAAAAGAAATTGTTTAATTAGATCAGGGATGGCGAAACTAGGCGCGGCTGGGTCATGGCCCTCCACTTTTCCACAGATCAATTAAATTTTCACTAGGCAAAAATAGAAATAAATGTAGTGTACCCTTCTGCAAGCATTCGTGCTTAGTATTGCCTTAAATACACCCATAACTATGTCTTTGCCGTTTAAATATTTATAATTTGATCGAAAAACCGAATCATTGCCCAAGTTGAGTAACATCTTTTAAAAGATGATCGCCAGTTATAAAGCATTGTACAATCGTTACTCGGTAGAGAAATCGATTCAGAATTACTTGTTCCAAATGTCCAATGATGAAGATTCGTTTTTCCTACTGCCTAAATTTGCTTCACAAGGTCTATTTGTTAACGAGCAACCTCTCAAAAACGTTGCAAAAATTAAAATTAGTTTTTGGAGGAATGGAAATTGTTGTGAAGATTATTGTGAGAATTTAAGAAACGAAGAATCGGCGGGTTTCTTCTTTCAAAGTCTAATTTTAACGATGATCCTGTACTAGCAAAACGGAGAAAAACGCTAATTATAAAGATGTAAACAAATTGTATGACACCTATTTCTGTTGGACAATGAATGAAATATCCAGAGGCAAAGGGGAAGTTAATTCAAGAAATAACTTGATATTTTCGAAAAAAATAACAGAATTGAAAATACTTTTTTAAGGACTTAACAGATGATTACCTCAGCTTTGGAAAAAGACGATAGTGTAGGAATTACGACTATGAGTAAGCTTTAAAAAATCTATTGCAAGTAGACCCAAGGATTCTTGTTAAATATGAATAGACTCGTTTCTTCTTTTACATGGGCACATTCAGGGGCGAAACTACCGGGGGGGTGTGGGGGGGTGTAACACCCCCCAATCCAAAAAATAGTCGATTTCGCAGGGCAATCGAAGATTTTGCAGGGCGCCAAGAACGGAACAGGTATGTAAGGAAAAGCTCCGTTATGCATTTTAGAGAACGAAACAGGTATGTAAGGAAATGCTCCGTTATGCATTTTAGAGAACGAAACAGGTATGTAAGGAAATGCTTCGTTATGCATTTTAGAGAACGGAAAAGGTATGTAAGGAAAAGCTCCGTTATGCATTTTAGAGAACGAAACAGGTGTGTAAGGAAATGCTCCGTTATGCATTTTAGAGAACGAAACAGGTATGTAAGGAAATGCTCCGTTATGCATTTTAGAGAACGGAACAGGTATGTAAGGAAAAGCTCCGTTATTTGCAATGCGAAAGCATTTCTTACCGAAAGTCATAGCCAATGGATGCAATGATTGATGCATATGTTTATGAGGGCAAGGTTGAGTCCATGCAAATTAATTTAAGTTGTAAATTATTTTCATGACAAGCACGGCGTCACTGGAGGGGAATAAGAGGCTGAAGGCCCTCACTTTGGTCAAGATCTGGAGGGGAATAAGAGGCTGAAGGCCCTCACTTATAATTGTTTCTGTTACTTTTTAACAGTGCAGGAACTAAAAAACATAATAAATCGTTAAGATACCGATTTTGTTTCATCTAATTGCTAACTTTTTCACGTATATTTTTATTATTTTTCTTTTATTTGCATTAATTCAGTAAATCACTTTCTGTATCATTGCAATGTTTTATTTTGGATGTGTAAACATGGCCTTTTTGATACAAGAAACTGCACATTTCTGTTCAGGAAATAAAATTCCCCCAATCAAAACAACATCTTCCTCTGTCATTCACAACTACGTGCAATCTGAAGCGAAAGGTTGCCGTTCCTTTCCTTCCCCAGCGTCTAATACTAGAGTTTTAGCATGACATCCCCCTACCTATTTTTCCCAATAAACAATAATATTTTCAATAAACAATCAGTTCTTTTAGCACAATAGTATTTTGCTAATTTTTTGTCTGAAAGATGCTTTTTAGTCCTTTCACAAGGTATAATTTCAAAAATTTTCTTCACGTCGGACCCAACCATGGTGGGTCCCCCTATCTCACTAAACTTGATTCTTAGCCCCACTGGGCTAAATTTCATTGCACTGTCTACATCATGTACCCCTCCCCCCCCTAATTAGCTGTTTTTTAGCTTAATTTTGCAAACCAACATTAAGTGAAGTGAATATATAAAAACAATTTACGCTCACGTAGAGAAATAGATTTTTCATAGGCAATGAAGTTTCAAGTTTGTTTTTATTGCTTAGAAGTTTGTCCTTGGTAAAGACCAGTGTACACTGGTAAAGCTTTCACTAGTAACCTATAGACAAACCGTTGCTACGAGGTCTGCAGGGCACCACTCAGTTTTGCAGGGCAAAAACCCTTTTCACCCCCCCAAACCTATTGGCCAAGTTACGCCCCTGGGCACATTACCTTAAAACCTGTTGCCAAAACATAGTTTCTTATCTTTTTTCACTGGTGTATTTTTCTACACATACAAAACCTATGTCGTTATCACTGTGCTATCAATATGTGCTCATAACATATCGTAAAAGCTCTATTTAACACCCCTCTCTTTTAAGCCCCCTTCTTTATAAAGTCACACCTTATCAAGCAAAAATCTAAAATAAGCCCCCCTCTGTCTATTAGGCTTCCCTCCCTCTTTCGCCCTTGATGTCAAACAAAGAAAACATGCGCGAAATTAGTTTAAGAGTCCCAGAGGAAGAAATTGTTTAGAAAGTGTCCCAGGGTTAGCAATGGGTCCTGGTAATTCTGATGAAGAGGACATTATAATTGATTAAATTTACTAAACTTTCGAAGCTGCTAGCAAAGTTTCTCGAAAACATTTGTATGACATTTTTATGACAAAAATGCAAAAGAAAATGTTTCTAATTTTTTTACTTTGAATGATTATTTAGCCCTCCTCTTTAACGAGCCCCCTCTCTTTCAAGCTCCCTCTTATGATGGGCATGGTACCTAGAGGGAGAGAGAAGGAAAGATCTTCCTTCATTCATTCTCCCTAGATGCAATTTTATATGCACTGAATTGCATCTGCCATTCCTGTACCAACGTTTCATTCCTGTACAATTTATCTACCTCTTTCTTTGAAAAAATTATGCTTCAAAATCGAAAGTCGAAAGAACGTTGTTTTGTTACGTCTACAGGTACTTTGCAGTACGCCAACATAGATCCAAATCGGAGTTATCTTTCGAAATTGACCTAGACCCTTCAAGACCTTTCAATTTATTTAAACCTTTTAAATTTTTCACAAGCTTAAGAAAATTGTTTACATATGAATGCATCATCAGAACCTTGCCTTGCTAAATGCTTAGTTATAGGTGCAATGTAAGTGTTGCTGATATGATGAAAGAAACTTGTTCCTGAACCTTTAACATCTGATAGTCAGACTTCAGTGTCCGATTATCAGATATTAACCAGTTTTGTTTGCAGTCTTTAGGAATGACTATTATGTTTGAATAGAAGATACAGGATTTCTGGCGAGCGGCAAAACTTATATTTCCATTTGAATCTTGACATTATTCCAAGGCTAAACTTGTTTCGTCGTTGTTACCTAATCTTCGATTTTATGCCTTTACTGTGGATGCTAACTTTGGTTGTAATGAAATTTTCTGAGTGCTAAATTGCAGTGTAATTATTCCATATTGAATGATCGGGTTTGCATAGCTTCCGTGCAGACTCTACGGAGGAAAATAAACCAGAGTCTCTGGGACTTTTCTCCTCCGTAGACTCTGCACGCAGGCTAGTTTTGCATGATAGGTGGAATCGTTGGCTTGTGTATCAGCGAACTTCACATCGAAATGAAAATTATCAACGACTAAGCTTCTTTAGGAGGAATACCATTCTTTAAAATGTATGGGAGCATTACTCTAGCGCTATATCATTAAGTGCCTAGTGAGACATATAAGAAGCAAATAAATTCATCAAAGGAGGTTCTGTTTAACAATAATGCATCATGAACATTAGAATTCAGCAGAAGAACTAAATTTCTAAAAATAAAAGGCTAATAATAGCTTTGTAAAATTGAATGGTAAAACTTTTCCATTGTAGTTTTGTCTTGTATCCAGCCTCTATGAGATCAAGCAAATCATTCTGTTAAGCAGAATTTCAAATCATAGAATTTCGATAAGCAATATTTATAGAATGCCAAGGTATATTAGGATGGTATTGGTATTTCCCTTTGCTGGGTTCCAGAGAGAAAAGGGTTTTCAATAGGATGCGGAGAATCTTGAGTCGGGCTTACCCTGCGCACCCCACCCCAATAAGGTTTATCTTCGTGATTCGTGATAAACTACTATATAACATATAACTTGTAATTACCTTTCCTTTTTAACCATGTAAATACTTTTATTGAGAACAGGGCCCTTATCAATAACAGTGCCTTTAGCACTGAAAAGGCTTTGTGTAAATATTTCTGTTATTATTATTATTAACAAATATAGAATTTAAATGATCTTCAAGAATGACTTTTCTTGGTAACTACAAAAAGGGGCCAAGATTTCATCAATGTTTACTTCGGTTACAAACCAAAACGCTTACCAGGGCCCCTAGCTTGTTAAATAAATGCAATAAAGATTGAATTGAGCAAAATAAAAAGAGCAACTCTAACAAAGTCAAAAAACGATTCAACAGCTTTAGAAAAAAACATTGAATTTTTAGTAGAAAGCTGGGGGACAAACAAGAGGCAAAGGAAATTTCTGGGGGTCGTGGCCCCCTGCCCCCACCCCCCAAGTTATGAGAAAGTCAAAATCCTAAGAAATAACTGTACATACCTTCTATAGAGCTGAAAAATTCTTAGTAAGTCCAATAATCTTGATTCTTTTTTTTAAGTCGTTTTCCCCTTAAACTGTTTTCATAACATAGGCCATAGATTGCTTGGTGGTGCCATGACCCAATGCACATTTCATATTTATTCACTCTGCTGACCTGACCCCCGCCCCTTTCCCCAATTGACATGACAGATTTACGGCCCCTGACGTTTACCATTTGGCAACACAATTCCCAGGGGGAGTGGGTCCTCTTGTGTTGGGCAAGAGGTGCTCAGGTTGTGATATGAAATTTCGACTCAACAAATATTCCAGCATTTAGTGAACCCTATAAAGTTTTGTGGCGCAATCAGTTAAGAACTCAATTGCCTATCTAGCGTTTAATAAGGTTGATAATAATGATGATTACGATGATGATGATTATATTGTGAATTCGAACAAATTTTCAGTTTTAGATATAAATCGTATTCAGATTCTTCTACTAAGGTATATATTTATGTATTCATTCATTGTTGTCAGTGTACTTTCAAATTCTACGCTTTTAAATAGGGCCCCCTCGACAAACAGCTGATGCCCTTAATCTTCGAATTGACCACCCTCTTGTAAATCTCCCTCCATGGCCGTAAATCTGTAATGTTAATTGGGGTGGGAGGGGGGGGGGGTGCTGTCAGCAGAGCGAACGAATATAAGGCCGTGGCACCTAGGCAGTGTTGTTATAGATACAGTTGAAGGGGCAAGCGACTTTAAAAAAATAACCAAGATTTCTAGATTAAACTTCAGAAGGCATTGACAGACATTCCTAAGTGCTTTTAATTACTTACTTATAATTGGTTTGACAACACGTTTTTATAAGGAGCCACTTTATAAGGATTCTACTTGTTGAGGGCCGAAAAAGGTAAAGAACTTATGCTTAAAAGGCGAAATCTCTTAGGAACTTTTCAATTTTGAATATTTTTATCACTGCAAATAATGAAGAATTAGAATGTCGCTTGGCTGAAACTAAACCAATCAACCAAAACTCGCATAGAATGTGCTACGCATGCATCAAGTGTTTCATTGTGTAGTTTCCCGCTTGGCTGTCTCTGTTTATAAAAAAATTTTATGAGAATATTCTTTTAAGTATTATTCAGGGTAAGAATCGTCCAATTTTAAGCAATATCATCAGAATATTGCTCAGCCTTAACTCACATATTTCTGTTATATTTTTCAGCAGTTGCCTGTTTCGCTATTTTCATAAAGGAGAATCGCAAAACTGACATTTATCGTTTTTCAAAAGAATGTTTTCTTTTCTAGAGAGATGAATGTTTTCCTGGAGCCATATCGGATTTGAAAAAAATAAGCCTAATTTAAGATTACATTCAGGCTCAAAAAGAAAACTTCTTAAGAACATAGAAGCCGGACAAAATTTATCATATTTTTTTAAATGAAGTGTAGTGTAAATACAACAGAGAAATACACCATTTTCGATCATGATTATTTAGCCCAAAATTACAAAATTTAGCCCATGATAAATCAACTCAGCGGAGAATGAGAAATTAACACTGTAATGAATGAAGACTTGATAAAAAGGCCACTAATGACATTGATCAAATTGGTATTATGGACTAAAATATCATTTTATTCCTTGATTTATACTTTGACTTAATATATTAGAGAGAATTATTATCTAAAAGTATTGAAAACAGTGAAAATGCTATAAAACGAGTAATTCGCATGACAGTTTGTAGTTGAGGCTACAAGCCCTGTAATAGGGTTATTTTGCCAAATGAATGTATCCACCTTATCATTATCTTCGAAACTAAATGGTTCTTCCATCCATGAGAAAAGAAACAAATAGACACAATGATAATGTTGAAACGTCTTTCTTCAGATCAAACGATCTTTCCGCGATAAAAGGTTCTATAAACTTCACAATGTTTCTCTAACAGGCACAGTCTTTCACAAGCACTGTCCGTTCAAACTATACTATAGTGATGCACAATCAATAAATCATCACGCGCGATTCCATAAATGCAAATACGTATTCTATAAATCCATACTTCATGTCGACAAGATCTTTCACAAGCATCTTGCCACATTTATAAAGCGTCGAGAACCTAAATATACAAAATATCAAACTTAACCCTATCGCTCTTAACCGAATTCCATTTCCAACTTCAACTCCAACTCCAACTCAAAAACTAACTCTTTATGTAATACGCCCAAAATATAACTAAACAAGAACTTATTGTAATGCTACATAGCTACGTAAATTTACATAATAATAATGAATACAAAATTTATTAGTCCCAAGATTAATTACATAAACTGAACAATGATACTAAAAATCCCAAAAGAAATAGTTAATGAATCTAAAGGTGCAATTAGAAAACAAAAGGAATTATAAACAATCGAATGTGCGAACGGTGATAAAATTACTAAGGTTACAGGATGCAAAACAAACGAAATCCAAACTAGCACTATTACAGCCCTCTTTTTTTATCAGAGTCCCAATCGATTTAAAGCTACTAAAATTAACAAGCTGCAGGGAGGAAATCGAAAATACGAGTTTACGGTGCTGAAAGGCTACCCTCCTTAAAGAACTTATGAATGAAATGAATGAATGAATGAATGAATGAATGAATGAATGAATGAATGAATGAATGAATGAATGAATGAATGAATGAATGAATGAATGAAGAGCTTGCATGGGATGAGAGGGGCAAATCCTTTTTTACGGGGACCTTTACCAATGGTTACGAACTAGAGTCCAGACTCTTTCCAGTGCTAGATTTACATAGAGTACCTGAACAAAAATAAAGAGTTGGCAAGATTTTCTAAAGGAAAAAATGTTTAAATGGTTAGGGATAGAGACTAGCGAGGAGAAGACTGAAAAGGAACCTGATCCGTCGAAAAACGTTACTGAATCAAAGGATGATGAAAAAAGGCAAGGTTTAAAAGCTGATGCAATTTCCGATTCAACCACAGCTTCGCCAGAATCCGGGCCTAAAAGTAATGCAGCAGACAATCTTTCAGGGACGACAGGCATATCAGGAGCGCTAGGTATTCGAAATGATCTATCTCTTTTAGTAAAAATCATGATATTGTTATAGAATGGATAAAAGATACTGTTTTATCTTCTGATTTCATAACTTCCGCTGTGCATGATTAGATTCCAGCTTAATTAAATTGAAACCTGCAGGTTATAAAAAATACACAGTTAAATCAAGCAAACGCTGCCAGGATCTAACTGAACAACTCTAACAATTTTTCAGTGAAATTTCCATCATATCTAAAATGACATCATAATAAAATGTTTTTCAATTGATATTCTCAGGATCTAACATAGTTGTGTGTACTATTGTGTGCTCAGTTAAAGTGCACACTCAACCAAAGTCTACACTTGCACACTTGAGATTTTACTCTTGCATACCCGGAGATCTTGTTGGAAACTGCTGTCGCGTCGTCTGCAGTCCAGAACTGTGGTATGATAGTTTGAAGCCATCCAGAGTTCCGACTGTTTGCAATACATTGATTTCAGGCTATTTGGAAATGAAAGGATTTTATACTTTTCAAACCAATAGTAATAGCAATCTATTATTTACTTACGTTGGTGATAATAGAATAAGCAATTAAGTTTATGTTCATTATCAATACTGTCTTTCTATCTAAAGGAAGCATGGAGTTTGCTTATTTTGATTTATCTCTTTGCTTAGAATCTTCTACAGGTGGTACTTTTCTCTTTATTGCTGACATCATAAAGCATTGTTTGTTATTCGTGACTTTTCAACAACAAGTACTTAGATACTTGTACATTTACTGTTCTTCGCACGGTACCTTGCCGTATTAAATAAAAAAAAATTAATTTAATAAAAAAAAAAAAAAATAGAAAAAAAAGAAAAGAAAAGGAAAAAAAATGAAAAAAGTTGTTTTTGAGCATTTAAAAAAAATTTAAAAAATAAAAAAATTGTATATAAATGAAAAAAAAATTTAAAAAAAATTAAAAAAGAAAGTTGAGGAGTTTTATATACGAAGGTTGCAAAAAACTACCATTATGATAGCAGGCCTTTTAGCCCAATGCAACATGGAAATCAAATTTTATTTGAGTCCTATATATTTGTGTGATTATATGTTGTATTATCTGATAGAATTCCTGTTTATGTATTCCTGTTTATGTTATTAGTTTGTGATTTTATGGTGTTTTTGTTTTTTGTAGGTCTACTGAGTAATCTTGCCAATGTTGCAACTAAAACAGCCCATAGGTTGAAGGAGAGTGTTGATGTAAAAATTGATCAGGTATCAACTTACTTTTATTGCAATTTTTCCTTTGGTTGCAATTTTTAATGACAAAATGCATTTTGAATTGAATTTCACAAGAACCTCTTTCAAACTTCACTCAGACGAGATGATGTTGGTGAGATTTTTATATGAATGATGTTAGCTTTACACAATGCAGCCACTATAAAGTCAAAGTAATTATTCTTTATTAGAATAATGACTACTAAATAACATGTTAGTTGCTGTTGCTTCCCATCCTAAATCACAGTCAAAGCCAAAGAGTTGGTTCTCTAGATGGAAATTTTGTAACTCAATGTACAGGGTAGGAGCAGGGATGAAATTTCACTATTTTCACTAGGGGGGGGGGAGGGGGGGCGGGTATGAAGCTTCAATGACCAACAAAAGGGCATGTCATGCTTGATGGAAGGGCATGTCATGCCTGAACATCATTTTTAGGGCACATCACCTCAAGAGTTGAAATCATCAGGGACCCTGAGAGAGGGTCACTAACTATGTTAGGCCTTCAGACTATTTTCAAAGCCAAAAAAATATGCCTCTAGTTTTTCTGGTGTTGGCTATAAACATATGTTCAAAAGATAGAAATGTAATTATGTTGCTGTTGCTTGCCTCGTTTCTGATTTGTTTTCCCAGCTGGGCAAAAATAGATAGGGTAAAAATACCATTAATGAAAATGCCAAGCTGGGGCAAAAAGTAGCAATAAATGTGCGACCTAAACAAAATTTCCAGATATGCCCGACCAATATACTGGCAGCAATGAATTTGCCCAACAAGATCTGCTTTTCTGAAGATTGGAGGGATGCAGCACCCTCACCCCCGTACCCCCCAGCAGTTTCACCCCTGGGTAGCAGTTAAACAAGTTGTTCTCAAGAATATTTTTTGCAATCTATAAGACTGTTTAGATTTTTTTCAACAGACTATTATTGGGGATTTTCAAAGGGAAAATGAAAAATTTATCAAAGAAAAGCATTCAAAGAGAATAGGTATATACATGTTTTCTTCTTTTATTTTAGATTTGTTTATTAAGTCAGTTTTTGATTGTTAGTCATTAGCAATAGCAACCACTATTTCTTTATTTTTTTTCAAATTTTCAAATATCATCCATAGCCTTTGAAAGGCATTTTATGAGTATTGTGTATTTTCTATTTTATTCAACAAGGTTACTTTCATCTTGATTATGCTTCATGAGATATTAAGAAATATTATAGATATATTGATCAATGGATTCATAATCAAATATTTTTTTATGCAGCTTCCTAATGAAAGGAGAGTGCTACTCCAGTTAAAAAGAATCCAGTCTTAGGCAGGATCATTTCAAACAGCTAATTTGTTGGTAATTAATTTTGATGAACTGTACACCAAGTTAGGAGTCAGATCCTAATAATGGATGTTTTTACTTTAATAGAGGATCCTGTTCCACCATGGGTTGGCTACAATGAGGAGAAGGAAATGAAAACACAGATTCTTGCACTCTCATCAGTAAGCTGAAATGTCTATCATTTCATCCAAGTACCCTTGCTGTTGCAGCAGTATTTTGATTAAAGATTGTTCTTTAAAGGAGCAAATATATCACTAAATGCAATGTTTTGAATTAATTAACATATTATGACTTAACAGTACTTAGTTAGTTGTAGAGCTGGGGGCCAAGGACATATGGTTTGTGAGCACATAATTAGGCCCTTTTTAACAACATAACAACTAACGGTAAAGACAATAACTTAAATTGTTGTCTTATTTGCCATATATGCTCTGTTATTTCTTCTTGCAGGATGAAAGGAATTTCATGAGAGATCCTCCAAGTGGTGTGGACTTTCATTTTGATTTAGAGGTTGTAATGCCAGTTGCACTGAAAATTCTTGAACAAGACCAAGAACTGCAAAATATGAGATTTAGTCTTGTTCCCAAAAAGTAAGCTTTTTAAATTTTCATTTCTTTGAAAATTGATACTGTTGAAGCAGTTCCAACATGCCTTTTTGTCCGAAGTTTATTATTTCTGCCAATGATAATACAACTAATCAAGATTTTTTTTTCTATAGCTTTTGGTTTATCATGTCTAATGCGATCATACCCGTAGGTTCTATTGGGAAGCGCGTGTTCAATTGGAAAGCAGGCCATATTAAACTTTTTCCTTGTAATTTGATAACTACAGAAGCTTCTGATTTGAAGAGTCCATTTTAATGGATAAACCCCAAGGTGTAAGCCCTTTTAGCTTTTAACCCATCAACATGTTGCTAATTTCATGAGATTGAATGATTTAACAAACAGGATTTTTAGCCATTCAAATTTTGCTTTTTTGCTGACAAGATTGTCTTGTATCTCTTTAGAATTTATAATGTCATTCGGGATATTGTAATTTTCTGAGAGTATTGCAAATTTCTTTTCAGAATAAAAGAGGAGAAATTTTGGCATAATTACTTTTACAGAGTTTCCTTGATAAAGCAGTCATCCCAGCTGTCTACTTTGGCTCAAAGTGGTAAGAGATTCCTTTGCGAATGTTCAAACCTAGAAGCTTGTAAAATTATTGCTCATGTCCAAACGGTCTAAGTATTTCAACAATTTAGAGAAAGAAGAAAACTTGAACTACCATTTCAAGAAAAAAAAAATTTCTCTTGATAGATGTTAATTGAGGTTTATTTATCTGACGGGGTTGTTGTTTGCCACCAAATGATGTTAATAAGCCAGTTCAAAAAATGTTTCAGGTTTTCCTACCCTCGCAGCTTAAATCTACAAAGGGTTGAGAAATAAACTATCAAAATTCCTTCTCTCAGAAATTTATATCCGATTTAAAGCCCATTGGGGTGGCAATCTAAAATACGAGAAGAATCCATAGACTAACCTTGTCTGAAATTAATTTATAAGTATTGTACCAGATCTAAAAGGTTGATACAAGAAACATATTTTAAGGAGGGAAACTATTTAACACCAATTACTGTTCTTTTAGAAACGAAGAGAAACACCAACAGTCAAGAAAGCAAACGAAATTCAATGACAGATTCAGGTAGGTCGTAATTAGATTCTAATCTGGAATATGGAAGGAACCATTATTCCATGGGGGCATTCGCCAATCGTCGACTTAATGATAAGATAATAATTATTGTTTGTTTTATGAACAGTAAAAGATTGAAGGATAAGTTACACATGAACTTTCTTAGCCAATTTAGAAAGGTGGTCCTTTCGACACATTCTAACATTTTTGACATGGCTTTGGCAGATAGCAGTGATTAAAGATGTCGAATATGGAATTGAATTTTTCATAAGCTTGTTAACTGCATAGGTTTCCTTCAATTGCCGAAAGAGCAATGTCACCAACAATTTTGAAATGCCTTTATTTTCCTGCAATTAATTGTCTTTTAACATCATTTGCTAACTGAGTTTTTATTATCAGCTATGTTATTGTAGTACAGCTGAACTGGATGATAAACAGGCCCCGTGAAAAGCCATTTTAGATGCCTAGTCTTGCCTCTAATGTGCTTGGCAAAAACCGGCTTATCGCTCTATTCTTTTTGAGGGTGTATAGTTCGTTTGCAAAAGCATTGTCTTTCAAGGTCATAATTCTATTCTGATTTTGGATCAATTTAATTTCCATAGAAAAAAGTGAAGCGACGACAGAAGGACACCTTGTGAGTATCCCCCCTGTACTTTTATGATATTTGATCAATTTTCTGGTACAAATATACAGACCTAGTGTGGTGATCTCTAGAAATATTCCTATTGCAGGAAATATTCTCAAGGGGGGCCTCTTCTAGTGCTAAGATTAGACTAAAAGTATGGCTCAAAGTTGCTGTCTTATTTGGCAAAAAACCCTTATTGGTCAATCTTTAAAATCTCATTACTTTCAATACCAGGTGCAACGTAGACTGGTTTGACTTCAGTGCCCACCCCATCATTCTGGTGGATATTTGTGTTGCAAAGAAGAAAGATCAAAATCATTATAAAAGAAAGAGTGTAAATAGTTAAAAATGAAGAGAAGAGAAGGGAATGGAAGGGGTATTTATGTGAGAATAAATGGAAGGAAATATCAAAAAAATGATAAATTATTTATTTCAGGTTAGCATTATGATAGCTGAAATGCTAATTAAAACGAACCATTAATCAAAGCGAAAATAAAAAATATTAAGGGTGTTATCGGCTCAAGTTCTTATGTTTCTTGCTTGGATATTTGTTTTGGAATTTGTTCTTACCAATAAGGTTTTTGCTAGTTCCCAAAAATAACGGATTCTCGTATATGAAATAAATAATTTTAACTATCCTGGTCTTATAGATTTTCAGGAGGACTACATTTGAGGAGTATTAATGCCATTAACCTCCACTATTTCTTATTTTCTAATGATAGCTCTGTCAACTCATTCCATCATTGCGGTCACTTCATTGCATTTAGGCTCGCTCTGTCTTACTCGACTTCTGTTATTGCCACAAATTCATTGTACTCAATCTCATCGTTTCCATCTTGATCGAGCCATTCCAACATGAAGTAAAGCTGCATTTCTGTTATTGGGATCTTGCAGCTCTTGATCCCCTTTCGAAATTCATTTCTTGTCAACGTCAAGCTCTTATCTTTGTCCCACTGGTTGAACAAATCAAGCATGCGTAATCGATTTTTCGCCAGATATTTCGTAATTATTTCGACAATTTCTCGTCGTATCTTGCTCATATTTGTAGACATTGCACCGCTGTTGGTCACGCCCCCGTAGTATATTTTAAGTGTCTTCTTTTTTATAAGTAAATCGTCCATTTGCGTTTTGCATACGCCGTTTATCACCACACCCTGTAAGGAAAGTTCTTTTATATTTGATTTTTCATTTTTATTGATTGCTTCGATCAATGACGTCACACCTTCACTTTTCACTGCGTTCCAGTTCAAGGCCAGTACCTTTAAATCATTGTTTACTTTCAGTGCATCAGAAATCGCTGCCGCCCCTTTTTCGCAAACTCTGTTGTAGCTAAGATCCAGTTCTTCAAGACTGTCATTAGTGGATAATGCTCTGGAGATAGCCTCTGTTCCTTTATCTGCGAATCCATTCCATGCGAGTGTGAGGCTCGTCAATGATGTGTTTCCTTTCAACGATTGCCCTATTGAGACCGCGCCTTCATTGCGTATATGGTTCCAGCTTAAATCAAGATGGCTTATGGTATTATTCATTGCAAGTGCGTCTCCAATCACTACACCAGCAGCTGATCCGAGTTCATTTTTACTCAAAACAAGTTTCTTTATGTGAGAGTTTTCTTTTATTAAATCAGATATCACAGTGGCATGTCTGTCCTTTAGGCCAGTTTGGGACATTTTTAGATGCTTTATTATTTTGCTGGATTTCAGTGCCCCAATCAGTTCGACTAGACCTTGGTCGTACATAGTGTTTTCTGAAATATCAAGATCAGTGATGTAGAGGTTTTCCTTCAATATGCTTGCAAGGATCTTTATGCCTGCCTCATCCATGCAATTGTCACGCAATTCAACTATGTTTATTGAGATGTTTTTCTTCAACGTTTTTGCCATTGCTTGCATTCCTTTTGTTCCTAAACCCTGGTGAGACATTTTAAGCCTCGTTTTGGTCAAGCTGTTTAATAGTATCGTGGCAGGTGGTATCCCCAACCTGATGCACTTGTTTATATATTTTTCCTTTTCCTCCTCCACAATACTCTTCAATGAATCGTCTTCGCACTCGATATCTGTGTCATAATCATCATCAGGAATATCAAAGTATGCATCGTTCTCTGTTCGACTCCTACAGTGATTTTCACCCCTTTCCTCCCCATCTTCGCAAAGGGTTTTCGTTAATCCATAAGCAGCTGTATTCGTATTACTTCCATTTGCAAAATCATCCGCAGGGTAATTGTCATCTGCTATCCTCTCGTTTTCCTTCCTTTGAACCTCTAATTTGTCTTCTTCTCTCATGCCTTCTTCCACTTTGCCTGAGACAGCTTGCTCAATTGCTGTGTCGTGTTGGTTTTGTTGTTTCAAAAGTCTTTTTACTTTGTTTAAAACCTGTTCTTCTGTCTTGTCATTACTTTCATTGTCATTATTCGCCAACCCTGTTACCCATAATTTCGACTTGGTGCAGATCATTCCTAAAGGTATTGCAAACCGTTTTTCGAGCTGTAAAAAATTGTAAAAAAAGTCAATATGATTACCAACCCCGAAGAAGAACGGTGGCCTATGGCAAAATTCCTTTTATTAAGAACGATTCTTTTGAACTTGGAGCTTTGAAACTTTCTCTGAAGTATAAGCCTTGTTAAAGCCACAAGAATCGACTCTTATTCTGTTGTTATAGTCAATTATTATTCAGTGAACTCTTTTACAGCTGACTGTTATTGGTGTAAGGTTTATCTAGATCAACATTAGACCCTGGAAAGGTGTATTTACATCATAACTGAGATTTCACCAACGCTCAAACTTCCTTCCTTTTATAACGAATATCTTTTTGGGTCAGCTCACCCTGGGTCATTGTTTTGAGTTTTAGAAATTGTAGCGCTTGAAAGAAAACTTTGTTATGAGTTAATTTATTCACAAGGCATAGCTAAACATACTTTTGTGATTTTCATACTTCATTGTTCTTCTGACAGTTTTGTTGTTTTGGCCTTATCGAAAAATAACCGCATCTTATGATATGTGGAATTCTCGAATGTTGTTTTCATTTGCAAATGCAGGCAATGTTTAGAATGCCAGTTGAGAATTGCATAATTACATCAAAAAGCACAAGATGCATTATGCATGACCTGTTTATGAATACTTCATCTTTTATAAAAAAAATCATATTGTTTATTCATTTTTCCTGATTTGTTCGTTTCAGATGGCGTGTTTTGCACTGTTTCATAAGCTTTACCTTATCTCATTCAGACGTGATAAAACCATTTGATATTAAATTGCTTTTCTAAGCTTCAGTTATAATGACGTCATCTTTTTGTAACAATTCACGTGTAACTGGTGGCTTGTCGCTGTAAGAAATTTCCTCTTTCAAGTCAGAGAAGAGTGGTCAGCATATTTTTGTGGCGATTTAGGAAAATTTTCTTTTTTTATCTCGAGTAAATCCATTCTAAGTGTTGGTTCCATTCACAATCTGGTCTTTTGGAGAAAATAATCTACCGAATCAAGTCCGTTTTAAGAGTAAATTTGTCGGTATTAAGTCTTGCTAACTCTCTCCTTCTTTTTATTCTGCTTTTTTGTTACAATTTTGTTTTTTTCGTCACGTTAGTGCAAGTGGCCGAACAGAGTGCATGCAATACATAAACGTTATCAGTGCCATTCAGATACAAACCTCAGATATTCAGATAGATCCGTGTTCAAAATGGTTCTGACAATGCCTTGTGAGCTTCCTCTGCTGCTCTCGAATCAGGCCCTCCTTTGCAATCCAGCATCAATAAATATCTCGACTCTCCCTGTAAAGTACAATGTCGCTATTTTAGTTGCCTCTTGAGGTTATAACTCTGCTATGTTTTTGCAATTCGCATTTGCCCGCAGACTGATTTTTGTAAGCGTTTCTTTTACCTCAAATAATCCATGGTTTCTGTGAAACTAATTCCATTGTTTTCGATCAACAGAAGAAAGCGAAGATTATTAAAAGTGCTGCTCCAATTGGCAGATTTTCTTAAACAGGCTTTTCGATTGATTTTCTATAATGAATGCAAAATCCAATTTTTAATAATTTCTCCAGATTGCCTTTCCCAAAAGGCTCGTAAGTAACAGTGACGAAGACTTTGGAAAAATCACTTTCGTTGCGAAGGCTCCTGCTGTGTGTATGAAAGATGAAAAGCTTCTCCTTTCAATTTGGTTCTTGCTGTATTGAATTCTTTTCTAAGGCAATAACAATAAAGCATTACTGTTTTCTTTTAAACAGTGAACTTTCTCTGGATTAATGCTGGCCGTTAGTGCAATGTGAATTGTGTCCAAAGTTTTCAGCCCTCCTTCGGACAAAAATATATCTTTGACTGACGTTCTGGTCCTTAAATCTAGTACTAAGTTAAAAAGTTAGCTTAAAGAAGTTTTTTAAGAGGCTGTAAGTTAAATTTGTGTTGCCTACTGTTATGCTTTAACTTGATGCATCTGGACACAATTAGACGCATTGCGGATAACTGGACATAGCTTGAAAAATTCAGTAATGTCATGAATTAAGAAATTAATTGGTAAATATTTTGCAGGGATCAAACAATGGCAGGGATGGAAAAGAAAAAGTAACCACAAATGAGACATGTATGTCAAAAACTATGCATTGCTTCTTCATACGTGTTTTAGCTCTCTTGGCCGGTAAAGCTCTGTTTTAGTAAAAAAATTTAAATTAATATTTTGCAAAATCTTTTCCAATTGACGTATTTGAAAGGAAGCTCGGTAAATTTGAAAGGATGTGTTGTCTTAGAAAAATGTGTGTTAAGTTTTTTGATGGATTAGATAATTTTTTTTAAAGAAAATTTTTAAATAGAAATATTCCTTTCGACAAATCAATTTTTACAATATGAAAATTTATACTGCATGGAAACATCGTTTGTGACTCTACATAATATGCTTGTGCACCGTAGTGATGTCTAAAGGCAGCGGTGAGACAACAAAAGATGCAAAAGGCCCAGAGACAGCAGATTGGGAGAAGGAGCTGCAAGACGAACTGCAGGTTGGTTCAATAGTGACATGATTATTTTAATGATTTAATGTGGTGCCTTTTTAACGTGTTTTGTGTTGTTTTGTGTCATTTATGTCACGTTATTGGGTGCAAAACTGCAAAACCGTCATTTAGAACACATGTTCATAAGAAACCAGAGACCAAAATATGAATACTTGCAACGACCAAGAACCCAAGAAATTGAGACCAAATCCTTTACAAGATGAATCACAGTAGTGGAAACTGCAAGCCATTTCTTGTTATTAATAAATATGTCAGGCAGTGCTAAGATTTTATGTACTCCTGCCAAATCAACGATGTTAGACCGAATTGATATTTAAGGTACATTTAAGGTTGGATTTTGAAAGGGAAGTAAAATGTGGCTGATGACGTCACATTTTAGATTTTCGAATTTTGTGCCTATAATCTGAAAGAGCAATGCGAAAGGTCTCACCTGAAGAAACTAATTGACTTTATTCAAAATCGGCTGAGTAATTCCCACATTAGCACATGAGTCTTTCATTAGTTCATTTTTACTTTGTCTTTGGTCCTCAATATATTAACCAAGCCATAACAACAGTAACTCCCGTTATTAACCATATGCCATTCACTGGCCACATCGCTACAGTTTTTTGGAGATTTCACTGATTTTGCATACGTAAAGGTCCTGTATGGGATCGTTCAAAGGCCCAATTCTAGAATCTGACAGATGTTCTTATGACGTCGCCACTAAGTCATTTTATTGAATGACCTGATAAGGAACCACTTAAAATTAAGGTGAAGCTTTCAAAGTGGTTTAAGTATATACTTTAGAACTGGCCTAAATTTTGATGGTTGAGGCCAAACGTAGTCAAATGGTATGCATTTTGGAAAGATTTCTTAAATTTGGCCTTGTAGAAGTGATCTGCGGTCCATGAGTAGCCTCAGCCCAAGACTCTAATACGTTCAATCAGGGTTCTGGAACTCAGATTACCTCTGAGTAGTGAATGCATTGCGGAGCTAGAATCTTAAGTATTTTTTCTGTTGTATTCTAATATGGTTCTATCTGCACTGCCCAGTACTACTTTAGTGTTCATCGGAACATCGATCGATGATTGACTAAAATGTCCATTAAACGACAAACGTGCTATCTTCAACCAGTGCGATCTTATTTTACATGCAGAGGACACGGAGCCAGAGAGATGCAAACTGTTTGTGCAGTGTGTAACGTGATTTCTACTGACTGATTATAATTTACAAGAGTTCGTATTGATATAGAAAACTGGCAAACTTAATTAAGAGTTATACAAAGGAAAGGATATGCTCGATGGTTAACAATGGTGTGATGGATTAGGTTAAAATGACGTGTAATTAACATAGAGAATGATGAATATAGAATTACGTAGGTATGCAGAAGAAGCAATGATGGATTGTATAAAATGGCCTAAATTGATACACTACTCTTTAGGAGTTGCTTTAAGGTCGCAATGATGGTGTCGAGTTTTTTTAGAAGCAGCTATGCAAGGGATTTGGTAGCCCCCTATTTTCCTTGATTTAGCTTTTTAGCTTATATGAGACAGTTGCTTTGTTGTTCGCACATGCGAGGAAAATATTAATTATCTGATTCGTGTTTTTTCCTGAAGTTTCTTAATTTTGTTCTCAGGATTTTGAATTTGTTAGCGAAGATCAGGGCGATTCTCAAGAGCCAAACCCAGAGTGGGAAAAAGAAATCGAAGATATGCTTGGATTGGATGATGATGAAACTGACCAGACGACAACGTAGTAATAATTGTAGCGTTTCGAAAAGTAAAATGAATTATTGTATTACTGAGAAAATTTCTAATGTATTTTGTTCGTAAACGCATGTATACTTGCATTTTAGGGCTACTTACTTTAATGGACCCTCATTTAATTGTAAAAACTGGTGACCTCATGACTGCCTGAATGCTTTGTCAGTGTTCATAATTTTGTGTCTAAATCCAAATAATACTTATGGTTTTCTGAAAAAACGTAAGTACTTCATATTCGTAAAAGCCATACAAAAACCGATATGTTGGTCCTTGTAAATATTTTTCAATTGAATCCTTTATTTTCACTGACCTGGTATTAATCATCTTCAGTTTTACGGTATCATAATGCAGTCAACTACTTTTCCCGGTGCAGAATATGAACTATAAAACTGTTTGTTAAAGTGGAGCTTCTTTTTTTATTGTTACCCTGATGCAGCCTGTAGACGATATTTATAAATCTCTGTGTTTTTGGATACCAGTTTGCAGAGTATGGTCGATTTTGACAAGGCATTGGGAAACGACAACAGCGTCGCATCCCATGTGCCTGATCTAGTTTTTAAAAAAGGCCTTGAAAGAAGCAAACGTTTTGAAACATGTTGCTAAAGCTTTCCGTCTGACATTCTAGTTTTAAGGTGTACCCAGAGGCGGACTGGCAGCAAATCTCTCGGGTTGCTGTATACAGAAAAGGGGCCCGTACTACGTATAATGTAAGCAACAGGGGCGTTGTGGCTTCTAGGAAAGGGCCGGGAGAAAATTATCATAAGGGGGCCCACTCTTGTGTATGATATCTCCAATCACAAACCCAAGTATCCAAAAATGATATGTACCTGGAAACCATGCATGTATGAAATATTAAAAAGATACCAGTTTTTATCATTTTTAAAGGTTCATCTGCTATATTTGTTTGGGGTGTAGCCCCTTTTCTCTAACCATAGTTACTTTAAGATTGCAAAAATAAGGAACAAATCCAATGCTGTAGTGCACAGTTGATACTAAGAAAAATGCAAGAAAAGAGCTATATGCACTGCGAGCGAAGCGAGCAGAAAATGTTTTCGGCCACGCTTTTTACAGTCGTTTACCTCGTTTTGCAAATTTTTAGGCATACTTTGTTGTGTTTCATTAAAATTCAGTTCTTAAATTGGAATTCCTTGCTTTAAAAGGACCCCTAGATCTCGAGGCCTTGGGACAGTTTGCCCCTCCTTGTCCCCCTCTCGACAGCCCTGTTCACATTTCAAGCATCTCTTTCACAGTTGCCTGTTTGTAAATGTTGACCTCCTCTATGTCTGAACTGTGAACTTGAGTATAAATGTAGGTGAGGCGTTTTCTAACCAAAGATTTTGTTCATATTAGATATTTTCCTTGGATTTACAAACTCACTTGAAAGGGGCCTACCGAGAAATTTCCCGGTGTCCCGCCTAGCCACAACGCCCCTGGTAAGCAATACTGAAATGTTTTCTTTCTATGGATTTTATCTTCATTTCTGCGATTTGTATTCTCTAGATTTCTAGAACATAGATATCTTTGAAATTAACAGAGTTATTTTCTCGAATTAATTTACGGAGGGCCCGGTTATTATGAAGTTGGGAGGGCCCGGGTTGCGATTGCAACCTAGCATCCCTGCCAGTCCGCCACTGGGTGTACCCGCAGGGTCACCATAGCTGCTTCTTGGGAGTACCCCCTACCCCTGGGGCTGCTACCGACCTCAAATGTGCATTTGTGGCAGTGGCTTCAGCACCCTGGGTGCCAGAGCCTCGGAGAGTCACAGGATTTCCCCCAGTTCTTCATCCTTTGACTCTCTGAGGCTTTGGCTTCAGGGGCCCACGATCTCACCTCGAGGCTTGCCTCGTATACACACACGGCCATGTGCAACAACAAATTTTACTTCTCGTTCAGGAAAATTTCTGGAGCAAGAGCGGGAAAATTGTCTGTAAATTTACTTTAACTGTGTTATCATTAAATCAATTTTAAAGAATCAGCTATGGATGCCAAAGTCCTGGTCATAGGTAATGGAGGACGAGAAAACGCCATTTCTTGGAAACTTGCCCAATCTCCTCATGTGACAAGAATCTTTGTATCTCCAGGCAATGCTGGAACAGAACAAGAGGAAAAGACAGAAAATGTTTATTTGAACATAAAAGATCATGAAGAAGTAACAAGCTGGTGTATTAGAAATGATATCAGACTTGTCGTTGTTGGCCCCGAGGTTCCTTTAGCTGAAGGTATAGTTGATTGAAAATTTAGTGCAGAGTTCCTAGCTAAACTTATTGGGGACAGACGCTCCAACCTTATAATATTTGATGTCGGATTTTTTTATAGGTTTCCACGAAACATACGAATTTAGCCCATCAGCGAATACCAATGCTCGCGAAATTTGCAAAAAATTCCACCAAAATCAGCTCTTGCAAAAATTAATTCCCTTAAAACCTTTGGCAGGTGATAAACTTGAAAAGTGCAGTAACACCTAGCCTTTACATCTATATTAAAGTCTTTTCTAATATGAATCCAAAACTTTCTCCAAAAATTTAAAAACATCAGCAATGAAGAAGGTTAAGATGACACAAACATTTGAATGCATCAGTTTTAACACTCGTGTTGAACTTGAATGTTCTCTTTTTAATTCATACACCCAGATTTACACTTTTGCGAAGCAATTAATCAGAAAACGTCATGTTGTAAAACTGAAAAGGTCTTAATCAAAAGTCAGAGTGCATTTCACCAGCTATGTTTTAAATATCTGGAAGATGGCAAAATTTACAAACACTCATGTAGATCTTTATTTGCTTACCATGTTTTTCGAAATAGGATTTTAGAACAAATTTATACAAAAAATTCCTGAAAGACGGAGGTTAGGTTTGAAAGCGGCAGAACAGGAGAAGAATTCTCAAATCAGGAGTTTCCCTTCCAAATCGGGAGGGTTGGAAACTTTGGAATGAACCTATATGAAATGAGAAAATGAGATAAAATGAGAAAGATAAGGACCGAGACTAAAAGGGATGAATTTAATAACATTTTTGCGCTGTTGTGTAAACAGAGCTTCTTCAAGGCTACTATACTAGAAATCAAAATCTGTACAGTTTGTTTGAATAAAGAATAGTTTGATTTGATATGGTGGTTAAGGTTTAGCTATTTAATTAATTTCAAAATAAAAGTTCAAGAATTTATATTTGTTTGTTGTAGTATCATTGAAACATTTTCAAACTGGGCCTCTCTAAAATTAGCTTCTCAAAATGATTTGTCAAGGTTTGGCTGATAGGCTACAAGAGAAGAAAATAATGTGCTTTGGTCCATCAAAGCAGGCATCACAAATTGAGGCAAGCAAGGCATTTGCCAAAACGTTTATGCAACAATATGGTATCCCCACTGCCAGATGGATGTCTTTTGATGATGCACACAAAGCATCTCAGCATATTGCAACTGCAAAATATGATGCCTTGGTTGTGAAGGCAGACGGCTTAGCAGCAGGAAAAGGTGTTTTGGTAGCCAAAAATCAATCTGAAGCAATGGAAGCTGTGTCATCAATGTTGAATGTAGGTTTTTGGTCTATATCATGTACTTTAATGCAGGTATCATGTACTTTAGGTATTATATGATTTGCTTTACGTGCTGCTAAAATTGTTATTTCAATCAAGTGTTTTGTGGTGGAAATTATCTCCTCTTCTCCTATTGTGACAAGCAAGCTCCTGTCAGACAAAAATGGAATGCTGCCAGTAGCAATTACATTGATTTTTTAAGTTAACACCCTTGTCATACGCCTTTCATTTAAAGTTGAGAAGCAAGTCACTCTATGAAAATCGTGCACCTTCTGAGAAATCTTCTTGCTTTTTCAGAAAGTCCATAGAAATCCTTTTGTTTGGCTGTAATCTGTTATCCTTCTCATATCCAGCTTAACCATATAATAACACCATTTTCAAATTGTCCTGGAGTTGATTTGATACCTCTTCTAGTGAAACTCTTGTCAGACTCCATGGGCCCTAAACAAGTTCTTGTTGACAGATCAGGACCCTATTTAAGATCCTTGCAAGGATCCCACAGGATCATGTGTGCATAACATCCCATACAAGGTCCTTAGTAGCCTGCAGTAGATGTTTTTAGGACATAATGAGGATTCCTGGCCAAAATAGAGTGACATTCTCTTCATTGGCATTTCTTAGTTGAGCATGGAAGGCTTGTTGATGTTGATGTAAAGTTGGTTCCTATACTTTGCTTGAGTTGCCACTTTTGTTTGATAATGCAATCATCGATATGAATTATTATCTTATGTCACATGCAGCTGTAAATGAACATTTTGGTCTTTTTAGGAAAGGAAATTTGGAGATGCAGGAAATCACATTGTGATTGAAGAAAAATTGGAAGGTGAAGAGATCTCGGTATGTCAGTGTGTCATTTAAATGACAACATTTCAGGGTTCCTAAGGAACGATCCAAGATATATCCATGATGTTTTTGGCTTAAGTAAAGTTGATACTTTTTTAACATGGGTTCCATTGTTAGGAAGAGAATGGACCATATTAGCAACTGGCAACAATGATTGGTTTTGTTGATTTTTCGAGATGGGTTTAAATGTAAATCTTTCCTTGGTACTATTACTTCGTGCCATTTCAAAAAGGCTTAACACCTTGTCAGGCACTCGCGATCGCGTCAGCACTCGCGCAAACCCAACCACGCGAGTGTTTGATCGCTCGTGCAAAATGGTAAATTGTATCTTTTGTGAACCAAGCAAGTGACATAAACAATACAAAGCTGGTATATCAAAACACAGGAAATATAAGTAAGCTGACTTAACCACATCTCAATGAAAAAATGCATTTGGAAATCAATTCTACCGTGAATGTTTAGGAATACTTTGGGTACTTGGTATTTGAACTACAATAGCACTTGGAATATTTTCTGGGCAGTTTAAGCATTTTTGAAAAAGTATGGAACAACATTTTTCGATCATCCGTAAAGAACGTCTTTATGACCTTTGTGATGTACATAAAGTTTAAATGAAGCACACTTAAAAAGGGGGTTTAGTCTTTCCCTGGAGTGCATTAAGGTCATCGTAGCAGTCCTTTTTCATTTGGTGTTACCTCAAACAAAGGGTACCTTATAACAGGATCAATTTGTTCAGTATCAGAGCGATCGCTCGCGCAAGAGAAATCACGCCAGCGAAGGGCCACTCGCGTGGGCTATTTCTCACGAAAAGGCCGCATTGCGAATTAAAAAGAAAATTTTGAAATAATCATAGGACTAATCTTCAGTAGAATCCCGATAATATAAAACCCGGCTATAACATTAAAATATTCTTATTTTCATCGGTAAAACAGACATTGGCAAATATGCACTTTTTATGATGCAAAAAATGGAAAAGAGATTTGTGCAAAAGTTAACACCTTTAGAAGGCTTTATGGCATTTCAGTGAACAAATTCAAACACAGAAGACTATAACAGACATTTTTGTCTCCGAATTTTACGAACGTTAAGTGTTGTTAACAAGATTTTCATTTTTGATTGCTAATTTAGCAAAAGTAGCAGACTTGCCAATTATGTGAGAAAAAGTAGCGGATTTGCAGATTTTGCTACCCAAATACAGCCCCCCCCCCCCTTCAGACTTCGCTTTGCTTAAAATCTAGATTTTGGCGACATTTAAATTAATGAAAAATGGCCCATCATTATCTTTTATGCATTATCTTTATGGATTATCGACATCTGGCCAGTGAGTTACATAAAATAGCTGTGATGCTTGATAACCGAGGGCCCTTGGGGCATGGATTTACACGCAAAAATTGTTAATACAACCAGATGAACGCCAAGCCCCAAATGACTCTGCTAAGGGTATATTATCGAAGCTGATGAAAACTATGTAGAAACTTGCTCAAGTCTTCAGAAATAACATGTTTTTGTGTTAAAATGTTAGTAGTGATGCTAAGGATTCAGCGAAATAAATTTCATCAAAATTATTGGTGTCATCATTGTTGTGTTGGCAATTTCTGCGTAGATCTATTATGATAACCATAAACTTTTGCGAAAAAATGTCACACGCCATCACACGCCTGGGTGTTTTCAGGCGTGCGGTGGTTAGCACGCCTGCCATATTTTTCCCACGAAAGCCTGTGGCAACAAAGACTTTAGTCACAGTACGCCAATATGAATTTGTTTCCATTTTCATTTCTTTCTAAGTGATCAGAATCGATCCACTGTTTACCCTTCATTTCTATTTTCAAAGCAAGGCTAATTGTTTTTGAAGGTTTTGAAATTTTAGGAAACTTTCTGTCTGGAATTAGCAAAGTCAGCTTATATGAGCTGTATATGTTTTCAACTTGCTAAAAACTATGAAATGTAAGTTGTTTTAAATCTTCCCCAACAGTTTTTTTGTTTGGCTTTGAGCTTATTTGGTTGAACTTGTGTTCTTTTTAGGTATTGTGCTTTTCAGATGGTAGTAATGTTGCAGCGTTTCCTCCTGCTCAAGATTATAAGCGTCTGACTGCAAATGCTGGTGCACCAAACACTGGTGGTATGGGAGCCTTTTGTCCTGTACAACATGTAAGATATCATTTTGGCAGTTATAAGTTTAGGTGATTCATCTTGACTTTTCAGTTTCTATCATAAATGCTCTTTGCTTAACAGATGCAATTTTTTAGATAATAACTTGTTTATTTGGGTTTTCCTATACATTTGATACAAATTTCCCCCTCAGGCAACTTAATGATTAATAACAAATGATGAGTATTATTGCTGTGCAAAATGATTGTTACATTGTCCTTTTGTTAACCAAATTATAGAATAAGCAGCTCAAATCATTACCCATATCATGAACCACTGCTGAAAATATTCATATGGATTGGAAGAGGGCTAGTTTACATGTTTCATTACTAGTGCCTTTTAAATGCTATTGCTGTAATTATAAATCTGTTTTTTTCTTCTGCTGTTACGATTTTACATATTGTGATACCATTGAATTTGGGTACTGATTTGATGTACATATGTAAATGTGTAAATTGTATGCTGACAATTTTTTCTACAGATTTCACCTGCCACTTTGAAATTCATAGAGGAAAATGTTTTGCAAAAGACGATATTTGGGCTCAAAGAGAGAGGCTACCCTTTTGTTGGGATCCTATATGCTGGCATTATGATGACTAAGGATGGACCAAAAGTTCTTGAGTTTAACTGTCGATTTGGAGACCCAGGTATTAGAGATCTGATATTCTCTCATTCAATAACTATTAGATGATTCTTTTTCTAGATAATAAGGTAATTCAATAATTATTTTTCATTTGCCTTCATCCATACATGGCCTGTAAGCTTAAGAATTTCTATCTTACCTTTTCTTAAAAGAGGTATTTAAAGCATAAGCTTTTTGAAATAGAAACTGCTTTTAGCCAAAGATGATTGAGCTAATAGCAATTGCAGTGGGTCAACTCCCTATTCTGTTTTCCCCAGAATCTGTCTTGTCTAGAATTGTAAGTGTCATGAAACATAACTCGAATCATAACTTGAATCATAACTTGAATCGTGAATCATAACTTGAAAGTGTCACGAAAAAATTAGCTTTCTTCTCGCAGCTTCCTTCCTTCCAAAATGAATTTTTGTCCCGAGAGATTTTTGTACAGTTACCTAATGCTCACATTAAGTGTGAACCTCAGACTAGCAGGTTAGAATTGTCCTGTTCTATACACGAAAAGCATATAAAGCTCTGCCTATACAGCATTTAGGAAATAATGATAGACCAGAAAGCAGAAATTTAATTTTAATTTGTGTTGAATGACATGGAAATGTTTACATGGAGGTGAATTTCTTGGCTAACCGAGTTTCCCAGCTAACCGAGTTTTCCAGCTAACCAAGTTTCCCAGCTAACTTAGTTTCCCGGCTAACCGAGTTTCCTGGTTAACCTGGTTTCCAGGGTAATTGAGATTACCAGCATGTATGTGAAATCAACAGTTTCTCACTTCACTGTTTACATGGACAGCCAGGTAACTCTGTTAGCTTTTTAACAAAATATCAACCTTTTCTGTACAAAACAAATTCCTTGTAGATGGAATCACAGCAGGCTAAAACAGAAGTGTATCATCAAAATCTGTCTCAAATTTTTAGAAATGTGTGTTGAAACCATTCTGATGCAAAATTTTTGTTTCCTGCTTTGGAATGGCCCAACTTTGAATGGCACCAAACACATTTCTTAAATTTTTTGCAGAAATGTCATCCCGTCTGACCAAGTTTCCTGGCTACATATACTGAAACTCGCCTCCATGTAAACAGGCCCTTAGTGTCTTCCCTTTGCCCCAAAATCCTTTTGTTACCACTGACATGCCTATTTTTCTGCTGTTTCAGAAACCCAGGTTTTGCTACCGATGTTGAAAAGTGACCTTTATGAAGTAATGCTGGCTTGCGTGAATGGTAATTTGCCAAGTCAAATGCCAGAATTCCATACACAACAGTCAGCAGTGACTGTCGTTCTCGCAAGTGGTGGTTACCCAGGACAATATCAAAAAGGAAAGAAAATCTCTGGACTTGATCGTGTAAAAGTGAGTTATTTGTAGAATTTGATTATCTGCATCGTCTAATGTAATTGACAGCTAGTGATAGGCTATTGGTTTTTGCAAAACAAATCTAATTTTTAATTTCTTGCCTAATTGTAGTTCTTGTAGTTTTGCTGGTGATGTATAATTGTTCTTCATCAAACCCTTATTTGATTACTGCTTCATTTTCGTGTCTCAAATTTTCTTCCATAGCGTTTAGAGAGCGTTAAAGTCTTTCATGCGGGCACTTGCAAAAAAGATGACGCAATTTTAACCTCTGGTGGAAGGGTTCTCTCTGTCACAGGCATAGGCAAAGCAATGTCAGAAGCAAGAGGCAAGGCATACCAGGCTGTACACGCAATCTCATTTGACGGGATGTTTTTTAGAAGCGACATTGCTGCAAAAGTGGCTGAGTAAGTGTTTGTGAGCTAACTTTTAGGTAGAAACTATCATTTGATGAATATTTAGTTAAAATTTATCCTTATTGTAAGACACAGTAGTCACAATATTTGTCATAAATCATAAAGTAAGAATTGAGTTATATGGAAAGGAAATGTTTGATCAATGCAAGTTAATGTAAAGAAAAGGCTCGGATGGGTGCTGGCGATAACTGGATGCTGCAAAAAGAGGATGACATGTTGGAGCTGTGGGTGAAAAATTATGTAGAAGATATCTTCGCAATTGAGCTGGTTCGACAAGGTAGCACTAGAGTCTTCTCGTCACTTCTCGAAGGGGGGGATGGAGAGAAAATCATGACAAGATAGGAGAGTGAAACTTGGATAAGAAATTGGGAAGATGTTTAAAACAGCGTAGCTCCGAGATTCAGAGATTAAAGCTTTATTGAGTGGTGGTTAGGGTTTTGTTTTGAAATGCTCAGAAATTCTTAGCTGTGAAGAGAATATAGCGCATATTTGAAGGATGGGAAGATCTGGGAGCTGTACTTTATGAGATAAGAGCGGGAAAACCTGGCATCGAGCAAAGATTTTTGAAAACCTTTTGAAAGAGCTAATACGACAGGTGATTGAAGGTTTCGCTGAAAAACTAATCAACTTATGTGGAAGGTACAGAAAATGGTTTGGTGATATCCGGTTGTTTTGAAAGATTCCCAAAGGAAACGAAAATAATCTCATCTGTAGTTAGCTTTCCTGGTAACCAGAAGTTCCATTTCTTAAAAGATTGATTTGTAAACATCGAAAGAAATAAGGAGGCTGTCTTGGGAAATTAACCGTTCTTTTCCATCATCGCTCTTTCTTAATTTGCATTGTTCTTAACTGGCATTGTTTGGTTTGCAGCACTTTTGGTTCTTTCAATAGCCTCAATGTTTCTTCTTTGCGTTCGTCAGGATGCAGCGTTCGGTAAGTTACCTGTCTTCAGGCGTCGATATAGATGCTGGATTGTCATTGGTCGAAGCATTCAAGCCCTTGGCAGCAGCCACCGCTCGGGCTGGGTGCACCCCTGACCTCGGTGGCTTCGGTGGTATCTTTGATCTGAAAGCATGTGGATACAATGACCCACTTCTCGTAAGTGGTACAGATGGTGTTGGCACTAAACTGAAGGTTGGTCACCAAGTGATTCTTGATATAAATATTTGATATAAACGAAGTAAACGACCTTATCCGCCAGTACTTTGCCCTACTTCATTTTTCATCAAACAATATAACTTTAAAATATTGTTCAAGGTTAGGTATATAGTGAGTTTTGTGCCGTATTTTGCCGAGTTATGCTTTCTTTTATGTAATTATATATATTCGGTTATTGTGTTTTATTTAAATTACATTCCTTACAACCTTTACGTTCTTCAGAGCTATCTTATTCACTTGATACTTTTTAACAAATGCGAAAACTAGTTTTGTGTAGCAATTGCTTTTCAAGTCATTAGCACAAGGGTGTAGAAGAGTAATTGAATTTAAGTTGAATTATTGTGAGACGTTGATTTTCCAGATTGCCCAGGCCTGTGGTATCCACAACACGGTAGGCGTCGACCTGGTAGCCATGTCAGTCAATGATATTTTGGCTCAGGGAGCAGAACCTTTGTTCTTCTTGGATTACTTTGCATCTAGCAAGTTAGCTCCTGACGTCATCAAAAATGTCATCACAGGGATTGCCCAGGCATGCGCACTAGCTGGGTGTGCCTTACTTGGCGGTAAGTTGTCTGAAATTTCATGCTTAAAACATTCGCCTCCTATCAAATTCTGGCAGTGTTGACGTTTTTAGCAATCTTGCCTGGTAGCTGACCGTTTTTAGCAATCTTGCCTGGTAGCTGACCGTTTTTAGCAATCTTGCCTGGTAGCTGACCGTTTTTAGCAATCTTGCCTGGTAGCTGACAGTTTTTAGCAATCTTGCCTGGTAGCTGACCGTTTTTAGCAATCTTGCCTGGTAGCTGACCGTTTTTAGCAATCTTGCCTGGTAGCTGACAGTTTTTAGCAATCTTGCCTGGTAGCTGACCATTTTTAGCAATCTTGCCTGGTAGCTGACAGTTTATGTGTTATGAATTTTGACTTGACTGACTGGTATTTGACGGATTTAATTACGCGTTTGAACTATTCGCTTTATTTTCGATTCAGGTAGCGCAAACAGTTGAACACACCCGAGGAACACAAATTTTTTTATGCATTTGCATCGAGACGTGAAACTTGATTCAGCGATTTGGCCACTGTATCTAAATCAGTAAAAATCAACAACATTTTACCATTTTTGCTGCAACATTTTCAATTTTCCTTTCTAAACATCCAGTGAATTCTTAGGACCTTTTATTAATACACGTATGCTTGCTTCTGAAATATTGTTAGCTAATTTTAGGATTCTATTAAATCCTGTAAATGAATTTCAATCATATATACGTACGACATGGAACCGAAATATCAAGTCATATGTTTAAATATAAGCTGGATCGATAAGACATGTCTGATAAGAGTTTTTTTTAAATTTAAACGGTTTTTAATTGGTACAACCTTTTTTGTAAAGGCGAGACGGCTGAGATGCCTGGCATGTACGCAGAGGGTGACTACGATCTTGCGGGGTTTGCCGTTGGAGCCGTTGAACGAAATTACGTGCTTCCAAGAACTAGTGATATACATCCGGGTGATATGGTCCTTGGGATAGCATCGTCTGGTGTGCATAGCAATGGTTTCAGCATGGTGAGAAAAATAATCGAGCTTTCCGGAGTTGAATTAACGGATGCTTGCCCTTTCAGTGATGGAGAAGAAACCCTTGGTGAAGAGCTGTTGAAACCAACGAGAATATATGTAAAAAGTTTGTTGCCCCTTATAAAGCAAAAGAAAATAAAAGGATGTGCCCATATAACTGGTATGTAGAGGTTTTCAAAGCATAATATTAGCGAGGCTTTGATTTTAGTTTATAATGTACATCCTTGTTACAAGTGAAAGTAAGTTTCTGATGTTTTTTATATTGAAGCTTTTTGTAATTATAATTTCAAACTTTTATTCTGAAGGGGGTGGACTGTTGGACAATATACCGCGAATTCTTCCCAAAAATATCTACGCTCACTTGGACGCCAATAAATGGCTCATACCCCCGGTATTTGCTTGGCTTGCGCAAAATGGAAACGTCAAAGTAGAGGAAATGCTGAGAACATTCAACTGTGGCGTGGGCTTCACGTTAATAACAAGCCCAGCTGATGGACCGGCAGTTCTCGAATGCCTTCGAGATTCCGGAGAGACTGCCTGGGTAATTGGAAAATTAAATGAACGGTCAGAGCACGAAGAGCCAGTGAAGGTCGACAACTTCAAGGATGCTCTTGATACTGTTATGAATGACGAATATGCCAGGTGCTCTAAGCGCCCTAGAATCGTGAATGGTGGCAAAGTACGACTCCGAGTCGGGGTTTTGATTTCCGGATCCGGAACAAATTTGCAAGCTTTAATTGACCAGAGTCTAAGTGCCAACAGTAATGCAGAGATTGCTTTGGTCATCTCAAACGTGCCTGGTGTTAAAGGTCTGGAAAGAGCGACAGCAGCAGGAATTAAATCGAAGGTCTTCATTAATTTTAAACATCATTCAATTGCTCATTATATATAACCATTATATTATGTGTTTGACCCTTAAAAGCTTCTTCAAATTAGAATTTTTAAAGATCCTCAGCGCTTTATGGTGAGGCGGTCTCCATAATTTGTTCTTCGTCATGTTTTTCGCATCTGATAGTTCATTAAGATGGTTCTATTAGGGTAGGACTGACCCTGGCCTGGCCAGAATTTTTCGTCAATAAAAAATTTTCTGACTTAAAGTTATTTTTTGGAATTTTTTTTATAGGTGATCAGTCATAAAGATTTCCCTTCTCGAGTGAAATTTGACATGGCAGTCGATGCTGCCCTCAATGACGAAGGCATTGAATTGGTCTGCCTTGCTGGTTTCATGCGAATACTGAGCGGAGAATTTGTCAGGAAATGGCGCGGAAGATTGCTTAATGTACACCCGTCTCTGCTACCATCTTTTAAAGGAATCAATGCACATCAGCAAGTTTTGGACGCCGGCGTGCGTTTGTCGGGGTGTACTGTGCATTTTGTTGAGGTAACGTTATGCAACATGTTTTTCCTAATCGATCGGACATCTCTTGACTTGCTCTGTCATATTTTTTACCCGTTGTTCAAGATAATGCACTGTTTTTGAGACTCTCATGGTCTCATGAGGGCTTTGAGTTTTTCTCCATAGTCTTTTGATATCCCCTTGGATAATTTAGGGGTATTAAAGCATCTAGCATAGGGTGGGTCTCATCATGCTTGGGTACGTCTCAAAACTACTTGTCGTACGCTTTTATTGTGGGTTTATCGATGTATTGCAACAACTATCTTGAGTTGAAAATTAGCTTTCAGATTTGCAAGTTACTTTCCGTATTCTATTTTCAGGAAGAGGTTGATGCAGGCGGTATAATCGTACAAGAATCGGTCTCCGTCTTACCAAATGACACAGTGGAGACTTTGCAAGAAAGAGTGAAAACTGTTGAGCATAAAGCGTTTCCAAAGGCCATGGAGCTGTTTGCAAGTGGACAAGTTCGTCTTGACGAAAATGGAAAAGTCAAGTGGCTGTAAAAGCAACGTAGCAGCTTTGAAGTCACATTATCACATGGTTACGTCACATGGATACAGGGAAAGGGTGAGTTTAACAAGGCCCCTACAGAGAGTTTTTCGTAGCAAATGCACTCATTTCCTACCCATAGATAATTATTTATAATAAGACAACAGTAAACTCGACCTCATGTGCCAACGTCATATTTATGTTCGTCTGCAGCATTGTCACACTAAGTTTTATTTGATAGTCTGATATATTTTTATTAATTCTAGTTAGTATTTTTTATTGATTTGATCAGTATTTTCCACCAGAAACAATTAGTATTTCCAACAGTATACCACTTGATTTGACTCGCTTCTTATCTTCTCCTGTGTTCTAAAGAAATTAAACGTACTCATCAGTGCTCCGTTGGGCCAAATGTTGTCATATGTCCCTCTAAAGGGTCATGTTAATAACCCCATGATTCTTATTTCAAATGGCAGAACAAGAAAAAAAAAGAAACTCAATAACATTGGACTTTATTGTCTAACTGTAATCGCAACATTTTTAAGTTGTGTCTATTTCGAAGGGTTCCTGAAACAACCGATTGGTTCTTCTAATTGCCAAAAAGTTCAATTGCTGGCCTTTCGGCCAAGGGCAAGGTCCATTCTGGGGCTGGTGCCAACCACCATCTCTATAATACAGCCGATTTTTAATCTTCATCCCAGTTCTTGTTTTCTTTTGGCTTAGGCCCTCCTGCCGCTTTTGCCATGATAATCTGGAAAGAAAAATCAACTATGTAAACTTTGACCGGTGAGTCAGTGTAAACCAATGATATTAATCCCGATAACAATAATCCCGCTAACAATAATCCCGCCATTAGGACCAGAAGATTTTAAACTGCAGGAAATGTTTCCTCTTGCCTCGAAGTACCCTATATGAAAGTTGGCGAAATTTTCTTATCCTTCACTGTTCATATATCTTCAAATCTGATAACAGAACCGCCAATAAAACGGCAACGAAATCGCAAATCGAACCTGGGAAAAGTCGCCTCCAGTCAACAAAATGGAATCGAAAGAAAGTCACAGACAAATCAATCCAGACAAATTGTTTCCTGTTTTGAACAATTCAATTATAGTTTCTGTTAAAAGCTCCTCGTCCAAAATTTGCATATTCGAAGTGAACGGAAATTTGACCTGACAAAATTCAACATTTGGATTTGATTGAATATTTAAAAAGAAAAGATGTGACCTAAATAACGCATCGGAGATTTAGTTTGTGTTTCAAGACTTACTTGATCGACCTTGAGGACAGTCATTGCAGCGTTTGAGGCATACTTTATTGCCCAGTATTTAACGAGGTATGAATCCAGTATGCCAGCCTCTGCGGCATCAAGTGTACTCGCACCTTCACCCTGTGTGCAATTTATCATAACAAATAAACATTAAATAATGTTATATAATATGACTGTGATATACCTGTTCATTTATGTACAAAAATATAATCATCATAAATGAACACGAATTTTATATTGTATATCAACATTTATACATTACAATTTTTCAAATATATATATACAGTAGATGAAGTTAATATTATATATAAAGCATGTAATATAATCCAGAGAAGTTACAAAAAAATTTGCTTTCTACCTTATAAAACATTACAGAAACTTGAATTTCATTAAACAAAATAAAAACGAACTTATGAATTTAGCTAGTGAGAAAAATAAAGACTCAAAACAGGAAGTCTTACCTCGATGTTGAAGCCTATGGTTTTTTCGCCAGCGTTGTGTGCGGCGTACAGGTTGGAAATAAGTTCGGTCGCCTTTGTTCCCGAGTTTTCAGCCAATGCTTTGGGGAAGGCTTCGAAAGCTTCTGCATATTTCCTTACTGAATATTGTTCTAATCCAGGGAGAGTCTGTTGGGAGCAGAAACGAGCTTTTCAGTTAGGCAAACAATCTATGTCGTACTTAACTATCTTGGAACTTGTAGTGAATGTTTTTGGCCACTGAAAAAATTCAACCAAACGCCGGGAGGGTGAAATACAAAGGTAGGTTGTCTGTTTGTTCACCAAAGATCCAATCTTACTCAGCCCCGAATAGTTCTTTTCTCATTAGTTCAGTTCTCATTAGGCCTCTTCAATCATATTACAAATCTGATTGGCCAAGCCAAAGCCAATCAGGAATACCCATTGATATGCTAGCTTACTTCAACCTGTATCAAGTTAAATAGATTTTTTGCTTTCTGATAAATGACTGAAGAAGGCGATTGTGCTCTGATAAACTGGTACCTGATAAAAAGTAAGGATGAAGCTGAACAAACCTGACTGTACTTTTGTAACTGATGTGCAATTTCGATCTCAGTTGCAGCTGCCCCTGGCAATAGCCTGGCATCTCTTGTAAATGCCTTGAAAGTGTTTACGCCATCGTCTATTGATCGCTCTATATCATCAAGAATATTTTGTGTTGCTCCACGGACGACTATAGTTGACACAGCAGTTTCTTCTCGCTCTGGAAATTAAGAGTCGCGATAGAAAGGAACAACAATGTGAAGGCGGATATCTCGTGAAAAATAAATTGCAAGATGTTTTTGAATGGTCCTAATTACACTGAAGACACATGTTATAGTTACACACAGCGATTTTTACTTGAGGAATTGTATGGATCATACCTTGTCGGAATATTGTTACAGGTGCTTCTCCGATTTCAGCTGCTGTTACATGATCGCAATGACCAATTTCCTCTGCAGTAGGCACCGTCTATATTGACAAAATCATACAAATAGGTAAAACAATTAGAATCATGCGCTTACAAAGGTTAATGACTGAAAATTCTAATGTTAATATCTCCATCTATGGGTATGATTGAGGAAATGTCTTGGCTCTTACATACAAGTTTCCAAACTTTTTCTTTTTGACAATAGAAAAAACCAGGCACTTACTATTTTTGGGAGAATTATTGCTTGCACAGCTCGACTTAGTCTTCTTAAATCAAATTTTGAGTTCAACCTGCAAGGAATATAAACGAAGATAACTATTTTACTTGCATTATTGTAAGTGAATCATTGTATGGTGTATTAGGGAGGGGAAGAAAATAAAACTAAAGTATCGATGGAATATGGCAGTAAGTTAGTGAACTGGTGCAGTGTTATTACTGCTAACAGGCAAAAATCACTATGACGTTAGAATAGCAGTCTTCCTCTTGTCGGTGGAATTGAATTTTACTTACGATTGACAAGTTTTGAAAGAAAGGATAAACTGACAATTAAGAAGACTTGAATGAGACCACTTGATCATCATACAGTCATTTGATGACAGTTTGACCAAAACATGTATGTGGCTCCCGCTTTTTTGTGTAGGCTGTTTCAAACTTGTTCCTTAAATTTATGGGTATTCTATTACTGATTAAAGAACTGATGTTGAAACACACCTTAAAACCATGATTTTATACTTGTTGCAAAAATGTAGGGCCATATCTGCGACTTTTCCACCACTAACAATCATATTTACACCTGTTTCTGCTACTCCTCGAATTTGCTGTAAAAGAAAATGCAAGAATGTATTAACCAAAAACAATCCAACTTCAAAACATGCCAGAGAAGAGGGAAGAACAGGAGGCACAAAGGAAATATGCCAGCTTGGTCTACACAGAGCTGAAACTGTTTTGGATTGGCACGAGAAGAGATCAAATGTACAGTCAGTACACAGGGTTAAAACCTAATAGTCTATTAACAAAACGATTATCTAGCTCTGTGATATAATCCACATAACTCACAGCTTCCAAAAGATCTTCTTCTCCTTTACTAAAGTTCATTAATTCCTCTGCTGCTTTGATTAAAACGGTTCCCTGGAAATAAAAGTTATTTTTATCAATGATCATTTAATAAAATGAATGGCGAAAAGAACAATTAAATAAACAATCAAATGATTTAATTAAATAAAAAATTATATATCTTAAAAGAAATTAAAGTTAATAAAAGAGATAAAAAACAGAGAATTTATCTCTTAAACTTTGATTTGCATTTTTTATGACTACAAAGATTTGTTATTCTCAATATCATTGTTTTTGATTAACTAAAGTATATACTTTGAAAATTTACTAACTTAACTGTGTTGAGCTCATAAAAATAGTTGGAGGGACACTGAAAATTAGAGTTTTCTATTACCTTTGTGTCAGTAGTTGCAGAGTCTAACGCACAAGAGAAAACAGCAATCTTGGCATTTTCAACTTTTCTGATATCTCCTTCAGCTTCTCGTTGAAAGACCATCCCCCTTACCACTTCAGAGGCATGCATTCCTGAACCAAGAATTTTTGAAACTCGAACACTGTCTACGTTGAAACTACCGTCTTGTCTGTAAATTGAAACTAAAACAAGCAAAAAAAATTAGAGTATGGCAGTATTATGTACGCATGAAATGAACACACAATATTGAAATATAATTAATTACCACAAAACAATATGTGAATATTCTGAATGCTCAGTACTATAACAAAAGAGTTCTTATAAGAGAACAATGTTGTCAGTGCATACGCTAGATAATTTCTGGATATCCTAGAAATATTTCTGGAGAAGGACTTCAGGCATTTTCTACAGAAAAACACTAGAAGACTAACATTGCAATTTTAATGAAAGAGGAATCACTTACTACATGCTTTTGCGATGAGCTCTGACAAAAAATCTTCATTTCCATACTATAATTGAAGAAAATTCCTTGTCATGCATAATATTTAGTCATCAATAATATTTCAAAGTGTAAATCAATATGTAAATGGCTTTGAAAAAAGCAAACATTTTACAACATACTTAAAGCTTTTTCGTCTGACACTCCTCAGAGCATAAAACGTCAGAATAGGTTCCGAAAAAACACGATGGAAAAATATATACCCAGTTGTGGATCGAAATAGGCCAATCAGGAAAACGCAAGCACAAGACCGGTATAGTTGACCAATCAGTGCCGCGAGCCTAAAGAAAAATTACCAATGGAGTCCAAGAGAGAAAACGAACTCCTTTTGTCTACACAATGGCGGCTTTTTCGTTTTTATGTAGATTGACTCCAAAACTGCTAGATGGAAGGACGACCGGGCTCTGCCAATTATCCGAAACATGTCGTCATTATAGAGTTTTGCACAATCTGGGTTGTCTAAAAGATGTTGACCAATGGCAGAATCACTTGTTTTAACAGTGTTTCTAGACCTACAAGATCGAGGAGGCTGTTCTCTTTGAGGGGCAGTTTTGTTTCGTATGTTGGAAGGAACATGCTGTTTTATCCTATCCCCCAATCTTTGGGTTGTGCGCCCTACGTAGCCAGAATCACACTGGCACGTAAATTCATAAATGACGGAACTTTTTTGTTTGGTAGGGACGCAATCCTTTTGAATGGATGGAAGGGCTCTCCTAGTGCTGTAAACAATCCGAGGATTGACAGCAAAGAAACAATTGGTTATGGCTTGCCTAATCTGACTCTCGAATCGCAAGGAAGTGTTACCAATCCATGGTAGTTTCAAATAAACTGGGCACTTTTGCGGACCAAACTTTTGAACAGCCGAAAAACTTGCGATCTTCTCCTTAGTATAAGATAAAATGACGTCTTCAGGATAGCCGTTGTCCAAGAAGATCGTTTTGAGTTTTTCCAGTTCAGCGTGCAGTTTAGATTTGGAGTCAATCTACATAAAAACGAAAAAGCCGCCATTGTGTAGACAAAAGGAGTTCGTTTTCTCTCTTGGACTCCATTGGTAATTTTTCTTTAGGCTCGCGGCACTGATTGGTCAACTATACCGGTCTTGTGCTTGCGTTTTTCTGGTTGGCCTATTTCGATCCACAACTGGGTATATATTTTTCATCGTGTTCTTTCGGAACCTATTCTGACGTTTTATGCTCTGAGGAGTGTCAGACGAAAAAGCTTTAAGTATGTTGTAAAATGTTTGCTTTTTTCAAAGCCATTTTCAAATTCTGTACCGCAAAAAAATTGTTCAAATCAATATGTGTGTTAAGCTTTTGTCTGTATGGCATAAAGCACTCTTTAATTTATGTCGATTGCCAAGAATACTAACAACAAAATTTGGAATAGAGTCATCATCCTTTAGAGGAAGCCTCCTTTGGAACACCCCTAGTGACCACATAAAAACACTTCCAAAAGTTGCAGCTTTCAACAGAGCGATCAAGCACTGGCTTGGCGATAAGTGTAATTGCCAGATTTGTGAAAAACCTGAATTGCAAATTTTGTTAAAGTTATTTTTGTAAATAGTTGGTATAAATGAGTAATTATATTACTATTGTAAATAGACCAACTTTAAATAAGATTATTATCATTATTATCATTAAAAGGGTGGAATAACATTTTCTAATGTCCAGGCCTTGTGAATCTAAAGGCTGCCTGCAGCTGCCTCTGACTGCTTTCTACCATCTTCCATCTTCCATCCCTACGGTATCACCGGCAGATAAATTTTTATGGAAAAGCTTTCTCGCAGTACCGCAGGCAGCTGTTTGAAGTGCCGTAAGACTGCCGAGAGAGCCGGGAGAAAGTTGAGCGAGTTCAACTTTTCTCATCTCTTACGGCAGCCTCCCGGTACCGGCGGCAGACGAATTACAAATGGAAACGCCTTGCCTGTGGCATTCTTTTGTTCAAACGAATCATGTGATGTGCAAGAACCAATTGAAATAGGGCCTTTGGAAATTGTTATTGTTTTTCATTGTCGCATCTTTCCAAAAAACATGGCGTCGTCCTCGTCTTTCGTAGTCGAGACTTTGGAAAAGATCTCAGAAATTAGTAGTAATGAAAAACTAATGGACTGCATAAGAAATTATTGCTCCATGTACGACAAGAAATGCAAGGTCCATAAAGTTCCTCCCAAAACCTGTGCTTTCTCTTAACTTTATTGTGTCTCATGTAAGCAAGTAGCAATATGTATTCATATTGAAGCAATTATCCTTTCGTTTACATACAGCAGCCATGTTTGTTGTTGAATTTTGCCCGCCAGTTTTTCCCGCTCAAACTTTACCCAGTTAACGGCATAGTTACCCATACCGCAGGCAATTGCAAGCAAAACGTTTCCATTTGCCGGTGATACTGTAAGGGTGGAAGATGGAAGATGGCAGAAAGCAGTTGCAGGTAGTCGCAGGCAGCCTTACGGCTATATGGAAACCAGGCTTAATAAAACTAAATCTAATCTATTAGATAAGTAAATCTAATAATCAAATCTTTAATTGATATTTGACAACATTTGGTGATATATTAGTTTGAGTGCCTAGGAAGTTAAAGGGGCTTTATTTGTCAAGCGCTTGCAAGGCCTGCACATGTTTTGCCCCTCTCATTCACAAGATTTATTTTCACCTGTTTGCTAGCAATTGTTGGCTTGATAAATTTTGCAACTTCAGATGGATCCCTCAGATTCTTTGCATTTGCACATACAAGATCTAAAAAAGTAAGATGTATATATATATTTATTCTTACTTTTTTGTCTAATATAGTATCTAGCATAAGGGCTGGCCATTTGAGGCAAGCCATAGCTTGCACCCCCTCCATGATCCCCCTCTAGCTCCCTTCCAATCCTTCTTTTAAACTAAACATGAGTGAAAAATTGCTCCCCTCGAGGTTCCATTTATTTGGAGGTTCTGTTGTGATGTATCTTGAAAATGGGGTGCAAAAAAATGTCAACATCAGAGATTGAGGGGGACATAAGCATTCCATCAAGTTCTCTGTCTTTCTCTTTCTCCTGGCAAAGCAATGTCTATGAGCTTCTTTGCCAGATGATCAACTCTCATTCTTTGCAAGTTATCTTGCCCGATAAAGATGTTACAACCATAGTCTTATCTATTAGGGTTTGTACATTAAATTTCCTAATTGTAGTTTTTTCTTATGCCTTCTGACCCACAGGGTGATTCCAAATCTTCTTATTATTCTTATTTCTGTTTTTTCTGACATTATCTCCCATTTCTGGTTAGTGTCCAAGCATCTGATCACTGGTGTAGTGTTGGTCCTAATACTGTCTTATAATCTTTTACCTTTAGTTTTCTCTACCTTTAGTTTTCTCCACTTAACAAAACTTTCAATATTCTAAATAATTATGTTTTCCCTTGAAATTGCAAATTATGTTGAAATCAAGCAAGGGAAACCTCATGAGTTTGTGTACTAATAGGAAATTTGAAGATACATCTCAAAATCACCAAATTTCGAATCAGTTTAACAGTGGTTTATCTAGCAATCAAAGATCATCATCATCATCAGGTACCATCTTCTATCAGAAGGTTGGCTACCATGACCCTCCAACTATCCCTATCCTCAGAATATTGTTGAAGATACATCTTAAAATCACCAAATTTCGAATCAGTTTAACAGTGGTTTATCTAGCAATCAAAGATCATCATCATCATCAGGTACCATCTTCTATCAGAAGGTTGGCTACCATGACCCTCCAACTATCCCTATCCTCAGAATATTGTTGAAGATACATCTTAAAATCACCAAATTTCGAATCAGTTTAACAGTGGTTTATCTAGCAATCAAAGATCATCATCATCATCAGGTACCATCTTCTATCAGAAGGTTGGCTACCATGACCCTCCAACTATCCCTATCCTCAGAATATTGTTGAAGATACATCTTAAAATCACCAAATTTCGAATCAGTTTAACAGTGGTTTATCTAGCAATCAAAGATCATCATCATCATCAGGTACCATCTTCTATCAGAAGGTTGGCTACCATGACCCTCCAACTATCCCTATCCTCAGAATATTGTTGAAGATACATCTTAAAATCACCAAATTTCGAATCAGTTTAACAGTGGTTTATCTAGCAATCACAAGTCATACAAAGCAAAAGCACCAAACATACATTCTGAATGCAAACTTGTGACAAATATATTTTGAATTGATTTATTTTCAGTATCAAAGAAGAAATTCCTGTTACCTGGCAATATTTCTAATGCCCTCTTTAAGGCTATGTCAAATCCATCCACAACCTCTGAAGGTGATAGTCCCTAAAATTATACAAACAGAAATAACATTTAACTGAAAGGAAGTAATACTGAAAATAATTTTAACAGTGATTTTATGAACAGTTTATACTAGCAAAATATTTCTTTGTTAAATAGTATATTATATCAACTTACCATTCTTAAGAGTTTTTCAGCTTCTCGTAATAATGCACCAGCAAATATCAAAACAAAGTTTGTGCCATCTCCTGCCTGTTGATTTAAAACCATAAAGTTGGTAAACATTTCTATCTGTATTGGTGACACCACAAACATATTAAGCAAATTAAACTGTTTATAAAGCCTGTGAGTATCTTGGTGGACAATGTAGATATCAAAATATCTACAGAAAAATGTAGGAACTTTACTTCTTTTGATAAATATTTGATCCTAGCAATGAACTTAAGGGCTATAGAATAACAGTATGTGCATTTCATTGTGCTTATCATTGTGTGTAGAATTTCATTATTGTTAAATTACAGAACTTGTTACCACCTTAATGAATCACAGCCGTCTCTGGTAGAACTGGTAACATGTTGATTAAAATTTCAAATATTCAAAAGCTTCAAAAATCCACATCTGTGCATGCACAGAGACTTAGACACTCACTCGGCCAGTGTCTGATAAATGCCAATAAATGCAGGCACAACAGAAGTTCATTGCAGCATTGCTGAAGGTTTAAACCTATATGGCCACTGGATACACAGTTATTAAAAACAGTTGCTAATCATGTATATATGTTTGGCTTCAGGAGTTGCAGTTAATCAAGCAACAACATCAAAGGTAAATAGAAAAATGAGGTTTACTTCTTGCTCCTGCATATTTGCAGCCATCACAATCATTTTTGCAGCAGGGTGTTGAACCTGTAAATTGAAATGGATTTTTTACAGTTAATTGAAGCTGATCATTATTTGCAAAATAGTTTCCTTGTGGATTAAGGATTACATATTTTGTAAATCAGTGATGGCTAACATTTTGCCCCGGGCATACAGGGCTTCATCAGAGCAAAAGTAAATGGCCTTAAAAAGTGCACAGATTTAGCCATCTCTGATTTACCTGTGTTTGTTGTTTTTTATTCTCAGCACGTTGTGGTGTTCCTTTTTTACTACATTTTGATTGATTTTTTTGCGGCAAGAATTTCTCAAGCAGCCACAAACACACAAACATACACACACACACAACACACACAAATAATCTTATACGTTCCTGGGTTTTTTAATTTTCTTACATAAAAAGACCTTCACAAGCTCAAAAAGCAGGCAGTCTGTCAACCATGTGAAAATTTCCACCTGAACAGGCCTTCTTGATAGGTTTCTTTTGTTTGCACTCATACTCAGAGGTAGTATGGGGAAGGCAAAGCAAAATGATGTTCATAGGAAAATAAGGTGACTGGCTACAAATGTTGCTATTTTTATACGATGTGGTTTTTAGAATAGTATAGTCCATAAAGATTCTATGATAATCAAAAATAAAAAGAGCAAAGGGAACTACAATTCTTTTTTTCATATATATACTAGCCTAAGTAACATATATACAAAACAAGCAGAAGAGTTTATACTAACCTCTAATTCTTTGATAACAGTTGCTGCGTCATTTGTGACAAAAAGCTTCTCTAAATGATTAATTACCATCTTGTTCATGCCTATTATAAAATGAAAAGTTTAATCAACATTCAAGAAGATTGATTTAACAAAAAATGATACAAAAATTATGATTTTCAATGTAGAACAGGATGGTTCTGTGTTGCCTTGTGAGTTTCACACTTGATGCAATCTTGATATCCAATGTTTACTGTATGTTTCATTTTAATGTTTATTGAAATAAACTATAAACAATTTATGAAGCATACTTTCCACAATACTAAATAATACAGTCTACATTCAAAAACGTCAAATTACCATTTGGCCCATATGATGATCTTGTTATGTCAGTGAACTGTTTGCAAGCCTCTAAGTTTCGGTACACAGCCTCATCAAGACCACTGTAATGCTGTAAATTAGGAAATATTAATATAGAAGTAAGTTTTCAATTGCTTTGACAAAAAAATTGGCTAGCAAAAAAATTTTAATGCAAGCAGGCTTGTTTGAGGTTTTAATTCTGCCCTTTGGATTAAACCTAGCATGAATATGTTTCAGAATCCATCAGATGGGATGCCAATGTGAATGTATGTTTTAAAAGAATGTTATGTTATGTAAATTGCCACACCAAAGTAGATTTAACTACTTTAATTTCATTTGTAAGTTTGCATTGAGCAGAATCTATGATATCAAGGTAAAATCCTTGGTTGCATTGAACAAATTGGCATCTGGTACGAAAGTAGCCATCGATGATGATAAAAACACTATTCCAAATTTTGTAAATATTTGGTTTTAATGTAATTGTGTAGAATTGTACTTAGGACTAACGGATAAGTAAATGAAAACTGGACTGAAACTGTGGCTACTGAAAATAAGCTTGTTTTATGAAAAATCTGAACCAACTCCATCCTAAGACCTGTGTCCTAAAGCGCATGTTTCATCGGGTTTGTTGTAAGATCATGGAAAGATTTTTGCTAAGCTCTAAATTTTTTCTAACCAAATTAAAATACCTTGGCTCCCTCCTTCATCATACTTTGCAAAACTGTTCTTGGTATTGACATAGCCATGGCTGTAGCTTTATTCGAGCGTCTTCAACTATTACTTTCCGTCACACCTTCAAATGCTTAGGCCCATCTGCCTTCATGTGCTCAAAGGGTCTGGGTCGAGAGCGTCCAGAAGCTTCCACAGGATCCCTGAATGGGAGATGATAGTGGGGGTAGGGAATTCGAATTCATTTTCATCTATTTTCCATTGTAGAATGAAATCCAATATTTATTGCAAAGATATAAGATAATCATCAGAATGGCTTGCAAGTTGGTATTTTTTTACTGCATGAACCGCGTAGTTCTTCACATCGAGGGGCAAATCATTGCATGGAAATCTTTGCTAGAAATCCTAATGTTTAATCTGTAAATCCCCAGAAACATTTTTGTTTAAATGGAAACCATGCTCGATATATACAGGAGTAAACTGTCTCTCGCCTTAAATTTTCTTCTTAGATACAACTCTTTTTTAACAGAGGTTTTATAGGGATGATGTCATACCCCGCAGGTTTTCACGAGTTGCCTAGCAAAATCTTAAGTTGGCAGTCAGCAGCGTAAGTTAGTTGGTAAATCACCCGAGGGTAGTTGAAATAGCAAAATTGGAAGGTTTTTATTTGGTAATGTTAGGGAAAGGATAGGCTCAGGTGCTATAGCTAAGCCTTAGCAAGGGAAAGGGGAGATGGGAAGGAGAGAGAGGAAATATCAAGCTTGTTTATTGTTGTTTTGAATGTAGAATGAGGTGGGGAATACCAAATTTGAAAATATCCAGGAAGAAAGGAAGAGTTGTGGGAATGAGTTCGTGGGTTGGTAAAGAGATTTGGAAAGGGTGAGCACTGGTATGTGTGCATGCCTCAGGGGTAGAGATATACCACTGGTCAAGTCAATGCCATACAAGATAAGATGAAATAAGTCGTCCAAATTTAATATGGATGCCCTAAAGTAAGGAGACTATAGGATTTCTGGCGAGCGGCAAAACTTATATTCCCATTTGAATCTTGACATTATTTCAAGTCTAAACTTGTTTCTTTGTTGCTACCTAAACTTCGATTTTACGCCTTTACTGTGGGTGCTAACTTTGGTTGTAATGAAACTTTCTGAATACTAATAGTCTCAAGTTGCAGTGTAATTCTTCCATATTGAATGATCGGGTTTTACATGATAGGGGGAATCGTTGGCTTGTGCATCAGCGAGCTTCACACCGAAATAAAAATCATCAACGACTAAGCTTCTTTAGGAGGAATACTATTCTTTTGGGGAGCATTACCTTGGCGCTATATCATTAAGTGCCTAGTGAGACATATAAGAAGCAAATAAATTCATCAAAGGAGGTTTAAAAGACACAAAGTAAATCTCTCTGGAATTGACCATTGAACTCATAGACGTGTCTCCCGGGGAGACCAGATGCCCCCACTTTTCAGCAACATAGGTTAGGTTTCCATCAAAAGCTTACGGGGTTGCCCATTTTACCTTCCATGTGCCTCTTTCTTTTAAAAGGAATGGTGGTTTACTGAATGACTTGACTGTGATGAAGTTTTGAAAGTGTTGTTACTGAAAAGATTGACTTTTTAGCTGTTGTCGACGCTCTTGCCTTAAAAAGACGCTCGTAAAGTGGTACTGTAAAGATTTTGAAAATTAATGGGTAAAAGTTTAAATAAAGTATATCAGAAAGCAGGGCCGCAAATCCAGGGGGACAGGGGTACTGGAACAACCCCCCCCCCCAAAAAAAAACTCTGGAGCAAAATTATCTTTTTTAGAAATTATCGTAATTTCCTTCTATAGAAAGAAATCCCTGGTAGCTGGGTTAGAACTAAACTAAGTTTTTCTGTGTTATTGCAACAAACCTCTGCGACTATGTCATGGTGTCAAGTGCGAGTTGACTATTGTTGATGGTCGTTGTTCATGTATGCATAGTGGCGTCGAGTCGGTGACTGTGCCAAGGAACGAATCACCCAAAATATCTTTTCCTTTGGATTTATTCTAAAAAAATATGTAAGAAAAGATTCGTTTAAGTCGCCATGAATCTCGACAAATCCACATTACACAAACATCCATTACACGCTTTTTTATAAAGATCCTAACTCAAAATCTAATTCTAAAAGTTTCTCATTTCTGAACCACTTTTAGTCGAATAGTGGAACCAAGACCCCCACAATAGCTCCTTAATTTAACTGCACATTTAGTGACATGAAAAGAGCATAGGCACAAGAAAAAAAAATTTTGAGTTTTGCTTTTAACTGTAGCTAAAAAAAAGTGCAAGAGACAAAGAGGGCAAGAAACAAAAATGATTTGTGAAAGAACACTACGTCAATAAAGAAGTACCTTTGCATTTAATAAAGGAAGTGGCAAGAAAGTGGCAATGACTACACTCTCTATTATAAGAATACTATGAATTTTGCCAAGCCTCAGTATTATTAAGAAATTTTATTTTTGATCCCGAATATGTTTCTGCAGATATATCCTTATTTTTCAATCTGATATTGTTTGAGGAAAAAAGGTTGCTCTTGAATAGAAAGCACAGGTTTTGAAAATGCGAATAATATCAGTATTGCGAATCTCTGTATTCAACATTGCGAAAAAGGCAACCCCTTTTTTATTCCCTCAATGTCTGTCACTAGAGTTTATGCATGACTCTTCCCCTACCCAATTTCTCCCAAGAAACAATAACCTGTGTTCTTCTGAGGAACATCGGATTGTCATCCTGAGCGGTAAAGTATTTTGTTAAATCTGGTCTGGGAGATGCTTTTTTAGTCTCTCTAGAAGATGTGATTTTGTTTCGCGTCGGACCCATCCATGGTGGGTCCTCCTACGTCACTAAACTTGATTCTTAACACCCCAGGCTCATATTCGTACCGCCGTCTCTGAATAATGTTATCCGTTAAATCACGAGAAAGTCAAAACCCTAAGGAATAACTGTACGCACCTTCTATAGAGCAGAAAATTCGTAGTAAGTCCAAAAATCTTGATTTTCGTTTTCTTAGTCGTTTTCCCTTCAAACTGTTTCCAGAATTGACATGACAGATTTACGCCCTGACATAGAGAGGAGAGAAGGGTTCAGAAATCGACTTACTTCGAAGTTCGAATTGCCATGAAACCAAATTTTTCGAGTTGATTTGTAACCGCATCCATGCCATGTATTTTGTATAAATAGAGCCCCAGACCAAAAGTTCATAAGGAAGATTTAGAAAAGATGTAAAAGATCAACATTTTAACCATGCTACAAAGCATAAATCTAATTTTAGCTGTCAACTTCAGAACATGGGCGTTTCCAAGAACAAAAACAGGGCGTGGCCAAATTTTTTTGCGTCTTCGATGCAAGTTCAGCCCGTCAAGGCTTTTGGGGGTCACGTCCCGCCTAGCGGTGGCCCTGCCTGCATACAATGAGGTAAACAATGCGATCCATGTAATTTTCTTGAAAACCCTCTACAGGTTGCGCTGCCACATTTGTTTTGATGCCTACATTCACGTCACGCTTGACTTATTATATTCAACATAAAGTGCCTGCTGATATAGATAGTGTGCCTGCTGAATTAAAAAAACATTTCTTATGGTCTGCTCAAAGCCTTCAAGGCAGATGGCTTCCCAAGATGAATTCACAAATCGAATCGCGGATGAAAGCGACTACAATGCACTAAAGGTTTTTCTAAGCGAAAATTTCATTCCTTTCGAGCCGGTATTCGCTGCATTAAATTTTAGCGATAACACGCCAGGAGTTGAATTTTTCTGGCAATCCATTGCTCAATGCTTAATAGAGCCTATCAGCTGTATATTTTTGAATAAAAACGATAATATTGTTGGCTCGTGTCTGAATTGTCGTTTTCATCCTATATCAGAGTTCGACGACCGATGGACGAAGCATAAACGCCTTCCAGTTGGAACTTCAAAGTTTCATACTGACCGAGCGTACTTAGCGAAACTTGAAGATGGCCTTGTCGAGCAACTTGCTTCGATTGAACAATGTAACAACCCTATGCTACTTTACGCTATCTGTGTGGATAGCAAGTTCAGAGGCCATGGCCTGGGAATCAAGTTGATTGACCTGGCATTCGAGAATGCCCGTCAACGTGGCTACGACTGCATCGTATCACAGGCAACCGCAAAGGCATCGCAGATTCTGTTCAAGAGAACTGGCTTTGATGTACTGAATGTGGTTAAACATGAAGATTTTGTAGACGAAAACGGTACTCGGCTGTTGAACTGCAAGGACGGCACGGACGAAGGGCAGCTGGTTTTCAAGAAACTTTAACCGTTAAAAAGGGAAGCACATGATTGAGGCTGGCCATTCATTGCAAATTCTTCAACCAATGTTGTGATAAAAATAATTTCCTTTAACTCAACCGATACTTAATTTATAAAGATTTAAATAAAATACAATGCTTTATGTGTTATCTGAATAGTTTAAATGTAAAACTACGGCGAGGTTTGGAGCGCCCCCCCCCCCCCGGTATCTCAGTCCTTGGTTGAAGTAAACCCGGCTTTGAAAAAGACATACGAAGAAAACCCCTCTGGGAAATGGTTTATCAAAAGGCAAACCAGAATTCGTCATGTATGAAATCATAGTCAATAGAAAAACTCTGAAAGCCTTGTTGCCAAAAATGTTAATCAACTGATGAAAATCTATGCAACAGGTTGACGGACAGACTGTTTCTCGGAACATATAAGATACTGAATGAATTTTGTGCTAATATCGAATGTTTCTAACATAAAGAATCCAATGAAATACCACGAGCAGGTTTAAACAACATAGTTTAAAACAGTTATTTTTGGAACTTGCTTGCACCTTTGGAAGAATATGCCGGGAAAAAATTGTGCTTTTCACAAGTGCAATGTCTCACAACCATCCAAGCATTTCGAAAAGAAACGACGAGTTGTATACTAAATGCAGGAGGTGAAGGGGGTCTTATAAAGTAATGATTTCTGTTTTGAAATAAAATTAATTAAAAGCAACAATATTATGGCCATAGACAGTAGAACATTTTAAGCGAATAAACGAATTTAAGCTAATTTAAAGGGCGTGTTCGCAAAATATTTCTTTTCGCTTCGCTGCCAGGGGCCGCATTCTCCACTTTTGCCCCAGGGCCTCCGAACTCTCTCGGCGGCCCTGGATGGTAGCACAATTGGCCCTTTGATTGGTTTTGTAAAAGCATAAAAAAGCTTAACACCCACCTTTTTGTCAAAACTCAACAGGCTGCATATTGACTTCTTATTTCATATTTTCATATATTTCATATTTCATTTCTAGGGTTGCCCTTCAACAAAGTTGATTTACAAGGGGCCCTAACTAAAAAATAACAATTGCAATTAATAATACTGGCGAGCCAGGCCCTGGCGGGTTTTGTAAATTGTGGGGCACCGTGCGAAAGAAAATTCCCAACTACTTGTCAGTATTATCATCGACGAATAAAATTTAAAAGAAAACAATCCTTTAACAACCATCAACTACAAAAAGAACATCGTTTCATGTTGCCTTTGTTGTCCAGGTTCTCTTTTTTACGTGGGCCTAGCCATTCTTTTCATTACTCCCGCTTTACGATATTTCGCGCCACTTTACGATATTGGGGACAAACATTGTAAAAAGATCAGTTGCATTACCACAAGGCTGTTCCGAATCAAATTTTCATTGCGTAGTTGATTTAAGTTATTGGATTAGTACAATTAGGCCTTAACAGTATTTTGTGACTTTCTGACTCAGTTTTTCTGTTTATTTTATTTTCTAATTGCTCTGATCATACTACATTGCTTCGATAATAATTACACTTTCGCTTGAGCCAATTTACGTAAATCGGATGTAGAATCTTCATTGGAGGTTAATTTGGCATTAATTAGTTTACAGTATTAATACATTTACAATTCATCTATAGACCTGGGTGTTCAGAATCGCTTTTCTTCTTAGTCTCTTGTGCCTTGTACCTCTGCGGAGAAGTTTTTAAATGATTTTTTGTTTCAAACCACCATTTTATCTACAACCTGAAAATTCTAGTGTGGCCCTGGATGAAACCCAATACATTCGATTATTCGACGCCCGGCATCTAAAGGCCGATTTCCATTTGACGTTTTTGTGCGCGCGGGCGTAGCGCCCAAATTTTAGCATACGTGGCTAAGTGCTGCTGTCAAGTGGCCGAGCACACACAAAAGTTGAGACCCTACCAACTTTCTGGCGCTCACAACGGACGCAAAATCGAGACCACTTGATTTTAATTACGCATGCTCAGACTTGGGCGCTACCCCCGCGATTTCCATTTTTTGACATTCATTTTATTAAACTGCATTTATTTTTCTGTAACTGGCTGCACTTCGATTTACACCAAATCATTATTCATTTTCGTTTTCTCCTAATAATTATGTTTCTGAGCACAATATTCACGTCTTTTTCTTCTTTTCTCGATACTCTAGGCCGTTCCCTTCTCATCAAAACATCATGTGACGTAAGAATTTGTCGGCGCCTTTGAAAAAAGGTGATGAACTCGATTTTACTCTGCTTTCGTTCAAAGTAAAATTTCCAATGATAGAGGATTAACAGCAGATAAGCGCATTAAATGCTGCAGCGAAAATGGACAACCACACGATCACTTTTCAGCATGTTGGTCCAATATCGAAAAAAGTGATGGTAAAAAGTGATCGTGTAACCCGGCCTTTAAGGAGTCTGAGCTTTAAGCTTCATGCTGTTAGGATTCAAAATTCTTACATTTGACACCACAATCGCCTTTTGTTGAGTAACAAATAAACCGTTTGCTGTTGTAGTGAACTGATGTTTACCTAGGGTACCTGTCGTCATCTTCAAACTGCAGTTTCACCAAGAAGGCGCAGACTCTATGGCATCCATTTTGATTAGAAGACCTTCTGGATTCATTGTTGGGCTTATTCGTGGCAAAACAGGAAAGGTTTTAACTGGAAGACATCTTTTCTCCTCAAGGAATATGGCTTCCAAAGATAAATTCACGAATCGAATTGCGAAAGAAGACGATTACAATGCAATCGTTAATTTTCTGAACGAGAACTTTGTCCCCTACGAGCCAACATTAACTGCATTAAATTTTCGTCCAAACACACCAGGAATGGATCTCTTTTGGCAATCCATTGCTCAATGCTTAATAGAGCCTATCAGCTTCATATCTTTGAATAAACAAGATGAGATTGTTGGCTCTTGTCTAAGCAGTCGTTTTCATCCTATATCAGAGTTGGACGACCGATGGACGAATCGAAAAGTGCTTCCAGCTGGAATGTCTAACTTTGATATTGGTGTAGCGTACGTGTCGCAGCTTGAAGACGGCCTTGTGGAGTGCCTTGCATCGAAGGAACAATGTAACAACCCTATGTTGCTGAATGTCCTTTGTGTGGATAGCAAGTTCAGAGGCCATGGCCTGGGAATCAAGTTGATTGACCTGGCATTTGATAATTCCCGTCAACGTGGCTACGACTGCATCGTATCACAGGCAACCGCAAAGGCATCGCAGATTCTGTTCAAGAGAACTGGCTTTGATGTACTGAACGTGGTTAAACATGAAGATTTTGTAAACGAAAACGGTACTCGGCTGTTGAACTGCAAGGACGGCACGGACGAAGGGCAGCTGGTTTTCAAGAAACTTTGACTTTAAATTCCGGGGTCCGAGACGGCCCATTGCCGTGTATTATTTTCTTTTTCAAATATTGCAAAAACAGTAGTTATTGAGTCAGGCATAATTTTTTAGGGGTAGAACACCCCCAAATCTTCTACAAACTCCATTTTGTTAGGCAAAAGCTCAAGCTGGTGATGTCGAGAGAACTTCGGTAATACCACATTAATCCGGTATTTATATCATGTTCTTCTTGCCACCAGTGGTGGCTCCAGCCTGGGATAAGTGGTGGGATAAGTGGGGGGAGGGGGGACAAAAGGTGTGTCAGGGACAACGCCCTTTTGGACCATGCCCTTTTCCCATGTTTGAAACATTTTCTTCCGGAGGAAACACCTGTTGTCTCCCAAAAATTGTCATTTACATGTGACGATCTTGATAACGTACATACCCCCCCCTGAAGTTTTCTCATCAGGTTTGCAAGAATCTCAAGGACCAACTTTCTGGAAAAGTGGGGGGGGGGCTAGTCCCTCCATCCCCCCCCCACGTGGCTCCGCCACTGCTTGCCACCAAGGTCTCGTGATGGTCCCAGGGAAAGAGACAAAGATAAAACGCTGATTTAAAAGCTCCAAAAGATTCTTTTTCAATTCTTCTATTCTCAATTGTTGACGACAAGTATTGAATGCTTGATAAGCAGGCTCAAAATCTTCAAAACCTGGAGATTTTAGATTTTTGCTTAAAAAACAGGGCGATTTTGGCCAAAAACAGGGAGATCCCCGGAAATTGTTGAATCAAGATAAAATATTATGTTGAACTATGATGAACTATTATTAGGCTGAATTTATAAGCAACATACCTGTAAAAAGGGCATTGGGCACGAAAACTTTTTTGGTTTACCTCAGTGTCCTTCAAGCGCGGATCCAGCCGGCATTCTGACCTATGCAAAGGTTGTCAGAAAGAAAAGCCACGCCCTTTGTGTTGGAAACGCCCAAATTTTTCTGAATAAAATCAGTATCATTGATATTGAATTGGGGGTTGCAAAAAGGAATTCTAAAGAAACGACTCGCAAAGAGAAGACTAAATTTACCTGCAATTCGAAGGAAAAACTTTAGGGTTGCCCATCCCCGATAGGATTCTGTGGAGAGGCCGAAAGATAGTCAGCAAAATATATACCCTGTCATCTGCATGTTGTTGGTATCAAGAATTTACCAAAGAAGCTATCGATTAAAAATCTTGATAGTCTACATTTTATGTTTTTGTTTTGAAAATCTGTCTTATGCTTCTGCATAAGTTGCTATAGTCTGGATCCGCCTCTGTGACCTTGGTAACGTTTAGCTAGCTATCCTTACATTATTATGTAATTTTGTATACCTATTATTATCTTAGAAGTTGTATACTTTTAAAGCTTATACAATTGTTGCTGAATGGAAAAAAAGAAAAAGGTAATCTTCACGACCCTTTTTCGAATTTTTTACTAGTTTGCAAACACTAACAAGAATGTTATCGTGTTGAACGCCATTGCAATCATTTTTGTTACGAGAAAACCTCTGGTGAAAGACATGGAAGAAACAGGGAGAAAATCTAAAAAAAATTGAAGATCGAGAAAAAGCAAGCAAACCTTGGATCTCCCGGCGTAACCTAGATAGTTTACTGGTCTGTAAAATCTTGGCATTGCTGGAGAAAGCACAAACTTCGGTGTTTCTCAATTTGCATTGAAATAGATAGAGACTGAAAATTCGCTTTAAAATTGGTCGACTGAATGTTCGAGAATTCTTTCCCCTACTCCTTCGTGGATTTATGTATGCAAAAAAGATCAGCAAAGCGTTAAAATTTATAACCTTACATACCCTGGGTGCCAGAGTCTCCATTCTTTAGTCTCAATAATATCTTATTGAGGGAGGATTATTCTTTGCCACCGCAGCCGAATACAATACTTTATTCCCGGATTCACGAGGCTCTGGATCCCAGGGTAAACGTTACATAACGTATAGAGAGAGCAACTTGTTTGTTCATTTCTAAAAATGGCATGACCATGAAAGCACACTTTAAAGTAATGATCGGTATAACTACTCGCAGACGTACTAATTTAACTCTCACTGTAGCCTGACAACCAGCCATTATTATGACTTTACTATTGGGCATTTCAAAATATTAACAATTCCATCTCAAATTTCTAGCAAGTATTTTTGCTGCTATTGACACACCGTTCCCAGCAGGGTGGTAAATCCATTATTTACAGCAATGATAAAACAACAATAAAATTTTTTTAACTAAGCATTTTTAGTTGCTCCTTTTTTTGAACGTAACAAAACGACATCAGATCTGAATAAAGCAAGGGTCTTACTCAAAGGTAAGTGTCATAAATCTTACAAATTGAAGATTTTTCTGTTCGACTCCTCAACAAAGGCATTTTAATTTTTAAGCATCATACCTTATTGATGAGGTCTGATACATGAAGCCAATCTGATCCAGAATGACGAAAGAAGTCGCTATATTCAGCTTTAAATTATTTTCTTTCAAAATGTAATACTTTCAAAAATAGACAGCCATGTTATATTTCCGACCAAATCAGAAGCTTTTCGAAAAAAAAACAGTTTAGCTTTACAGGGGTGTTGTTCGTCCCCTCTGATCCCTTCTATCTCTCCACTGCCCTTTGCTGATTCAGATGGGAGATCTTAACTGGATCCCTGTCTCACCGAATTTACCTATGGGAACGAGGCCAATATAACATGGGGATAGTTTCCAGAAAATTCTCTAGACACGGTTTTTTCGCTCTCTGATAAAGCGAAGAGAACTTGGCTATTGTAGCATGGATAGCGACAGTTTGGTGTGTTATAATCGCGGTTGTGGAAAAAGATTCAAAGAAGATGAAAACGTAGAGGGTAAGCCTATACAAAATGATATAGAAGTTGTGTATTTGCATCAGGCATTAACTTTATTTAGGCCCTGGTGGTACAATTTCAGGCCAGTTTAGTCTGATAAGCTTGCATATCTTCTTTCTAACCACTAGCCAATTTTCCAAGAGATTTTGTCGGCGGGTAAGACAGAGACTCTTCAACGAAACTGCGGTGAAAAATTAGTTTGATTTTTCTTCCGTTGCATGCAGAAAGTGCACTACACAGTTAATCAAAATACATCTATCTGAAATTGAATTAGCTTGCAGTAGCTCTGGTAAATGGCACACATATCAATTTCCCAAGAAACATAACTAAAAAAAGATAGTGGTAACTTCTTTGACCCAACTATTCAGTCTTGAACTACCTCAAACATAAAGTACACTTGATAAATGTTTGAAAAAAAATCATCAACAGGTGCGCAAACTTTCTGTGATAATTACGAACTTGGCTGACCTCCTGGTAATTTTTCAGTCTGGATTGAAGATAAACAGTAGACTTTCTTGTTTAACATAGAATCATTCCAAACAAATAGTGGAGCTTTCATTATATTTCAGTGGCTGATTGTTAATATTGAACTATTTAAACTCACTCGTGTATTTGTTATTTAGCTGAAGGTAAGAATAGCACATCTCAAAATGTTCTGAAATTCTGTAATTTAATAGCACAACATTGTCAAAAACAGAACAATTTTCCTGTTAAAACATGGCTAGTCTTTCAAGTACACTTCATATCCTTCATTGAAATGCCCAGAAAAGCACTCAGCACATAAATGTATAGGTCGTATCATGGGCAGATACAGGGTGTTGCACAAGTCACACGGAGGACCGTAAGATTTTCAGAATTGAATTTTCGTCTTCAGTCTTCAAAATTAGAAAATCATCTTTACCATAAAGCTTAATTCTCCTCCTTATAATAAATACATTTGACTCTCTTTATATAATAAACACAGGACCTACCTTGGTAGATCTCACACTCAATTCTACGATTTAATTCAATCAAGAGGAAATTCACAGACAATCCTAGACCGTGAACAGAATGATTTTTAAATATGCCGCCCGTATATACAAGACTCTTTGTTATGCAAGTATTTTAAATTTTCACCAATCACGAATCTCACCAATCAAGTTTCAAGTTTTCACATAGTTGTGTAGCATGAAAAGTCTGTAGGCACTATGTTAGATTACTGTGCCGCACAACAACTGGCAAGGAAAGAAAGTGAATGAGGTTGGAAGTTGTGAAAGAGAAGAATCTCAATTTCCTTATCTATACTGAAGAGGTGCACAGGGGTTGTACGATTCTGGAAACATTCTTGAAAACTTTAGAATGGCGGACAATTTTACCCTTTCAGAGCTGGTTAAGCATTAAAAATTTCCCCAGTCCCAGTGCCACCCTCTGAATTAATGCATGACTTACAAACCTTGTTGGTGTTGTAACTTCGACTCCTAATGAGAAGAACGTATAATTGAGGCTTTTCATGGAAGAAAGTGTATCAGTCTTGATTAGCAGGACAAATCGCATTTTGAACATAAACACTTACCAGGCATGAAAATAATATTTCAGACTAATAATGAAAATGACTTTCTTGAGCAAGGTTGAATTTTTTTTTGACATGGTAAACTTCAGGGTTTTTTGCCTTTAAAATTAGACCTAATTGCTCTGGTTCCCGGTGGCAGGCCCCCAAAATGTCTTTCTGAAAAGTACCTCCTTGGTTGAAATGTAGATTTTTCCAACACTGGATGTTATTTGTTGTGGTCCTCATATTGAAATTTGTGTAAAACAGTGCTTCAAACTAATGATTGTAACAACTTATGAAATCTGCCAGTCATTAAGCCTTTGACTTATTCAATTTAAGGAAGCTGTCAGTATCATCCTGGTGCTCCAGTTTTCCATGAAGGTTATAAGGTATGTTTCTTTAGAAATTCCTAATTTTGCTTTTAAATTTTTATAGATGGATTACAATGCATTGCTAATTTCTAAGTTCCTTGTTAATTTAATTACAAATTCATTTATACTTTCAAATAGATAAAAATCTTGATAAATTATCTATCTGTTTGATATTGATCTAAATATGTTGTGACATTGCAAATGTTAACAACTGTACCAAATCAGTCTTTGAATTATGAAAATAGGCACACATGCAGCCTTTGGCACATCTTGGTTATTTTGCGCATGCGATGGCGTGAGATTCAAACCACTTTTTTATCGGTTGTTTCTCATTCCTTTTGTCAAAAACTGGGTGCTGCTTTCAAGGAGTCCTTTGGTGTAATAAACTAACCAGAAACCAATGAAATTGATGGAAAAATTGATCTTGTTCTTCTTTAAAGATGTTAAATTTAATTAGTTATTAATAATTTTCTAGGAAGTGATTTTTAGAATCATTTTATAATCATTTAATGATATCTGGATTGAAAAAAAACAATTGCTCATAGACCCTACTATCTATCGAGAAATTACCATGCAGCTTCACTGACATTAAATTTAGCGGGATATCATAGCCTCACTCTTTTCTTCATCATAGCTTTCTTCAGTTTCCTCCTCTTTCTCTAGCTTCGGTTTCTTTGATACACCGTTGCCATTATCAAGCTTTTGCTTTCTGCTCGTCGAAAGATAGAGCCTTTTTTTCAAAATATTTTCTCTTTCTCCTTCAGTCCATATATCATCATTGATTGCAATACGAGGTGGCATCTCCATAACACTGTGTGACATTTGTAGTCTTCTTTCTGACATTAACACCCTGAAAATGCTGAAAGTTCTTTCTACTGAAAAATTTGAGCTAGAGATCACAATTCATAATCTGTGCCAGAATGCACATGTTGGGGGTACTTGTCTGCCCTGTAACAAGCATATTTTGCCACAGCTTTCTTGCTTCTATTCTCGATTATTCCATTATTTCCCCAACCAATAAATGTCGCCAGCTGCACTTTTTTTCTTTTTGCCATGATCACTGAAGAACAGAATAATCAAGAGGGAAGACTTCTCTTGGATCGAAACTTTTAATTGCTGAGTTTTGACAGTTTTGATTGCAGATAGTAATCTGGCACCCCCTTTGCACCCCCTTTGCACCCCCTTTGCACCCCCTTGGTTAAATAACTGTTATGTTAAGCGATCTTGTTGTAACTACTTTGTGATGCCGTTGTTTAATCCCATATGGGAATGCTTAAACCCTAGAAAACGACAGAGCTGCCTTTGAATTTTGCTGCTGCTTTAGAAATCTTTGAAACATAAGCAATTTTTAAGAAACTTTTATGGTAAATTCTTTGTTTTGCGTGTGCGATGATTTGCACGCCTTGGATAATTTGGGTGTGTGGGGAGGCACCAATGCGATCGCACGCCTCATATTACAAAAACTGCCAAACGATTATCAGTTGATAAAATGGCTAAGCATTTTTAAGTGAATATTCTATTTGTAGAGCTGGGGATGTTGTAAAAAGAAGAGTACAGATTTTACAGAGTTCCTTAACATGCCAGTAAGTATTGCAGTTCTCACACAAGAAATATTTACAATCAACTTGAAACTTCAGTGATACCAAAGACGATCTTGTTGACATTAAAGTGTCAGTTGACATTATATGTGAGCATACTTATCCAACATGGATTGAAAGTCCAAGGCTTATATACAATACAGACCTGCCTAGGTAAAGCAAATAAAGCTAAACTGAAATGTGAAGATGTCTCAAATTCTGATCAAAGTTTTCTAAAATGGTCATGAAAGGTTGGTTATGTGTTTTTTTCTGGCAAATTTGATGCCTAACCCTTTTATGAATATGAAGCTGCTCTTTTCAAATTAAAAATTGAATTGAAACATTCACTGAGCACTCTGAACATATTTCATTTTTCAATGCTTGTGATTTTATTTGATATTAAGCAATTAGTTTATCATTTCAGAGTCTTGCGTTAACAGTGAATCATTTACTGAAGAAAGATGCAGTTGGCTATTGATTACCACATATTGTAATGTATAAATCTTTCATTTCTTACAGGGTTGCACCAAAGGATTTCATAATAAAGACAAACCTGAGCAACCTGTGAAAAAAGTTGATGCTCCATTAGAGGTTGGAGAGGTACACTTCTTTGATGATGTCTTTGTACCATGTGTTGATATTGGTTGTTAAAAGTTATGTTCTAGTTGGTGTTTAATGATGAAAGGGTCATAGTTTTCTTGGTAAGCTGCTGAATGCATTAGATAGAAATTGCACCCCTTTACACATTTAGAAGAAACTTCAATAACTGAGAGCAGCACATCATTTACATTATGTTAACAATGAATAATTCACCAAACATAAATTGCACTTCTGTAATTTATCACGTTTCCTTGTTCATTTGATAACTCAGCAGGCAACAACTGAAGCATACAATATCAAAAGATGATTCTCGCCACTTAAGAACACAAAAAATTAAGCCGAAATTGAATTAAGAATTCTTTATTTGGTTCATTTACCAATTCTTATCCATTTCTGCTGATAAGATGAAAATAGATGAAAAACTAATTGCAACCAAGTATATACAAATCCTTCATTGCTACACCGTTATAATTAAAATTTTCTGGAACTTCCCAAAACTTGAAAGAGGCCATTAATTTTTATAAACAAAAGATATTAAGTTGAAATTTTGGAGTTTCTTGTTATTAAATGAAAGCTATTTCTCACAAAATTGACTGCATTCTGAATAGTTGCTACACCATCTTGATGATTTGACATGATATTACCCAATGACCAATTTTAAGGGACTATAAGCAAATCAATGTAAGGTAAACCTGATTGTTTTTTATGCAGGTTATAGAGCATGGAACAAAACAAATGCAACAAAGTAGAACAACAATGAGTGAAGAAAGGCCAAGGTATCAATTTAAGATTTTTGTTATTATTTCACAGGGAAAGTGATATTTTCTATAAATACAAAATGAAATATACTTTCAGTGACAGTCATGATTTAAATTTAAGCAGCACTCATTCTTGACAAAATTGTCATAGCAGATATCAAAGCAGTCAAAATTTGCCACTAGTGAAGCTTATTCAGTCAGGGTTTTTGTAGAAGAGGTGGATTTCACTATCATGTATGCATAGAAGTAACTTTTTTAGGTAGGTATCCTGTTATATACGTCTCAGCGTATTTTGCAAAAGCATTTGTTTCTACATATTCAAGTAGTCTTTTTAACTGGTGCAGCATTATTTGCTTTTCGCCTGTTTTATGAGAATTTAGGGTTTGAAATGCACAATAGTTTTTGGGAAAAACAAGGATATTGTTTTTATGCTTTAAGCTATTTTTGTCAAACAACTCGCCAGAAATGCCATCCCAGAGTTCTTTGTACTTGAGACTTATCAAAACATTCTGCAAGAAATAAGGCTAGAGTCTAAAGAGAGCCAGACATAGTATTTATAATCTTTATAGATCACTGCAAATCAGCATCTTTTAATATTCAAGTTTGAATATTTCAGTGATGATTTACCAAGGATAAGACTTAAGGCAATTGTCAGCTCATCACTCAAATCGGCTTTGCAGAGGTACCATGAACAGCAGCAACAGAGGAAGGAGCAATTAGGCAACGAAAGTAAGTCTTTCTCATTTACTTTTCAATATCGCCAGCCTCGAACTGCTGGTTTTACCACTTAGTGCAGTAAATTTCGAGCAAGTGGAATGCAGCATGTGTGCAAAGGAAAACAGCGGTTTTCTCCGTCTCCACGTAGTCTCTCCGCAGAGTCTTAGTGCCCTTTTGGTTTTGCCTCCAATCTGATTTTTTATTTTGCTAATGGAGGGTAACCCAATATAATTTATGAATGGATCCCAGTAAATAAATTTAGGCAGCGAGTTTTTAGAGAAAAAGAACGTCGGACATAATTTTCTTGAATAGTATGTTTATAGCTATGGTTTTTGAATAAAGTTCTGATCGAAAACATGTAAGTAAGTTTCAAAAAACAGCAGTTGTGTTTTATGTTACTAAAATCATCATTTGAATGTCCACTTTGGTGCATTGTGGCTCGAAAAGGATGTTGCAAAAATTACGTAAAGGAACTTTCTGAATTACTGAATTGCGAAGACTCTGGCACCCAGAGTCGTAAACTCCAAACTTTTTTTGATAGATACGTCATCTCGCGAGCGGACCTCGTCTTCCCCTAGTCTTTGCAAGCAGGCTTGCGTTCATTGATGAATGCTTTGTAAAAGCAATTGAAAGCTCGTTTTCTTTAAGTTTTAAGAATGTAGCTTGATAAGTCATTTCCTTGAAGGTGGAAGAGCAAATTTTTTCAAAGACTGCTTAGATTTTATATGTGAAGCTAGCTAAGTATTTTCCTCAGGAATAAGTTGTAGATGACCCCCGCATAGATCTGGATCAGTAGTCTGTGTTTTGTTTCTAGATAATGAAGATGCTGTTCTGCCTGGCGCATCATGTAAACATAATGGCTGTAATATGGTTTGTAAAAAGCCTTCAAGTCTTTTTCTATTCATTATTCTTGCAGAATAATCACAGTTTACTTTTAAAAACGTCCTAAATTCGTTTAAGGAATTGTAACCACATGTTTGAATTTTAAAGCTTAAAAAAGAAATCCAAGGACAATGTACGGGTGTTTCAAGACGAGCAAAAAAACAAGCAAATATAGGCTGCCGATAGCATTGCCTTATTGGTTAACCCCAACATTATCAACAGACAAACTTTCATTTTATGGTGTTTTTGAGAAGCTTCATAAACTACAGTGCTTTGAGTTTTTGCGGAGGAGAATGACTGAGGCAGTACTGGGGGCCACAGATGATGCAGTAATGCTCAACGAAGCATGTCAGATTCCCCTTGATTTTTTAGACAAAAAGCTGCTAAGGGGCTTAGAAATTTTTCTTTAACATGGTGTGGTCAATGACGAAATCATTTCAAGACGTTTTGTGAGACCTTCGTTCAAGACGTTGAACGACTTCGAACACTTTAAAAACCTGTAAAAGGTGTTGAACAATCAGTTCCAAATGAAATATGTTTGTATTATGCTAGAAAAACACGACAGGGTAATGATTGACAAATTCATCCATCTTAACAGCCAGTCCAATTGCTCTTATTACCATAAATGGACAATAGGATATACTTTAGCAAAGGGGTTTTCGGAAAAGGAGATTCCTCATCGCTGTTTTTCAAACACCTAAATAATAACACAGTAAAACCTCCCCTGGTTCAGTTAATACAGCCATCCAACTTTAGTTCAGATAATACTCCGGTCTCATGGCAATGTTTAGTCTAATACAATATTTCCTTTCGGAATAATGCTCTATATAGCAGAATTATTGTATTCAAATTTTTCTGAGTGAATATTTTTGCGATATAGCTTTCTTATATACTTTCTGTAATTTCCCAAGACTGTATGAGTCGAAAAACACCTAAAGAGAAATTTAGTACCTTTTTTGTCTATCGACGAATCTCCCACAATTCAGAAAAAACCATTAGAATCTTCAGATCCTTAAGGAATCTTTGGAATCTCTAAGAAATCTCGGAATCTCATCCAATATTTGTGACAATCTTAGAGATTTTTAGGGAATTTTAGGGATGCTATTCTGAGAAACGATTTGCCCTCTGTCTTTCGATATCTTTCCGTCTCTTGAAATACAATTGTTTTTGTTTTTTAGACGTTTGTTGATGAAACTAGTAACAAGGAACTTTGTGAATATCATCCTGGTTTTCCTATATTTCACGAAGGGTACGAATGCTTATTTTTAAAGTGGAATGCAGACATGATGGCAGAGCCTATAGAACAAAACATTTTTAGCTGTTTAAAAATAATGATTAAGACCACAGATTACTGAAGATCAACTAAGTAACTTTTTTCCTTTGAATTATTGACACTGTACTTTTTGCAAACATCTAACACTGCATCTAGTTACTCCCTGGGACGTATTTGTTTTGATTTGGGATTGGCTCGTTTTGCAGTACCTTTTTCCACGCACACCTTCATTGTATAACCCAAACCCACTTCCCACCTTCCTGCCCAAGATGCACGCCTACTGATGTTTATACCCTAGAGTTATGCTATGAAAAGTAAATGGAAGTGAAGTTGGGGTGAGGGGGGAAGTCTTCTATAGATCTTTGATGCAGGGTAAAGAACTCAGTTACTTTTCGTGTTACGTCAGAATGGTCAGACCCTTTCATCTCATAGTGGCACTTTAGTTGCTCAGCTCATCTAAATTGCCTTAAGGATTTTTACTTTCTGTAAGCAAGTTTATCCTTTTTTTGTGTTTTTAAGTGGTCTTAGTTTTGTATTATAATGCTGTCAACTTTTAGGATTTCATTTTGTTTTTTAAGGATTTTATTGTAGCCCTAGTACATTTTGTTTATGCAATGGAGCAAATGCCTTATTCGATAGATAAATACCTTCTTTTGTCTGCAAGTTTCTGATCTAGATCTCACATTTATATTTTTCCAGATATAAATATTGGACATGTTGCAAGAAAAGAACTTCCGATTTTTCCGAGTTTCTCAAGCAAGTTGGATGCAAAAAAGGCTCGCATGAATGGATGAAACCTAGTGAGGTTTGCTTATCATGTTGATTTTTTTAAATTGCCACTTTTCTTATTTAAGCTTCATTAAATAGAACGGGTTTGGCCGGACTTAAGTTGTGAACAAAAATCTTATTTAAATTCAACAAAACAGATAGGCCTAGCCTATATGAAAGCTCTTGACTTTTGAACGTATGTTACGGGGTCTTCCTTGACGCGATTCTAATGCTGACTGCCAACTTGCTGTATTTGAAATAAAAAGTCTGGCCGTTGCGTAGTGCTATCATGGCGCAATGTAACGCTACTACATTTCTTTACCACAATTGAATATCAAACGATGCAACTAAAGAAACATCTTTTCTGATCGGATTTATTTGATTTTTCTCTGCATATCAAGTGACTGAATTTCACCCGGAACCTTTTTTAAGTTTTAAAAATCAGGAAACTTCCCCATGTTTCGAAATTGATTTTTAACGAAGTAGAATTTGTTTATTTACAGGAAGCCCAAAAGAAGTCAGCCTGCAGGTAAACTGTTTTCTCATTGATATAAAAAAGCAAGCAATAAAGAGATCTTTTTATTGCTGATAATGTTTTAGAGCTAACCTTGCGAATGTCGAGAAGAAAGAAATAGGGATGGGTAACTAGCAAAGATTTTTTACAAGGCCAATTTCACCATCACCTTTTCGTTCCATGATATGTATTAATTGTATAATGCTCTCCCAAGTTTTGAACAGTCAGCTGCGAAATAAATTGACACACCAACAAGCTTTTTGCCTTTTTAAAAAAATGAATGTTTGAAGCTATTGGTGCAAACATTTTAATGATATGTAGCATGACACTATTATGTTTAATTCTTTTATCAAAATCTTCACTTCAACAGTTTGTTGCCTATATTGTTCTAGGTTTTTGATAGCCTTAATTGGTTGGCTTTTGATCTTTTTTTTAAAAAAATTCTTCCAGATATGACTGGCATCAGACAGGTCCCTTTGTTTATATTTCGATCTATGCAAAAACGACCGATCCTGAAAAAAGTTACATCGAAGTCAATCCAACCAAGGTATGTTTACGATGGTCTGATACTGATTTTCGTTCACAATCGTTTCTTGCCACTGAAAATTCAAAATCAAAATTTGGGACGCGGCGTTTAATAGAGGGCGGCGTTTGTCAAAGTTTGTCAAATGAAAGATGACAAGACAAATGCGATAAAAAAAGATTAAAACAGACTTTAAATAATATTTTCTTTTCCCAAAAACACGTAATAAAGATTGTGTGAAAAAATGCTTAGAGTTCACAAAAGATGTGTTTAGGTTATGGAAATGCCAAGGAATGTCAACATTCCTGTCTCCGTCAGAGTCCCCGTCTTTATGACATAACAACTTTCATAGCTTTCGAATAGTGAACGTATAATTTATTCGTTACTTCTTGTTTGTTGTGTTTTCAAATGAACACCGCTTTTCAAGATACGACGTTTAAAAGAGGGCGGCGATAATCAGAGGGCGGCGTTTTTTACAAATGGTTGGCTTAAGGTGCGGCGCTCAATAGAGGGGCGGCGTTTATCAGAGGGCGGGGTTCATTAGAGGAAATACGGTAGTCCATTAAAGGATAATTGTCTAATGCCAACAATCTTTTGATGGTACAAAACTGTCTTATTAATTGTCTTCTTAGCCAACCTTTGGTCTTATTAATCTTACTTTTGCCCCAGTTCGTGAAAATTGTTTTTCTCGCCGATTCGCGAATATAGGTCTCTGCGAAATATTTATCTGCGGTTTATATGAACTTTTTTGCTTGACACTCTACATGTTATTGATGTCAGTGTAGCGGTTACGACATTGTTATCTGTAAGCCCTAATTAGAAATGCATTGAAACAAAGTTTGATGGTTCTTACTTACCAGAAAACTCATGGCACAAAAGCCGCTAGAGATTGATCTAAGTGTGATTTGGTTTTTTCTTTCCTTCAAGCTACACGCATTCATCGCATTTAATGGCGGTACAAATATCTTCGAATTAGAGCTGACTTTAAATGGGGTATGTTGCCTATTTCTCTTTCTTTATCAGTTTTGGAATGTGTTGAACGTAATTCATCAGCCATTTGCTGTGATGCTTGTGATGTCACCTGGTTTCTGATGGACTGCTTTCAAAGACATCACAACAGCGCTGTTTTCCCCCCGATAATGGTCTATTGGTAAAGGCTTTCTATCTATAAGACTCGGAATAACAAAATATAATCGGTCTTTACTGCCGCAAAGCGTAATTGTTTGGCCAGGGTGCAATCGTTAACCATTTTGTCATCTAATGAGCTCAAAGTTCTAGGGAGAGCACAGACGCCCTCAAAGCAACAAACAGAGTAGGGCCTAAAACTTTTACCTTAAAGTATTTACGAAAGTAGCTTTTTTGTAGTCAGCTTATTTGATGTCAGCTAGTTTACCTAAAAACAGCTAATGCGAAAGTTATTCGTGGATCGTGGGATATTGGCTGAGATGCATATTATAAAGATAGCACTTGCAAAGGTTTTTCGTTTGCTTTTTCACTCGTGATGTAAAATTTGAACAGTTTTTTGGCGGTACAGAACTTAAAAATGGCTTTGAAAAAAGCAAACATTTTACAACATATTGGCCATAAACTTTTCCGTCTGACACTACTCAGAGCATAAAATGTCAGAATAAGGGTCCGAAAGAACACGATGGAAAATACATACCCAGTTGTGGATCGAAATAGGCCAACCTGGCCAACCAGAAAAACGCAAGCACATGACCGGCATAGTTGTCCAATCAGTGCTGCCTGCCTGTAGAAAAATTACCAATGGAGTCCAAGAGAGATAATGAACTCCTTTTGTCTACACAATGGCTGCTTTTTCATTTGTATGTAGATCGATTTCAAAACTACTAGATGAAAAGACGACCGGGCTCTGCCAATTATCTGAAACATGTCGTCATTATAGAGTTTTGCACAATCTGGGTTATCTAAAAGATGTTGATCGATGGCAGAATCACTTGTTTTAACAGTGTTTCTAGACCTACAAGATCGAGGAGGCTGTTCTCTTTGAGGGGCAGTTTTGTTTCTTATGTTGGAAGGAACGTGCAATTTTATCCTATCCCCCAATCTTTGGGTTGAGCCTCATTCGTAGCCAGAATCATACTGGCACGTGAATTCATAAAAAGCGGAACTTTTTTGGTTGGTAGGAACGCGATCATTTTGATGTTTGCTTTTTTCAAAGCTATATTGATGTAAAATAACACGCTTCTGTTTTTTAGCATTAGGAAAACGATATTTCTCGTTCGGAAATCTTTTACTACCTCCCTGATTTCCAGTTATCTCTCATTGTTCCGAAAGGGCATTTAGTGACGCAATGGCCCTTGTCTTGCAGGTAATTGAACCTGAAGCTAGCAAAGTCGAATTTCTTGGAACAAAAGTTGAAATAAAGTTAAAGAAAAAGAGTGCCTTTGCCTGGAGGGATCTGGAATACAAGTCAAGAGACGTAAATAAATCCTGATATCTGAGACTTATATCTAGTGTCCCTGTTTGCTCAGTACGAGAAAGGATAGAAGCCATTTTTCACATCGTCTCTTTTTACCGTGTGTCTGAGAGATATAAAGAATTATCAATTGTGATTTCTTTTGGTTCCTGTTCCTGTAGTTGTCATATTTAGATGTTGTATGCTGGAGGATTTTGTCAAATTTAGCAGTTGCTGATTTTGTCACTGTCAAAGAAAACAAGTCATAGGGTGGTTTTGATCACGAGCATCAGATGGCTTTATGGTTGAATTTTATACGGTTATAGACAAAGGTGCATTGAAAGCTGTTAACGCAATTTACAACATCTATTTAACTGGGCAAAAGTGATAGGGGTGTTCGGCACACATTGAATGAGCCAGGGGTGTAGTGTACCGAATTAAATTGTATTAGGCAAATTTGGCTATTTACGTCAAGATTTATGTTTATTTTTGAAAATGGCACAGAAATGGGGAAAATGGCATAGTTGAGGTAATTTTATTTTTGAGAATGGCATAGCTAGATGTTTTTGTCTGACAATCCTCAGACTATAAACGTCGGATAATGACAGGGGCAAGCAGAAATTTGTATCCAGATGTGGTTCGAAAGTAACGTGAGAGCAAAAATGGCGCATGTGATTGGTTCTTTGTTTTTGACTAATGGGCGACCGCCTTGCAGTAAATCGAACACCGGCAAGGGATTACATAAACGTTGATTAGCTAAGCATTTCTTCTAAGAGCTTTTATTTATTCAATTGGAAGCAGTATAAAACTTTTGGACTCATTATTGTCTTTATTTAGTAGTCATAAACAGATAATCCATGTTACTGTTTTAGGTTTTCTCGATGCCAGACCTCAATGTTAATATACACTTGCCGAATTAAGTCAAAAAGAATACTTACATACTTACAATATTGCTTAAGATGTACAATTTGAAGCTGGCATGGAAGCGCTGAAATAGTGCACTTTAGTGTTTTTGTCCGACACTCCTTACAGTATAAAATGACAGATAATAATGGCTCAAAGTAAGCTCTGATCCTAATGATAAATATGGGCTTGGTCCGTCCTTTTTTTTTGTCACTGTCAGTTAAAAGACTCTAAACAGAAGGCCAGAGCTTCCAAGGAAAAATGAGAACCAGGCCAGGGTGGATGTGAACGTAATTCTTCCAATTCTGAAACCAACCGAACTGTCCCTGGCGTAGGAAATAAAAAGCTGTAATTTGGCACGGTCTCGAAAGATGTGCCGGTCTGGCCAGTCGTCTTCAGATGTGTTGTTCAGCCTGGAAATGACGCCTACAAAAGCAAGAAGTAGCAAACATTCAGTTATTCGTAGATTGAGTAAGACAAACAAATGCAGTAAGACCAAAAAGGGAAACACTTCGTTGTTAATACTTACGATGTAGTAACAACACTATTTACCGAATAAACTAACAGCATTGTTTGAAAAGAATCTAACTATTTCCTTAGTTATTGTTAGTACAAAATTCTGATTATGGGTTTTAATTTGACTCTTACAGTAAAAGGGTGACTGCAACCCTAAGGGGTCTCAGCTATCAATATCAGCTCGCTCACATGCATAGGATTTGCAAACAGAATTTGTCGTGAATGCTCACCAAAAATATTAGATTTTGAATATCACCCTTCCATTTTTCCATTTTCCATTAAGATTCTATTTTTGTTTTATGAATTTAATCACGGTAACCCCGTCAGCCTGCGAAGATTGCTTTACAGGGCTGTTTGAAAAGAGCTGCGTATTAAAAACCCATTTAAAAATTTTGTTATCTAAATTAGATAGCTGCAAGTAAATCTAAGGAAGTCCAAATCAAATTCAAAAGAAATGAAGAAAACAAGAAAAGCAAAAGCAAATCTCTACAATGTTTTCTTTGAACCTTGTTGAAGGATTGAAGATCTGGTGCATGCCCGGTGCATGTTTGACATTTATGCTCAATTGGGACCATAGCTAAGGCCCACGGAAGGAAGTGGAATTCTGCCCTTTGGTGTTATGAAAAGAGGAACACGCAGTACAGTTTCAGTGTTTCTTAATCTCTATGCATTTTGAGTTGAGCTTTCTATAATTAGCTTGGACGGAAATTCAGGTGCAATGTAGACTTGTACATTATAGTTCGCTGTAAATTATTTATGGAAAAACTGTCAAAATGAGGCCTTTCTGGACATTTTATAACAAGAGGCGTCACATACGTCGTCTATCGGGCTGTAGATTTTGTAATAAAAAAATTCAGAGTGGCTTGAAAAAGTTCAAACGCGACGGGTTGCAGTATAGTAAAGTAGATACCTTATGTCAGACACGGATGAAATACAGTATTATGATCACAAGGTAATTCAGTTGCGAATTCAAAATAACGCAAGAGACAAGATAAGCGTTTGGTGGGCCCCTATCTTTGAGAATAGAGAACAGCTGATCTCTCACATTGTGGATGAGTCCAAGGTGAAAACGAACCGTTCTGTCTTCACAAATCAGGATTTTGTGCATTGATAAAGACAAAGTACAAAGACTCTAATGTAAATACAACCTTGCTATCTTACCGTTGCAAGTACTTGTGATGTAAGCTGCGCAGACACAAGGAAACACGAACATAAACAAGTGAATTCCCAGAAAGAAACACAAGTAGATCTCTTTAATGACGTTATGTTCATTCCCAAAATGGCTTGCGACAACAACCAAAGCAACAATGGTCGTTAGCCCATACAGGATCCAATGGAAGACGAACCATAGCGAAAAGGAATCCACTGTATCACTAACGATCCTAGCGAATTCTTGGTGCATGACGATGGAAGAGTTCACATTTTCTGTCTCCATAGCCTTTATCCTTGTCTCCAAATCTCTTGAAAAGGCCCCTGAGATGAATAAGACCTTCTTAAGTTTTCTCTAAATCATAGTATTTCTGAAAGGTATCATTTTTTATTATCACATAGTAATGTGTTTTCCTAATACCCTTCGATGTACTGGTTACTGCATACCTACCCAGAGCAAGCGACGATCCTGCAAACACGAAGCAGGCCACTAATCCGGTCCATTGAGTTATCAGCTGTGATCCTACACCTGTTGCCAGAAGGATGAATTTCCGGGACGAGATCTGATTCCGGACTAGATAGTAGAACATCGACACAGAGGCCGCATAGCATGTACCAATAATAACCAGGAGCAACACCAAGGTACAGAGCCTGCTCTTGCTGATATCTTTTTTGATTGCCGTCGGGCCGAGAGCGTTTTTCTTCTTGTTCCTTGCTACGTACAGTGTTGCAATCATAAACACATACGAAAAGAGACCACCGATCGAGGCCAACGTATATGCAGCATTTTGAGCCTTTCGCATCGGGTTTGTATGGGTTTTGGTGTCTATAAGAAAGCGGCAGTCGAAATTCGGACAGTTGAAGACAGTGAACAGGTCGTACACAAGCTGGAAACATGACAAACACAGCAACCATAACACGTACATGTAACAGCAACTCGAAGGCACCCAGTAGCCTGCTGTACAATAAACAGTTTTTAAGATGGCAATGAATGCTTTTTCTCCACGACTTTGGTCTTTTTTTTGGCGTCCATTTCGAAATCTTTGTTGGTAGCTTTCGACCAAAGCGTTATCTTCGCCTGCACCTATTTCTGCTTGCGAGCAGCAGCTCATCTTGTTTCCTTACAAGACGTTTTCCGTTGAAAGAGCTGTACAGTGTAGATCGCATTCTGAATCAAGCCCAACGCTATTGAAGGCTTATGTCTCGTGATCTTCTTCATTTGGAAGTTGGTTTCAAATTGCATCGATGTTATTTCTTTGAAGTCTCGTGACTTAACCTTGAAACAAGGGCATTCCCCTTCGTGCAGCCTGTATGGAAAATCTGAAACCCTTACTGTTAGATAGGATTTGATTCGTCTGGACATTTGCACTGGACATTGCTCACTTTGTTCAGTGTGTGGACATCCAGAAAATTTTGGGAAATGAATTCGCGCCAAATCCAATCCATTGCATCAATTGCACGTGCGCCATTGACTGGGCAATGTTCAGTAGAGTGGCAAAACGACTGGACATTTCTCTACAACATCTGTGAACAAAAGAAATTTAATCCTGTCCACTGAACATTTTTGACGGCCTTCAAAATCAACTGAACAACGCTCAACATCGCTGAACAAGACTGGAAAAGGTGGCAAAACGACGCAACATTTACTCAAACTCAACATTTTTTCAGCAAATCAAGTTAATTACAAGTTACGTCATTCTTAATTTGTTTAATACAATCAATAATGTAAATTTGAAAAAAATGAATACAAAAAGGTAAAGATAAACAAAATTTACTTAATTAGCTGATGGGCACATGGAAAGAACTAAAGACAGAGCTATCAAAGCCATCTGCCCAGATGACGTGATTGGACGATATAAATATATTACAAACTTTTTAGTTTGAATAATAACAGTAAGAATCAGCAAAGGTTAAATACCAGCTGTAAGTGTTGAAGTAACTCAAAAGCAAAATAAAATAAGATAAAGTAAAAGAAACTGAAAAAGGGTTTAAAGCACGTACGATAATTTGCATCAAGCTCAATTAGGTTATGACTTTAAGAAATGGACTCTAAAATGTAATTTTTCATTTTACTTTTGAAGGATATTTTATTCTTGGCTTTTTTCAGATCTAGTGGCAGAGAGTTCAAAAATTTGATACCATCAAATGTAAGGGTATTTGTCCAGTGCACGTTCAGTGAAAATGTCCACTCGTTTTGCCGGTACTTAACATCTCTCTCAAAAACTTTTGAAAAAGTTATATAGCTAATTGTCTCCATTTCTCAATATGAACTTCTCTGACTTTTTATGTGCCTACAGAAAATATTTTTCATCCCAGCATGCTTTAATAAGGTTAATAGAGGAGTGGAAAACTAGCCTAGAAGCTAAGAAACACACTGTAGCTGTACTTATGGATTTATCCAAAGCCTTTGACAGCCTCCCCATAAATCTACTAATTGCAAAACTAGCTGCTTAAGGAGTTGGTATATATTCACTCAAACTTTTACACAGTTATCTCACTGACAGAAAACAAATGGTGAAAGTCAGTGGATATTTAAGTTCATGGAGGCCACTTAATCAAAAAGTGCCTTAGGGCGAAATACTTGGACAATTGCTTTTCAACCTCTTTATAAGTAGAGACCTGTTTCATGTTTTCTCCGACATGTTTCTCTCATCCAGTAATGGCTACCTCGTATAAAGACGGTTGAAAAGCAATTGTCACAGTATTTCGCCTAAGCACTTTTAGATAAGTGGCCTCCATGAACTTAAATTATCCACTTGGACATTTCACCAATTTTAGATTTCTACGGTCAGTGAGAATAACGTGGTTGAAAGTTTGGAGTGAATATAACATACCAACTCCTTTAAGTTCAAGCTTAGTTTTGCTCAATTAGTTATGAGTTACGGGGAGGCTGTCAAAGGCTTTGTGGTAAAATCCATAAGTACAGTACAAAGTATGTTGTTTTCTTAGCTTCTAGGCTCAGTTTCCACTCTCTATTAACCCTTATTAAAGCATGCATTGCGCAGATGAAAAATATTTTCTGTAAGCTACATAAAAAGTCAGTAGAATAGTTTCATATTGAAGAAATGGAGAGACAGATTAGCTATATAACTTTTTTCAAAATAGTTTCTTTGAGAGAGATGTTAAGTACCGGCAAAACCACAGACAGTGGACATTTTCACTAGAACGTGCAGGAGTCCATATCACCCTTACATTTGATGGTTATCAAATTTTATTAGAACTCTCTGCCCACTAGATCGAAAAAAGCCAAGAATAAAAATATCCTTCAAAAGTAAAATGAAAAATTACATTTTAGAGGTCCATTTCATTAAAGTTATAACACTAATTGAGCTTGTATGCAATATTATCGTACGTGCTTTGAATACCCTTTTTCAGTTTTCATTTACAACTTTATCTTATTTTTATTTTGGCTTATTGAGTTACTTTCAACAGTATACAGCGCTGGCTATTGATAACCTGCTTGTGAATTTCTTCTGTATTTGATTCAAAACTAGAAAAGGTATGGCTCAAAGTATATTTTATCGTCAATCACGTTCAATCTGGGCAGATGGCTTATGATATGGAGCTCTGTCTTTATGTCTTTCCAATGTGCCCATACAGCTAATTAAGAATTTTGTTTATCTTTACTTGTTGTATTACATTTTTATTCAAAAATTACATTAATTATTGCTGTATTAAAAAATATAAGAATGAACGTTAACTTGTAAGTTAACTTGATTTGCTGAAAAAATGTTGTGAGTTTGAGTAAAGTGTTGCGTCGTTTTGCCACTTTTCCAGTCTTGTTCAGCGTATAGTGGAGGTTGTTATCAGTTATTTTGAAGGCCGTCAAAAATGTTTCAGTGGAAAGGATTAAGATTTCTTTGTTCAAGATGTTGTTAAGAAATGTCCAGTCGTTAACTTGCCAGCTCTACTGAACATTGCCATGTTCTATATGGCGATGCACGTTGCAAGGTCTGATGCTATGGATTGAGATTTTGGCGCGAATTCACGTTCCCAAAATTTTTTGGATGTGTCCAGACACACTGAACCAAAGAGTAGCAATGGTCCAGTCGCAAATGTTCCAGACGAATTTCAAATTCCCTAATTCTAACAGTAAGTGGTTTCAATATTTTCACCATCACAGGCTGCACGAAGGGATGCCTTTGTTTCAAGGTTTAAGTCAACGAGACTTCAAACGCACACATAAACATCAGATGACAAATTTGAAACCAACTTTCCAAAAAGAGAGACGAATCACGAAATAAGCCTTTCAAAGCGTTGGGCTTGATTTCAGAATAGCGTACAACTGTACAAGCCTTTCAACGGAAACGTTCTTGTAAGGAAACAAGATGAGCTGCTATGCTCCGCATATGCAGGAATATAGTGTGAAGGCGAAGATAAACGCTTTGGTCGAAAGAATCATACCACAAGCACAAAGATTTCGAAATGGAAGCCAAAAACAAAAGACCAAAGTACGTGGAGAATAGACATTCATATGCCATTTAAAAACTGTGTTATTGTACAGCAGGCTATGGTGCTCTTCGAGTTGCTGTTACATGTACCGTGTTTATGGGTTGCTGTGTTTGTCATGTTTCCAGCTTGATGTAGACCTTTCACTGTCTTCAACTGTCCGAATTTTCGAGCTGCCGCTTTCTTATAGTACACCTAAACCAAGACACCCGATGCGAAAGGTCAAAATGCTGCATTATACGTTGGCCCATCGAATCTGGTCTCTTTCGTAGTGTTTTTTATGATTGGCAACCACTGTACGTAGCAAGGAACAAGAAGAAAAAACCTCTCGGCCCGACGGGCAATCAAAAAAGATATTCAGCAGAGCAGGTCTGTACTGTGGTGTTTGCTCTCTGGTTATTATTGGTACATACTATGCGGCCTCTGTGTCGATGTTCTACTATCTAAGTCCGGAATCAAGATCTCGTCCCGAAGAATTCATCCTTCTGGCAACAGGTGTAGGATCACAGCTGATAACTCAAGTGGACCGGATTAGTTGGCCTGCTTGTGTTTGCAGGAGTCGTCGCTTGTCTGGTAGGTATGACAGAACCATCATCGAAGGGTATATAGGAAAACACACACATTATAGTGATAGAAAAAAAATGATACCTTTTCGAAATACTATGATTTAGAGAAAAACTTTAAGAGGTTATTCATCTCAGGGGCCTTTCAGACATGGAGACAAGGATAAAGCTATGGAGACAGAAAATGTGAACTCTTCCATGTCATGCACCAAGAATCGCTAGATCGTTAGTGATACAGTGGATTCTTACGCGTATAGGCTCTCTGTCTCCATTGCGATCCTGTATGGGCTAAACGACCATGTTGCTTTTTGGTTGTTGTCGGCAAGCCATTTTGGAATGATAACTAAACGTCATTAAGAGATCTACTTGTGTTTCTTTCTGGGAAATTTCACTGGTTTATGTTCGGATTTCTCTTTGTGTCTGCGAGCTTTATCATAAAGTTACACTTTGCAAAACGGTAAGATAGCAAGGTTGTATTTTACATTAGGTCTTTGTACATTTGTCTTTATCATGCACAAATCCTGAATTTGTGTAAGACAGGAACGGGTTTCGTTTTCACTTTGGACTCATCGCACAATGTGAGGAAGGGATCAAGCCTGATTCTCTATTTCTCAAAGGATAAGGGGCCACCAAACGCTTGTCTTGTCTTTGCGTTTTACTTTGAATTCCGCAACTGATTACTTGTGAATCATAATTATCTGTTATCTTCATCCGTGTCGACATAATGGTATCACTTTACTATACTGACAGCCGTGCGTTTGAACTATTTTCATTTAGCCACTCTGAATTTTTTTATTACAAAATTTACAGCCTCGAATAGACGACGTATGTGACGCGCGTCTTTGTTTTATAAGAAGATGTCCAGAAAGGGCCTCATTTTGTAAGTTTTTTCCATAAATGAATTTACAGCGGAACTATAGATGTCTACAAGTTAGAACATGACAACCTGAATATGTCCGTCAAGATAAATTATTAGAAAGCTCACTCAAAACTCATAGAGATTAGAACACTGAAACATGTAATGGCGTGTCCTCTTTTCATAAGCACCAAAGGCAGAATTCCACTTCCTTCGATGGCCTTAGAAGCTATGTGTCCCAATTGAGCATAAATGTCAAACATGCACGGGCACCTCACAGATCTTCAATTCCTTCAACAAGGTTCATAAGAAAACATTGTAGAGATTTTGTCTTTTGCTTTTCTTTTCTTCATCTCTTTTGGAATATTTGAATTTGGACTTCCTTAGATTTTAACTATGCAGGCTATCTAAATTAGATAACAAACAAATCATTTAAAATGGTATTTTAGATACTAGCAGCTCTTTTCAAACAGCCCTGTAAAGCAATCTTCCAGGCTGACGGGTTACCGTGATTAAAATTCACTAAAACAAAAATAGAATCTTAATGGAAAAATGGAAAAAATGGAAGGTGTAACTATTCAAAATCTAAGTATTTTTGGTGAGCATTCACGACCAATTCTGTTTGCAATCTATGCATTGAGCGAGCTGATATTGATAGCTGAGACCCCTTCAGGGTTGCAGTCACCCTTTTACTGTAAGAGTTCAAATTAAAAAACCCATAATCAAGAATTTTGTACTAACAAAACTAAGGGAAATAGTTCAGATTTCTTTTCAGAACAATGCTGTAGTTTATTCGGTAAATAGTGTTTATACATCCGTAAGTTAATTAACAACGAAGTGTTTCCAACTTTTTGGCTTACTGCATTTGTTGTCTTACTCAATTCTACGAATAACTGAATGTGTTGCTACTTAACTATTGCCTTTTTAGGCGTCATTTCCAGGCATAACACAATCTGAAGACGACTGGCAGACCGGCACATCTTTCGAGACCGTGCCAAATTACAGCTTTTTATTTTCCTACGCCAGGGACAGTTCGGTTGTTTCAGAATTGGAAGAATTACGTTCACATCCACCCTGGCCTGGCTTCTCATTTTTCCTTGGAACTCTGGCCTTCTGTTTAGAGTCTTTTTAACTGACAGTTGACAAAAAAAAAGGACGACCAAGCCCATATTTATCATTTAGGATCAGAGCTTACTTTAGCCATTATTATCTGTCATTTTATACTTAAGAGTGTCGGACAAAAACAACTAAAAGTGCCACTATTTAGCGCTTCCCATGCCAGCGTTCCAATTGTACTCTTAAGCCAATATGTAAGTATGTAAGTATTATCTTTTTGACTTAATCGGCAAGTTGTATATATACATTGGGATGGTCTGGCATCAAAAACCTAAAACCAGTAACATGGATTATCTGTTTATTGACGTACTAAAATAAAGACCAATAATGAGTCCAAAAAGTTTTATACTGCTTCCAATTGAATAAATAAAAGCTCTTAGAAGAAATGCTTAGCTAATACAACGTTATGCTAATCCCTTGCCGGTGTTCGATTTACTGCAAGCGGTCGCCCATTAGTCAACACAAAAGAACCAATCACATGCGCCCATTTTTGCTCTCACGTTACTTTCGAACCGACATCTGGATCACAAATTTCTGCTTGCCCCTGTCATTATCCGACGTCTTAGTCTGAAGATTGTCAGAACAAAAAACATCTAGCTATGCCATTCTCAAAAATAAAAATTACCTCAACTATGCCATTTTCCCCCATGTCTGTGCCATTTTCAAAAATAAACATATCTTACGTAAATAGCCAAATTGCCTAATACAATTTCATTCGGTACACACCACCCCTGGCTCATTCAATGTGTGGCCGAACACCCCCTATCACTTTTGCCCAATGGTAAATAATGTGTAAATTGCACAGTATAACAGCTTATCAATGCACCTTCACTGATCATCTATAACCCGAATAATAAAAATTCAACCAAAGGCCATCTGATGCTCGTGATCAAAACCACCCTATGACTTGTTTTCTTTGACAGTGACAAAATTCAGCAACTCTAAATTGACAATAAAATCCTCCAAGCAACAACATCTAAATATTGACAACTTACAGAAACAGGAACCCAAAAGAAATCACAATTGATAATCTTTATATCTGCTCAGACACACGGTAAAAAGAGACGATGTGAAAAATGGCTTCTATCCTTTCTCGTATAGCAACACAGGGACACTAGATAATAAGTCTCAGAATATCACGATTTTATTACGTCTCTGACTTGTATTCCAGATCCCTCCAGGCCAAAGGCACTCTTTTCTATAACTTTTATTTCAACTTTGTTCAGAAAATTTCGACTTTGCTAGCTTCAGTTCAATTACTCAAGACAAGGGCCATATGCGTACACTAAATGCCCTTTTCGGAACAATGAAGAGATAACTGGAAATCCAGGAGGTAGTAAAAAGATTTCCGAACGAGAAATATCGTTTTCCTAAGTGCTAAAAACAGAAGCGTGTTATTTTACATCAATATAGCCTTTGAAAAAAGCAAACATTCAAATGATCGCGTTCCTACCCAACAAAAAAGTTCCGCTTTTTATGAATTATCTCTCT